TCCTCAGCACGCGAAGAAAGGTGGTAGGAGCGCCCAGAGCGTCGAAAATGGCAAAGATCCAGTCATGCTCGACGAGGTCGTAGGCGGATGATTGGTCAAGAGACAAGAGCGCGGCCGCGGGGAACTCGGTCCTGCGCGCGCCAAGTTCCTCGATCAGGAGACGAAGGTGTAGTGCAGCGTCGGCCGATCGGCGGTCCTCGACGAAGCCGTGCTGCTGCGGCGGGAGGAGATCGGGCAGAATTTGGTTCAATCGGGCGACGTAGACCTTGGTAAAAATCTTGTAATCGCACTCGCGCAGGGTGATGGGGCGATACGACGAGAGTTCGGCGCGATCGGCATTCTTCTTGTGGCGCTTGAAGATGAGGCGCACGAGTCCCTGGCCCTGCTTGGGAGAGAGTGAACCGCGCTCGATCATCGCGTTGTAGGCCTTGGTCAGCACCTTGGACCACGCCTCCGGTGCGGTCTGATAGAGTTCGTAAGGCACGCCCGACGGGCCCGGCGATCGCCCCGGGTGCGTCGTCCCGATCGCGGCCACGACCTCGTCCTCGGTGATGGGTTGCTGGAGGAGATCAATCTGCGCTTCCGAGAGTCGGCGCAGAAAGAGCGGATCTGAGCGCGGGTCGTCGCAAGTCCGTGCCGCCCTGATCGGCACGAGGAGTTCGTCCCGAAGTCGGTCGACGCGTTCCGGATCACGAGGCTCGATGTGGTAGAGGCGCTGGAAATGCGCCTGCGTGTGGTCAAGAGCGACATCAATGTCATGCGTTAGCTCTCCGTTGCCCAAGCGCAGTGCTGTGATCTTGGAGTCCGAGTTCCGCGCCGCGAGCTTGGCGTGGACCGGCCGCGACAGTCGTTCCTCGGAAGCGATCTCGGGGACGTGGGCTCGGATCCGGAGTAGGCGCGCGCGCTCCTCGACCGCCCGCTTGAGTTCCTCGGACGTCCTTGTCCATTCTGCCGTTTCCGCCTCCCCCCATACCGGTAACGCCTCCAGATCCTGCACCCTCCCCACCAAATACTCCATCCGTTCCGTCCGCTCCCGATGCAGCCTCCTCGCCATCTCCCCACCCCTGTCCCTGCACGCCTCCAGAACCTCCTCAAGCTCTCGCACCGGATCCTCCCCGCTTGCCCCTTCCAACCATCCTTCCATCATCCGCTGAAATTCCACCGTCTTGAAGGTTGTGGTATTGATTCGATGTAGTTGGTTGGATGTGGTAGGTAGGCTGAGCTGTGGGAGAGCCGCATCAAGATCGTCTGAGAGAGCCAGTACGATCAAGACCGGTCGGTGATCGGAAAGATCCTTGGGATAGTCGTAGATCGTCGAGGCCTGGTCGAGCCTTTTTTGGTGAGCTCTTTGTAGGAGAAAGTAGTCAAGCCGGGAGAAGGAGTTGGGTCGCTTGCGATTGGGATTAGGTCGAGTGAAAGATGGGGTGATGGGGTGCTTGTAGCGGATGCAGTCCGTGTAGGCCGAGTCGAGCTTGCCCATCAGAATCGGCCAGTGGTGGCCGCGCCGACTTTGGTTCCGCCGATCGACTTCTGGGCGCGGGCAGTCGTTGAGATCGCCGCCAAGGAGTCGGAGGTGGGATTTCTGTGTTTTGTGGAGGATCAGTTTGTCGAAGAATTTTGCTCGTTGTTTTGGGTCAACGGGCGCGTAGAGGTTATTGATTTCTAGAATTTTGATGTCGCCCCGCAGACGAAAGGAGGTGACGAGGAGCCGGCCGTCGAGTGCCGAGTGGGTGCGCAAGAGCTCGGCGTCGATCAGGGGCGAGTCGGCCGGGATCAGGGTCAGGCAGTGCTGGTTGATGAAGAGCTTGCCCTCGTACTCGTCCTTGATGAGCTGCCAGAATTGTGGTCTGATGAAATGCTCTTGTAAGAGAATCGCGGAAGCTTTGAATGTGGAAAGGTAGGTGTAGATATTACGTCGTTTTTCCGGGACCCCCATGCCCCTTCTTACGTTCCAGGTGATGATGGTGTGCTTGATCATTAATGGGTAGTCGAGGTCGAGGCGCTCTTGGCGGTGGTGACGTCCTCAAAGAGGGGAAGGGCGGGCAGGACATCGTCCTCGGGCTCGTGGTCGGACCATCGTTTTTCCTCAGCTACCCCTCTTCCTTTCCCTCTGTCCACCTTCGTCACCTCGACCTGCATCGCCGCTGCCGCCGACATCGACCTCGTCACCCTCCGCCCCTCTATTCCATCCTTCACCACGACGCGGCTCTTCCCTTTGACGATGACTCGCTTGGCGTCGGTCGGTTCGTCACTTGGGTCACTGAGGTCCGCCGCAGTCTGCGACCTCTTCATCACCTGCTTCTTGAACTTCGCAGCGGTCCCCCTGATGTTGATGGAGCGTATCTCACCGTCCTCGTCCCACGTGGCAAAGTTGTGACGCACCAGAGGGGTTTCAGCGTTGAGCCTCCTCTCGATGCTTTGGTCCCGCTCAAGTCGTGCCTGCTCAACCCAGTTAGCTCTGATCCTGTCCCACTCCTCCCCCTCGCGTAGCGACTTGGCGAGAGTTTCGGGTGACAGAGGTGGGGTTGGTTCATGCGGCGTCGATTCGCGGGAAGCGGTGGCGGCGGTTGCTGTGGCGTCGCTGTCGTCGTCATTGTCCAGCCTGTTCGTTTCCCCTAAGTCCGTCGCTTCCGCATTCTCCGCTTTCGTCGATCCCCTCGCTTCGTCCACATCGCCCACCTCCGTCGCCACCTCCTCTTCCTCCATCTCCGTAGCCACCTCTCCTTCCGTTTCACCTCTTTCATCCGCCATCACCTCATTCTCATCAATCACCTCTCCATCGGATCCGCTGCAGTCCTCCAAGACCGACTCGTCCTCGCTTTCAATTTTGATGACCTCCGTTTTCGCGGCCGCCTCCGATTCCATCTCCGAGTCCTCCGAGTCCTCGTCATCCGCCTTATCACCAGCGTCTTCCTCCCCCGATTCCTCCGGTCCCTGTTCGCCCTGGCCAGTTACCTCTTCCTCCTGTCCCTCCTCGACCTCGAGCCCGGCGAAGTGATTCTGTGATGCGATCCTGTTAACAACCAGCACAGGAATGGGGGCCTCGGCCTCCGCGATGTTGGTGTTGTGGGTGATGGTGTTTTTGTTGCTGTTGATGATGCCGTTGTGAGCCTCCTTCCGCTTCCTCTCCTGATCCAGTCCGCAGGTTCCCACGTGACCCACAAAGTGGCACCTACCGCAAGCCGCCTCCTTCTCATAGTCATGGCGAAGGGCGGTAACCGGGATGCCTCGAGTGGGAAGGTCGATCCTCGAAGGTAGAATCTCCTTCAAGGTCGTGTTGGGGCGTTGGAATAGGGAGTCGTCATCGAAGTGTAGGAAAGCCGAGTAGTCTCCGGCAACGTGGGCGAAGGCCGAGGCGTTGTCCACGCTGATAACGCGCAGAACCTGCACAAGTTGGCATGAATGTCCCTTGGCTGACAGGTCTTGCACAAGTGATTGGAACGATTTGATGATGGCATCCATGGAGGGCACTCCTTGAACACCGACGTTGATTCGAAGCTCGACCATGTTATGGTGGAACCTGTGAGACTTCGCGAAGCGGGCCTTCGCCGATCGCCAAGTGAGAGCGGGGGGCGTCGTGAGCGCCGCGTCACGTGCCTCGCCGGTGACGAACCCAACCGTAACGCGATGGTGAGCCGCCCCATTACGCAGGATTGATGAATGTTGTACGCCTAAGATCTGTGGTTGATAAGCCGCAAGATGGTCCGGCAGAGGAACTCCAGGCTCAAAGCAGATAGGAGAGATGGGCGATAGCAGCCTCGTGACGCAGGCCACGAGATCGATCTTGTCGGCATGAGTCGCTCGCGAGGCGCTCTGGTGAGACAGAGTCACTTCAAGGGCGTAATCGAAGATGTTCTCGACGGACCGGTTCGCGTTCAAGGCCGAAAATTTCAGCGATGTGGCGGTGGCGACGGGGTAGAGTTCGGCGAAGTAGATGGCCTGGACCCAGCGATCCATACGGTTTCCGGGTACAGCACCCATGGCTTGTAGGAGGCTGCCCAGAGCCTTGGCACGCTGTTGTTGTTGTTGCTGTTGTTCAGGTGTTTGAGCCGCCATCTGACTCGCAGCGGCAGCATAGTTGGGTGCGGCGGTGGCGGGGCCCGTGACTTGCGTCTTCTTCGAGCTTATCGGGATCCGGTCGCGGGGGGGCTGGACGCTGGTGGCGGATACCGGTGGTGGCGGTGCCGGCAGTGGGGACCCAGGGTCTCCGGTAGACATCTTGTCGGTGTATCACTTGTTAACTCGAGTATCGAAGGCTGCAGTAGGGCGATTGTGAAGTGAAGTGAAGTGAAGTGAAGTGAAGTGAAGTGAAGTGAAGTGAGGTGAAGTGAAGTGAAGTGAAGTGGTTTTTTTTTTTGTAGAAACTGTTCATCATATTGCCCCCAAGTCCTGTTCCCCCTGATTGGCCTACGGAAAAACTAGATGGAAGTCGACGATGATAACACAAACCGCCCGCAAGATGCGAGAAACGGGCCAAGTCCACCAATCCGATACTTCGGATTCAAGTGCCCCAGCCAAGCGGTTGCTCCCCCCCAGGAGACGAATGAGAGAGAGAAGAGAAAGAGAGAAAATGAAAAAGAACTGGCGTACTAACGACAAGAGGCCCACCCCGCACCCACTTCCCAACTCGGTCGAGACAAAGACAGGAGAGCGACTGCGCAGCTACCCTGACCCGCGAAATCCCAAGTTTATGCTCGGTCACAACAAGACGCGGTGGAGGCCCCTCAAAACCTCCACCTCAGCAGTCCCTGGCCCCTCAAAGCCGACTTTCTGCCTGTGTCTGCTGATCCCTCCCTTGACTCAGAACCCCGAAGCCAAAGAGCGCGAGCCACCGTCGAGTCAATCCCAAATCGCGAGCCGGTCCATGAGCAACGGAGGCAGACCTGTAATAAAAGAAAGAAAGATGAAGAAAATATATTTAGTATACAGTTTTTGTAAGAGGATGTGTGATGTGGGGTGTGTGAGTGTGGGATCGGGTGGGGGGAAATCGAACCCAGCCTCTACTGCCCTCGCCCGCCCCTTGCTCCCCCCGCCCTCAACTTCATCCTCTCCTCCAGTACCACCCTCCTCCGCTCCAGGCTTTCCATCCTCGTCCCGTGCTTCTGCATCCTCCATCTCCCACTGCTGATCATCTCCAAGACCATCCCCGTGAAGATCTCGATCGTCCTGCCTGCGCCTTCCTGTTCGCTGAGCTTGGCCTTGAGCTTGGGGAGGCCAAAGAGTCGTTGTAGTGTCGTGTACTCGGCGTCCTCGATCGTGTCGCATCCGAGCGCGTCGCAGAGCACGCCCCTTGCCGCGGTCCAGATGTTCCGCGAGTCGACGCAGCCGAAGAAGTAGTGATCGGTGTCGTCCACCGGCGCTTCGCACACGAGGCACGCGGGAGAAGTGTCGTGCTTTTGCTCGTGCTGGAGTTTGCGCGTCGGGGTGAAGCGGAGGATCAGCTTGAACCAAACTTCCCTCTCCCTCGCCGTCAGTGCCTTCGAGTTGACTGCCTTCCAGAAGCTCCTGAGGTCGTCCGGCTGCGGTGGTCCCTTGAGCCCGAGCATGTTGGTAAATGCCTTCGCGTTCAGGACCCGGCGGATGCGACGGACTGTGTAGGGGCGAGCCATGTTCAGCAGCGTATACTGGCTCGCCTGTTGTGGAAGCACCGGGTCCGGAAGGCGCTGCTCCATTGCGAAGCGGGCCACGGGCTTGGGGATGATCGCCTCGAGTGGTGCGCTGGTGCCGATCCGGGGAGGCACGTTGAGTCGTCCCGCCGCCACCGCCGCCGCCAAGGGGGTGTTCTTGTGTCGATCGACAGTGAACCGGTACCAGGCCGCGATTGCCAGTCGCTGCGGGAGCCCGCGTCGATCGTACTCGCTGTTGTCGCCGAGCACATCCGCCGGCGGCGTCCAGAGGTGAAACCCCCCACCCGCATACAACTCGCGCCGATAGAGATCCGCCACCTTCGGGTAGCCCTGGAGACGAAGGTAGTCAGGTACATGAACCGCGTCGATGGTCTGTCTCCCTCTGATGGGGGTGTGGAGGCTGCCGAGCAGGGTGGGCAGCGCGAGCAGGTTCGCGGTGGTCAAGGCCCTCGGGTTGACCTGCACGTCGTGAAGTTTCGGAACGCCCAGTGCGGCGTGCCATCGGGGATGAAGGTCGTTGGGGATGGGAGTGGATGGATGTGGCCAGAGATCGGTGGCCAGGTCGAGGTCGGGCTGAGCTCGCTGGAGTGCTGCGCGCGCAAGTCCTTGCCAAATCGCGCCGGAACCGCCGAGAAGAACGTCCCAGAGCCGTGCCGCAACCGCGTCCACAACGTCCCGCATCCTTATCACCCCGAGTCCCCCCTTGTTCTTGGCGGTGAACACAATGTCTCTGCCGTAGCTGGTCCTGCCCTTGCCCCCACGGACGAAATCGACGAGCATGTCATCGAGCTTCTTGACGACTTCGGGCGGCGGGATGTCGGCTGCAAGGAAATGCAGGATCTTGGGAATGGCGTACCGATTGACGTAAAAGGCACGGGTGTGGTGCGTGAGCCAGCGATGCTGAACCGCTTCCAGCGTCGCCTCGAGCCGTTCGATGAGATTCGCGTAGGCGAGTTCGGTGTCGCCGCTGGGGTCGAAGGGGAGGCCGATCCACTCGAGCGACTCGCCTGCGGCCTTGACGACGATTGGCCGTTCCCCAGGGTCCCAGCGACGTCCAATCGGTAGGACGACCGTCTTGTCCGTGTTGAGCCGGCCATTCGTTGCATGCCTCCAGTTGAGCGCCAGGTCATCGAGCAAGTTGAGTGACTCCAAGCCCGCGACGGCGACGACAACGTCATCGGCAAATGCAAGTGATGTAATGGCGCGGCTCTGTGGGTACGGATGAAGTGCAGGTATGGAGAGATTCAGCGCGATGTTTCGACGGTGTAGAGCATCCAGGAACGGCTGAAACACGATGTCCCAGACCGACGATGACGCCGGGTCCCCTTGGCCGAGCCCACACGTCAGTCGCACCGGCGCCGTCAGGAACCCATTGATGATGTAGCGCGCCGAGGTCGAGTCACCCGAGTAGAGCATCCTCAGCACGCGAAGAAAGGTGGTAGGAGCGCCCAGAGCGTCGAAAATGGCAAAGATCCAGTCATGCTCGACGAGGTCGTAGGCGGATGATTGGTCAAGAGACAAGAGCGCGGCCGCGGGGAACTCGGTCCTGCGCGCGCCAAGTTCCTCGATCAGGAGACGAAGGTGTAGTGCAGCGTCGGCCGATCGGCGGTCCTTGACGAAGCCGTGCTGCTGCGGCGGGAGGAGATCGGGCAGAATTTGGTTCAATCGGGCGACGTAGACCTTGGTAAAAATCTTGTAATCGCACTCGCGCAGGGTGATGGGGCGATACGACGAGAGTTCGGCGCGATCGGCATTCTTCTTGTGGCGCTTGAAGATGAGGCGCACGAGTCCCTGGCCCTGCTTGGGAGAGTTTTTTTTTTTTTTTTTTACTGGGGCTCATAAATTGCAATCCTTCGGGTTGGCTGGGACCGCTAGAAAAAGAGCTAAAAGAGGTTATAAAGCAACGACGGCAAGCAATTGGGTGAAAGTCAAACCCCTGCGCGCAAAGAGCGCTGCGCAGATCAAAACCCGCCGAGCACCTAACGCGGACTCCAACGGGCGGTGAGTACTGCTGCCGCTTCACGTCCCAAGAGCGGGAGCGAAGATACTCGAAAACCAGGCAAGAGCGCCTAGAGAAAGAAAAGGGGAGAATATACAAAAATTCACGACTGGAAACACGGAGAACCAGGAATACTAAGACAGAGAGGAGGGGAGGAGGAGGGGAACACACCCGAGGGGCCAAGGGAGGGGGTCGAAGCCAGAGCTAGAGGTCCCCAGGGACTGACAGGCCGCAGCCAAGCCCCAGCTACTCGTCACCCCGACAGCGCCTGATGTCCTCCCTTGGCTGAGTCTCGAGTGCTGGCTGTTGAGCCGTCGGGGCCGAGCGAAAACGATCCAATACAACGAAACGAGCCTCGCCTTGACGCGAGGATATTGACCAAAAAAACGAGCGACCTTTCTTCCCGATCCATGCCGTAGATCTTGACCAACGCGAACGAACGATCCATTCGACGGAATCCAACACACGACTTAGGAATAAAAGGAGAAGTGGCTGAAGCGTAGTCAACAACCGAGCAACAGGAACGAGAAGAGGAAGGGAAGGGAGAAAGGGGAAAGAGAGGGGAGAACTTCACAAAGCCTCCAACGCAACGACGATCGACCCGGCTTGCCGATCCATCCAAGAACGAAAACCGCTACTGCACAAAGTAGAGAGAGGGAGAGGTGCGCAGCCTTCCACTGCGCAACAAGTTTCAAGACAGTCAGCTTCTGACCGAAAAGGAAGGGAGGAAAGGAGGGGAGGAAAATGGGAAGGAAGGACTTAACTCGGTCATCACACCTCCCAATCTCGAACCCCAGGCACAAAACCCGCTCGAGAGAGAAAATCTCGCTCGAACGCTCTGAGCGTACTGGGAAGCGAGGGAGGGGCCACGACGTTGTCCAGCTCGAACCGCTGATGAACGCGCCAGCGGAGCAGGTGCAGCCGCTGGAAGCCGATCGCGCAGGCCAGCCGAACCCACATCCATTTCGAGGTCGTTCTCCCACGACCCCGCAAAAGGGGGAGCCCCATAGTCAGCTGCTCCGGAGTGAACGTCAACGGATCGACGTCGGTATCCTCGATGCCGAGCTTGTCAAGCAGAATGCGTAGCACCCCACCCCAGAAGCTGGTCGAGTACGCGCACTCGAAAAAGTAGTGGGACACCGTCTCGATGACCGCTGCATCGTTGCCGCAGAACAGACACGTCGGCGAAGAGGCATGACCCTGAGTATGCTGCCTCTTGCGCGTCGGCGTCACGTCGTACATGAGCCGCCAGTGGGTGTCCTGCTCGACAGCAGACGCGAACCGGTCATGAAGCCATCTCCAGAAGCGCTTCCTATCGCTCTGAGAAGTCCCATCAGGGAAACGCTTGACACGGTCCTCCCTCCCTGGGAACCGCACCTTGTTCACAAGCCGACGAAGCTTGCGAATCGTAAAAGGTCGGGAGAACCCAAAGAAGTTGAAGCACCGAGGACGGGGAGCCTCCTTGAGAGGTATCCGAGCAGGTCGCAACGCGGTCTTGGGCAGCAACGCTTTCGCCTTGAGCAACTGACCCACGCGCGACCACACGTGCTCGTGCTGTAGGGCGGGTTCCTTAGAGTGCTGCCAGAACCCGCGTCGATGACCAACCAGAGCCCATCCCTTCCCTTCGTCCCTCCAGTACAGGTCCGCGATCTGCGCAAACTTCGCCACCGCGTCCGCATCGTCATATGCGTGCTGGGCACCTTCAGCATAGAGTGAAGGGAGGCGAGGCGGAAGCGAGAGCAATTCGGGAAGCGTAAGGAGTTCGGACTTGATGGTTGGAACTGTGACCCTGGCCGCTGCAACGACTGCCCCCCAGCGCGTCGAGTCGCGATACAGCTTCTCGACCCGAGCCGTGCTGCTGAAGAACCCCCACGGACTGAAATCGCGGGTCGCAGCGACGAGGCACCTCCAGCTCTCGCGAGCTAGGGGCGCCCAGATCGCCTCGTCCGAGCCCGCCACAGCATCCCAAAATCGAAGCGCCACCGAATGAACGATGTCGCCAATCGAAATCAAACCCAAGCCACCGTCCTCCCGAGCCTGGAACACGAAATCGCGAGCGACGGTATTTCGCCCTGCTCCTCCCCAGACAAAGTCCGTAAGTGCCGTCTCCGCCGCCTTAATGAACCATTGAGGCGGTATGTCGAAGGACAGCACGTGGAGGACCGTCGAGATGATGTGAGCGTTGGCATAGAAAACCTTCCCACTCGGCGAAAGTGTCCGGTCTCGAGCGGCGCGGGTCTTGGCCTTGATCCTGTCAAGAACATGGGTCCAAAACAGTTTCGAGTCACCGTGGCGAAAGAAGGCATAACCGCACCACTTGAAGCTCTCCCCCTCCTGCACCGTTGGCAGCGCCTGCGCAGTCTCGTCCCGAAGCCAGTTCGGTCCGAGTGGTAGCACCAGCGTCTTGTCCGTGTTGGTCTTCCCGTTGGTAGCCTCGTACCACGTCTGCGACAGCGTTTGCAGCTTCGACAATGCCGCCGGTGACTCCACCACCACCACAGCATCGTCGGCAAACGCCAGATGCGTAAGCTGCGCACGCGGCCCCCCTGGCCACACCTTCTGCAGGTCGAGCGCGATCCCGCGCCGAACGAGGGCGTCGAGGAAGGGCTGGAACGTGATGTTCCAAACCGGGCACGAGAGGGGATCCCCTTGACCGAGACCACACAGCAACCGCACCAAGTCCGTGGGGAACCCATTGACAAGGTAGCGCACCCCCAGAGTCTCGGGATCGTAGAGAGCGCGCAGCAGCGAGATGAAACGCTCACCGAACCCAAAGGCCTCAAAGACCTCGAAGATCCAGGCGTGATCGACCCGATCGTACGCGCTCTGCTGATCCAAAGACAAGAGGGCGCCCTCGGGGAAAACATCAGTGCCTAGCGACTTGAGTTTTTCGAGAAGGAGAGTGAGATGACTTCCCGCGTCCGCTGAACGTCTTGATGGCATGAAACCGTGTTGCGCCGGCGGCAAAAGCTCGCCGAGCACCCCATTGAGTCGCGCCACCAAGACCTTGCTGAGGACCTTGTAGGTCGTCTCGCGCAATGTGATCGGTCGGTATGCCCCCAGTGATTTCAGATTGGCCCCCGGTTTATTCTTGGGCAAGAGCCGCACCAGCCCCTCTGCCAAGGACGCCGTCATTTTGCCGCCCTCCCAAATCGAGTTGAACAAGTCCAACAGCTTGGGAGCAAAGTAGGTTGGCAGCGCCTTGAAGAGCTCGTACGGAATGCCCGAGGGCCCCGGTGATCGCCCCGAATCCGTCTTCTTCAACGCCGCTTCAACCTCGAGGAGGGTGAAGGGCTCGTCAAGCGCCACTCTCGCTTGACGAGGCAGCCGACGACCGAACGTAGGGTCCGAGCGGTCGTCATCGTAGCATTTCGCTGCGCGAATAGGGTCGAGCAGGGACCGGCGTGCGTTCGTCGGGTCGCCACGAGCTGGGTCCGGCGTGAAGAGCGACTGCGCGTGCCGTGAAGCAATACCCAGCGCCTCCTGCATGTCAACGGTCTCGGTGCCATCCACATCCTCCAGCGAGACGATGCTCGTCTGGCGACTCCGGCGGTTGAGGCGCGTGCGAATGCTTGCCGATTGACCTTCCCTCGAGTCGACTGACGGCACATGCGCACGAATGCGCAGCCACTGAGCCTCCTTTACCGCCAACTGGTCCAACCGCGACTTGGCAAGAGCATACGCATCGCGCTCGGCCTCATTCATGTGCTCACCGCGTGCCTCCAAAGCCTCCATGACGGATTGGCTCTCGGCCCGCAGTCGGCGCATGTCGGCACGAGTCGAGCGGTATCGTGCATGGCCAGCGACTGCAACCGCCCGCAGAGCGGCGTCATAGACGTCGCCGAGCGGAGCGGTCCCCTCGAGCCTTTGATAGACCTCGTCGACGACCCCGGGAATCGATGCGACAAAGTCTTGATCGTCAAAGACCATTGGGTTGAGCCTCGAAATGAAATCGCTCGTGGAGGGAAGAGAAAGGGGGGGTTCGGCATCAGCGTTCGATGTAGGCAAAGCGAAAGTCGCAACTACAGGTCTGTGGTCCGAACAGGGCGCATCGAAGAGCGTAGAAGCGCTCAACAACCGGTTCGCCCAACTGCATTGGACAAGAATATAGTCGATCCGCGACCACGAGCAAATCTTTCGCTCTTCCCCTCTACCACGGTAGTGAGGACGAGTGAATGCAGGGGTGCAAGGATGGACATGTCGGACCGTGTCGAGTGCCTTGAACGCGATCTTTGACAGCAAGGTCTGCCAGTGCGATACAGGAGTCCAAGCGCGATCGGTGATGGACACTCGGTCGACCGATACATCCGGACAATCGTTGAGATCGCCGGCCAAGATCCGAAGAATCTTGGGTCTCGGGGCGTTGAAGTGCAGAAGCCCGAAAAAGTCGCGACGATCGTCCTCCTGCACCGGCGCGTACATGTTGATGATCTCGACATCGAGCTCCTCAAGACGAAACACCGAGCGCAGAATCCGACCGTCGAAACGAGGAGCTCCTGCAAAGACGACCGGGGTAGAGGAAAGGAGATGGCCCGCCAAAGGTGAGCCATCGGGTATGAGGGTAAGGACATGAGGAGTGAAACGAATACAAGCCCCCGGCCAAGCACTCTCGAAGCCTTCGCGTGACGCGTTGTAGCTGAGGTGGTGCTCTTGCAGGAGGATGGCCGCAGGGGCCGGCCGAAGGGTTTTGAGATAACGGATGATTTTGACTTGGTTGACTGCGTTCTTCATCGATCGGACGTTGAACGTCAACACGGTGAGTGACTCAATCATGATTAAATCAGTTCAGCGCCGCCCCCCTCGAATTCGGTCACCTCGGACCTGTGACCCCCTGAACTGTTGCCCCCTGAGCCATCACCCCCTGATGCACCGAGGATCATGGCGGATCCTGCCCGGGTGACACGTCGGTTGCCGGGTGCCGAGCTCGAACGAAGGCGTCGAGGACTCGTCGAGGCTATCGAGGTTGTCGAGGTTGCCGATGATCCCGACGTGTAAAAGTTCCAAAAAAGGTGGTTTGGGCAATATATACGCAACTGAGCCGGGGCGTTTCAACTAACTGGCCCTGGTAGCGTAGTGGTATATCGCGGGCGACTCCAGTGATGGACATCGTCAGGTCTTCGGTTCAAATCCGAATCGGGGCTTTCTTTTTTAAGTCCATCTTCGTTCCCCTTTTTTGTTCTTCGTAGCTGCTCCTCTTGTTTTGCTCCTCCTGCCGTGACGAAAAGAAACGTCATGTCACACTTACGATAAGCTCCCTGGACTTTTGCGTACTGTTTCTTTTCTTTTTTTCCCCCCTACCATAGCGACTCTGAGCGAAATGGCTTTGAGAGCCTCTGCGGCTCTGTTTCCTCCCACCGCGCGTGACTTCGAGATCGGCCCGTTGGTCATGTCGCCGTATGCGAATCGCATGGGCTCACCGCCCCTACCACCGCCGGGGATCGAGAACGAGCCCGCTGCAGCTGCTAGGAATACCGCCGTCAACAAGCAGGTCGCATGGTCGCCGCCCAAGAAGAAGTCCGGGGTGATGTGGAAGGGCAAGGACAAGGCGATCATGTCAACTGACGATGCTGGAGCGCGACTGATGCCGGGTATGGGCAACATCACTTATCGTCACTTCCTGGGTAATCAACTCAACACTCCCGTGTGAGTATGTATCCTTTTTCCCAGTCGGGTATGCTCCTTGGGCGCGCTGGAGGCTTTCGTGCGACGCCGCGATCAGGACTGCAGTGATGCGCCTCAATTTTTGACCTTTGTTCTACCTCTACCTACTACTGTGGTCAGACATCCGCTTCGAACGATAGCCCACGTTGATATCGATGCAGCATATGCTGCGATGGAGATGGCTCGCTTGGGGATAGACCCGGCGACTCCACTCGCGGTACAGCAGTGGCAAGGTCTTGTACGTTACCCCACTGCGTTTATCTCGCGTGTTGACGTCACGTGCGCGCGTGCCTTGGACCGCGAGCGAGTGAGGTCGCGTCGAGTACGACACGAAGCTCAGCATTTCGCTCCGTTTTTCCTCCGCAGATCGCAGTCAACTATCCAGCGCGCAAGTTTGGAATCACACGTCACGAAACACCCGTCGAAGCACTCAAAAAATGTCCTCACCTCGTCATGGTCCACTGTGCAACCTACAAGGAAGGCGACACCGAGCCGAGCTACGACAATTCCCATCCGACTCCGGCGACTCACAAAGTAAGGATATCGACATCCTCATAGCTTTCGATCGCTCCTTTTTTTTGCTGAACTTGCAGCTTCTCAGATCTCTCTTGACCACTATAGACGAGAGTCGCTCAAGGTATGTATCTGGGGAAGAATTCGCGTGGAAGCTCTACGGAATTGCGCTCAAACTCTCTCTGCCCTCTCCAGATCATCAAGGTCTTTACGTCCCACATCCCGACAGTCGAGAAGGCTTCTATTGACGAGTCCTACCTCGATGCCTCACCACAAGTGCGAGAGATTCTTCTTCAACGGTATCCTCAGCTTGGCAAACTCCCCCCGGGTAAGACCTTGGACGACCTCGTACCGACTCCGAAAGAGCTCGGCATCAACGCGATCGATTGGGATCAGCTCGGCAACTTGATTCCCATAAACGGTCAAAAGAAGGAGGATCAGCCAAAAGAGTTCATGGCCGAGCCAAAGAAGGAAAGGGACGAAAACATGTCGATCGACACCGCGAGCTCGACCGACCAGACCAACTTAGAGGCAGCTTCGGCCGTCGACGTCTCTGAAGCAGAGGAGCCAGCGATCGAGCCGAAGGAGCCCGATCTGACTTGGTCCGACGTGGCGCTGTCTATCGGAGCCGAACTTGTACAACGGTGTCGACGAGATGTGCATGAGCAGTTGGGCTACACCTGTAGTGCCGGTTTGGCTCCTAACAAGGTGCGTGGTGTCTGTCGAGACCACCAGCAGATGCATTTGCATAGGACCGTGCTGACCGTTAATGGCCACGTACAGATGCTTGCAAAGCTGTGCTCGGCGTGGAAGAAACCGAACGCGCAGGTGGGTTTCCCATGCGCTACCTCGTCTCGAAATCTGTTCACACGGCCTTTTACTCAACAAGTCCCCTCACCTCAGTAGACCGTGCTCCGGTGCTGCGCCGTCCCGGCTTTCCTGCGGCCGATGCCGTTCCAGAAAATCCGAAACCTTGGTGGCAAACTCGGCATCTCGGTCAAGGAAGCCTACGATGCCGAGACGGTCAACGACCTGCTCGATTACACGCTCGTCGACATGCAAAGCAAACTCGGCGACGACAGCGGACTGTGGCTGTGGGAAATCACACGCGGATTGGACTTTGGAGAAGGTCAGTCAGCTCTGTGTTCTGGATGAGCACCTGAGGCCGATCGCTGAAACGGCTGCACTAAATGCGCCAGTCGAGCCGAAAACGCATGTCAAGTCGATGCTTTCGAGCAAGAACTTTCGACCGACTATCTCCAAGTTCAAAGAAGTGGTCAGTATACCCGCCGTTCGTCAGTTCACGAACATGTTTTTGACACAACCGACTGGATTTGCTCCGTGTGCAGTGCCACTGGATGAACATCTTGGCCACCGAGCTTCACTTGCGACTGTGTGAAGCGCGCCGGCTCGATCCATCTCTCTGGGTAAGCCTCCGGGAACATTTCCCTTGTACATTCTCACATTTGCATCATTGACTAATTTGACGGACGCCAAACGCGATTCTGCAGCCCAAAACGGTCCACTTCTCGCATCGCTCCCCCTCTTACGTCATCCGCACGCACCAGATCCCGTTCCCCTACACCTCGCAACTCTCGATCCCTTACATCGCTAAGCATGCCGACAAGCTCTTGCGCCTAGCAATCCCAGATCGACTCGAAGGCCTGAACGAACACTCGCTCGTTGGGCCGTGGAGCAACATCCAGTTGAGCTTTGCTGGTTTGGGTAAGAAGGAAGAAGGGGTGGGTGGGATAGAGAAGTTCTTGATGGGTGCGCCGGGTGTTGCTGGACTTGCAGCTGCGCGAACGGACGAGAAGAGGCCGAGGACGACAAAGGAGCCGTCGAAGCAGTGGCTGGCGAAAAAGCGGAAAAAGGACGAAACACCGCACGACTTGGGTATGATTGAGCTCTCTGACGATCAGTCGACTGCGGATGAGAACGCTGAGGAGGATGACGGCGACGAGGTTGGGGTGCAAGAGTTGGCATGGACTTGCTCCAAATGCACCAAGGTCTTGTCGGCCAAGGACGAGACGGCAATGGCCAAGGCCAAAGCAGAACACAAGGACTACCATTTCGCTCGCAGCATGATTGAGCGAGAACGGCAGCAGGGCCGTGACGGCGGCGCTACGGTATTGAAGAATGTCAAGTCGAGTCAGGCGCGCGGTGCGGCCGCTAAACTGAACGCCGCTGCGGGCAAGGCGAAGAAGCAGCAACGGTCGTCGAGTGGGAGCATGAGCACCAAGACTGCGCCAAAGGAGGGAGTCGAGAAGGGTCAGAAGAGCTTGAAGGGTTTCTTTGGTAGGTGAATTTCATCCTGAGAGATATTAACTTGGTAATCGCTTCGCGGAAACCTTAGTCTGCCCTGTTGTTGTATTTCAATTTGGAAGCTGTTGGCGGCACGATATCGCATAGTAAGCCTTGAGCTGGATAGGAGAGAATTGGGCGGTGTTTGATTGCCGACCACTTCGGTGGCCATGTACATCGAACAACGTATTCGATGCCTATCATTTCGCACGTTTCGGCTCGAACTCAGCCACTTAACAATCACCCAACCTCGCCGGTTTTTCCACCGAAGTCCTGCACCAGGACGACAACAGGACGACAACATAGAAAGGTGACGTACGTTTTTCCTTTTTTGAACTCTAGTTCCCCTCTCTCGCAAAGCGTCTCTGCCGGAATGAATCACCCTTGGGAGCATTGAGTTCCCCGACACTATCGTGACCGAGAAAAGAAAGCCTCCAAGACCAGCCACTGAGTTATTGAGTTTGCCGTGTCTTCCAAAGCGTGCGGGAGCTTGTCGACTTGGAGGCTCTCGATGCGTTCGTTCGACCATCTGCCGACCGGTCATTCGCCCACTGCACTGAGCCAAGCGACCGAAAGTCCCCACGAACGAGGCACGAGGGTGCTTGGCACGCATACACTTGCACAGTTCTCTATCGATTGGAACCTCAAAACCTAGCATTCAGACGATCTGAACAATCGCGGGGGGTTACTCAACCGACTGGCACGAGACTGAAGTGCGTGCAAGGCCCGAGTGTGATCAGCAACTTTCACTCGCGCGCTTCAGAGCAATCCAGAGTCGATTCAGAACAATTCAGAACAATTCAGAACAATTCAGAACAATTCAGAACAATTCAGACAAACCGGGTGTAAAGCGCGCAAAGCGCATTCGGTCCTGCGCTGCTAGATCGCTCTAGATTTGTCTGAAAATTCAGGGGTGCAGTGCGCTTCCAGAGCTTCCAGAGCTCCAGAGCTTTTCCAGAGCTTTCCAGAGCTTTTCCAGAGCTTTTTCAGTGCCGTGCTCAGCGTTGTTTCGGTGCTATTTCAGGACAAGTATGACATATTCAAGTAGGGCGATGTGTAAGGGGATGATCCCATTGCCTTTACAGACAAACCTTCTAGAGTCTAGATTATTCTAAAAGTCCGCATAGAAGCTGTTCGCCGTGGAAAGCAGTGCGACTTTTCCACAAACCGGGTCCAGATACGCAATGTTGAGATTTCGACCGTGCGGTATCCACCGTCTCCAACGTTAGGGATCATGTGAATGTGGAAATCTTTGCGCTGTCATGCGGCGCACGGCAGCTTGTCATACTCCACTGAGACTTGTGGTCGATCGGCCGACACCGTGACATCGCGACAACCCCGGACACCAGCGGACACCTGGCCGCAGACGCGCAGACACCCGCTGTGGCATTCAGCACGAGTGAGCAGGCGCTGCCCGAACGGCTTTCACCCTGAGCCCGCCCACGCCACCCACTCCAAATCTACTACTGCACCCACGATGGATGAAGTGCGTCGCCTTACCTACACCACCAAGGTGTACCTGAAATTGACACGCCATCACTGTTGCTTCTGACAGATTCGCAAGATCCCGCCCGTGACACGGACCCTCGTCGGCGGCGTGCTCGCAGTGACGTTGCCGTGCCTGCTCCAGCTCTTGTCGCCGTACAAGGTCATCTACGTCCAGGCGCTCGTCTTCAAAAAGTTCCAGCTATGGCGCCTCGTGACCTCGTTTCTCTACGGAGGAAGTGGACTGCCCCTGCTGTTTGACACGTTCATGCTCTTCCGTGGCCTCAACGATCTCGAAGAGAGCCACTTCCAGAGGAGGACCGCCGACTTTGGTACGTCCGTAGGGAGTATGATCCTCGCTCTGCTTCGAGCTTTGCCTCTAACGCGCGAAAGGGCTGACACGATATCGTGACATTTCCTCAATCTCCAGTATGGGCCTTGATCATCATCGCCGGTGGCGTAATGGTCAGTCGCGCCCCCACTCTGGTGTGCATGGCCCCGTCTTTGAATGACTGACCGACGAGGTTCATTGGCGATCAACTGGCAGGGCACGAACTATCCCCTTCGAACCATGGTCTTTTTCCGTCCATTCCTGCTAGCCGTGACCCATCTCGTGCGTCTGCGCTCTCGGTGCTCCGGCTGACGTGGCGCTTCCGGACCTCCCCTCCCCCACATGCTGACCGCGCATCGGCTCGCGACCTTCTCCTGCCTCCACAGTGGGCCCAAACGAATGCACAGAACAGGTGTGTTATCGAGCAATACCTGCGTATTTGAGTTTGTTGTCAAGACTGATCTCGAACCCCCCACCCCCAACCCCCATGTGCAGAGTCTCCCTCTTCGGCATTATCAACCTCCCCGCGCCTTACTTCCCCTTTGCGCTCATTTTGCTGGATCTCGTCCAAGCCGGTCCTTCGTTGGCGATACAATCAGCCACTGGAGTTGTCGCAGCCCACGCCTACTATTTCCTTGCGGTCGTACGTTCGTGGGTCTGACAAGCTCTCATCCCACGACCCGTTGAGCTGAGTTTTTATCCTCTATTCCGACGCCAGATCTACCGACGCCAAAACGGGGGTGCAGGTTTGCCTTTCATGGGTACCCCAAATTTTTTGGTCCAGCAATTCGGCAACGGTCCCGAGACTCCTGGCGCCGCCGGAGCGACCTACCAAGCCGGTGGCGGCTGGGGCTTCCGACCTGCGGGAGGCAACCGGTTGGGCGCGACACCTCGACCCCGAGGGGATGGAGTTCAGGCCACGAGCTCCACTCCGACCGCGAGAGCTGGGACGAGTGCGACAGAAGGGGTCAGGCATCGTTGGGGAAGCGGTCACAGGCTAGGAGAGCAGTGATGTAGGCCAACGGCCCCACTCACCCACGCATCATCGGGCCTCGCTCGCACTCCTCGTGAATAGGGTGTACAACGCATGGGCAGGAGTAACACATATACCATAGGCTACCTCGTGAGCGGCTACCATGAGAGGCTGAGGCCAATAAAAAAGAGAATGCATCGCAACATCGTCAGAGGTTCCAGGCCTACTGTGAAAAACCTGGCGGGGGGGGATCATCATCTACAACTACAACAGCGGAAAACGAACGATTCGTCACTAGTATCTTATGCTATCCAAAAAAGAAGTGGGAGTGCTATGCGTCGCCGGGATTCGGCGCCACTGCTGCTGCTGCTGCTGCTTGCTCTTCCAAAGGAAGATCCTGTAACTCGTCCTCCATCGGCGTCGTGTCCAACAGGCCCGCCTTTGCCGGCGCCTCGGCTTCTTGCGCTTCCTTCACTAGATCCGAGAGCGTGTCCTCGACATGCCCGTCTGCGTTCGAATCGACGACCGCAACTTCACTTGCGGGCAACGGAAGGTCGATTTCATCCCGAAGCACCGGTAGGGGGGATGCACCGCCGGGTCCGGCGAGCTTCGGCTTGCCTTCCACGTCGGATTCCTCGGAATCATCCTCTTCCTCGTCCTCGTCAGCTTGGGTGTCCTTGGCCGGCGGGAGTCGATTCGGCCCGCTCTTCCTCCCCGACCCAGACACTCTGAACGTTTCCGGCTTTATGAGGGGCGCTCTGATCAGACCTGTTCCGTCATCACTCTCATCACCCGCGCCCTTCTCCGGTGTCATCGCGCCGCCGACCTGCCCCGGGTTGGGTCGACCGAAGCCAGCCTTTAGCGGCTGCGCGTCCTCGTCGACGAGCTCTTCGCTATCCTCGTCGATCGTATCCGTCTCGTTCGCTTCCTCGGGCGTCGGAACCTGCGCGACCGCGTCTTCGACCACCTCGGCGGATTCGACCGGATCCGAGACCTGCACCGTTAAACGCAGCCACCCGATCAAGTCATTGACTTCGTCGGCGCGCCAAAAGTGCTCGAGCCCTTCGTAGGAACGGAACTCGACATTGGTGAGCGAGTACGGCGGCAGGTGCAAGGCATTTGCATCGTCTTCTGCAGCCTCCACACTGGTGTTTGGAGGAAGAGTAGACGGCATGTACGTCAGCACCCGGGTAGGAGGAGATCGGAGCGATCCGAAGAGCGCACGAGAAATAGGGATCCTTCTTCCCGTGACCCCAGAAGATGGGAGTCGACTTGCGAACCGTGGAGGCGATCTGCAGGGGCGCAACAATAAGAGAAAGTAATGAGCTTTACTTTCGAAAAGAAGCGTCCTGGTCGGTTCTCACCTCGAGGGCTTTCGAAGGCACGGGGACGTAGCCCGACAGCGCAATCACGGCATCGAGCGGCTCGGCCGAAGTCAATGCGCTCAGGATCGCCATGGTCGCACCTGTCCAGATACTCAGAAAACTGTTGAGCATCCTGCAGAGGAACCAGCAGGCGTAGGCGCAGAGAGATCGGCACACGAACCTTGGCCAAACCCGCCCACGACGATTCTCGGCGTTTCCCCGCGCTGCTCAAACACGCTCCGTTCTCGCTTTATAAGTTGGTTGAGCTGTCGCTGTGTCTCCAACATCCCTGCCCGGTCCTCATCTTCGTGTATGTCGTGATAGGTCCTGGCGGGCAAAGGAACGACTCGCGTCGTTAGCTCGTGCGAAGGGGTCCGTGCTGTCCATGGGCCTCGAGCCACGAGGAGGAAGAAAAACCTACTTGATGTCGTACCACGCGGGTGAAGCATGGCCTTCATTGGCGGTTATGTTGATCGTGCGTCCCTTCGGATGTATCCTGTGGAAGAAAAACATTGCCCATGCGGGAGGAAGAAGTTGTCCACACGACCGAGCGCGGAGATCAGTCTCGCTGCAGCGCGCCAAGTCGGTTGAACCAAAGTGGGGGGAGGCGCGTTGGCGTGACGGTCAGAACGAAAATGGAGAACGCACCATTTGACGTAGGGGAGCGCGGCCTTGAGCGGATCGGTCCATTGATTGCGATCGTTGAAGCCATGCAGCACGATCGCGGTGACCTTGTGGTCTTGACCGGCGAGCACGTCGTCGACGTATTCCGGCTTGACGACGAGCGAGGCGTGGGGCGCGTCGTGACACTTGACGTTGAACGCCGCGAAGGGGTGCAAAGGCAGCTCCTGCAAGATCTCGAGGGGGTGGTTGTCCGGTGACTGGGACAAGGAGCTCGACGCAATGAGGAAGAAGAAGAGGAAGCACGGGATGAGGTATGCGGTCGGATGGAGGTACAGCAGTCGCCGCAGCGGCGTCGGCAGCCACGAGATGGCCAGGGCTCGCACCCACGACCCTGGGCGGGAATGGTAGCCCTGGCCATTACGGATCGAGTACAAGCCGCCGTTTGAGCCCGGGTTGTAGAGCGACGATGACGGGCGAAATGGCTCGACCTTGATCGAGCTGAGCGACGTGGCCTTGCGGTGCACCGGACTACCCGACGCGCTGCCACTGCTCGAGCGTCGAGGCGAGCGACCGCCGACCATGCGATCTGCGACCACCGAACGCGCGATGGGCTGGCTCCTGCTGCAGTCGGTTCAAAGGGGTGTACTTAAACCACAGGGCACAGCTAGATCCGTCCGTGTTTTGAGCCCGCCGGACTTGCTCGGGCGTCGGTTCCGTCGTACACTCGTAGATAATGATAGAAGGCGAGCGTGGAAGCCAAGCGCGGCGACAGAGGCGTGAAGCGCTCGACAAATACCTGGGGCGCGAATCGCGATCTATCGCGATCGGCCGGTGTCTTCCTTCTCACGAGACCCGCAGGTTCTGAGAGACACCGGTTCCCGCGGATCGCCGACGCGTTAAAGCAAATTTTCAGTTCAGTGAATGCGACGGACTCATTTCCCGAGCATGAGTGGGCTACTCATAGGGCCTGGCGCCGAAACGATTGAGAAAATCCTCTCGCGCTGTTTAGTAGCGATCGCATCTTCCCCGTTCGGTTTCACGCGACCGCAGCAATCTGAGACGTTTCAGCCTGAGCAGGCCGATCTGCAGTAGCACATAGATGAAACGATCCGGCTGCCCGTATGATTTATTTTTTTTGACTTTTTTTTTTCTCAAGTTGGGTTTTTATTTATTCATCAGCTTGATGGCTGCATGGGAGGGCGATCTAGTCTGTGGCGATGCAGAGCGCCGTGAGCCCCTAACCGTGAGATAAAATTGGGATACCACGAGGCTGGGCAGTGCGCAGAGATTGATCATGATGAATGTTGACCCGAAACTATGTGGAAGCGCCACTCCAAGGAAGATCGTTGATGAGGTATTGTGAGGGTGTGTCTTGCACATTGGCTTGTTAACCCCCCAGGGACTATGTGGAAGCGCCACTCCAAGGAAGATCGTTGATTAGGTATTGTGAGGGTTCGACTCCATCGTAAGAGCGCAATGCGAACCGAAATAGCTGGGATGGAGTCGGATTTGCAGCATAAGAACCAGGCATCCCGTAACAAACGGGATGGGTTGAAAATCTACCCACGAGAGACCATAGATAAGAAAGTAAAGGAAAGAACACAAGGCTGATTTTGTATTTATTTATTTTGTAGGGTGGGTGGGAGGAGACGAAGATAGAACGACTATGCTTGTAAAGCGCGATTCTATTAGTACTCGGAATACTGCAAAGACTCTGAGGACTATGGCATACCTATGCTTGTAAAGCGTGTCGCTTGGAGACAAGAAGACAGCAAAGGAAACAGACCTCAGACGCTGGCACGTCGAGGGTGGGTCTGTGTAGCAAGGTAGCCAAGTCAGTCAACGTGTCCAACAAGGACAGTCGAAAGCAGGAGTACCCTAAGGTAGAGCCTGAAGGGGGTGATGTACCTCGACTCTTTGAGCGAGACGCAGGCGAACGGGAGAGAGGCGCAGCACTGGCAGGTGCAGGCAAAGGGAAAACAGACCTCGGACGCTGGCACGTCGAGGGTGGGTCTGTGTAGCAGTGTAGCCAAGTCAGTCAACGTGTCCAACAAGGACAGTCGAGAGCAGGAGTACCCTAAGGTAGAGCCTGAAGGTGGGTGATGTACCTCGGCTCTTTGAGCGAGACGCAGTCGAACACGAAAGAGGCGCAGCACTGGCAGGTGCAGGCGGACTGCTGCATACAAAGTATGGAGCGTCAGTCAACCATCCAACAAGGAGTGTTGAAAAAAAAAAGAGAGGCGTACACAGTGGCAGCTGTTCGTCGTCAACTGGTAAGGCAGAAGACTGGAAGGCGGAAGCTGTACGGTATCGCTGGGGGGGTCCTGTGAGAAGCTCTGAACCTGTCAGCCAAATGGCGGCAGGAAGAGTTCAAGGAAGGCCACTGACCTTGGCAGGAGGTGGCAGAGGTACACAGCGATACTGGTACGGCAACGGCAAGCAGTGGGAACTGAAAGGTGCGGCAGGAGCGGGCTTGGTAAACTCTTGCGCAAGTGCGGCTTACAGACCAAGGCTCGAGGCAGGCGTGCGGGGCGCGGCTTACTGCAGGAAGGGCAGGCGTGCGGGGCACGGCTTATTGCAAGAGGGGCAGGCGTGCGGGCACGGCTTACTGCAAGGAGGGTAGAGGTCGCGCGCGCTTGAGTCCTCGGCGTCAAACTCTTGCAGCAAAAGCAGAAAAGACCAGTGTCTTGCACATTGGCTTGTTAACCCCCCAGGGCAGGCGAGCCTTTGCACCGGAATTATAAGGTTTTCGGCCGCCGGAGACGTGGAGACCCGTTTCTCGGTGAGCATTCACCTTCGGAGCATGTGCATTGTGAATTTCCCGTTCACCAAAAAAAGGTGAGTGATACTCGTGACGGGCCCGGCCGCCGCGCATCGATCGATCGGACAGAGTCTAGTACCGATTACGAGTTGGCTGACTTGCGCTGACTTGGCCGACGGTGCCAGCAGGTGCCAGCGATATCGATGGGTGACAAGGTCTGGCCGGGCCTGCGCTCTCCGTTCCACGTTCAACTCGATTGCGTGTGCGCTTTCACCAACAACTTCAAACTCCGAGGTTCTAGCCCTAGCTACGTCGACGGATCGTCTGGCTCGAGGGTATGTCGTCGTCGTACTCTCAGATGCGACCGTTGACCGGTGCTGGGCCTGCACCGGGTCATACGGCGAACAGCATGAGCACGAGCGAGGCCCAAGGCAGCGGAGCCAACACGATGCGACGGCGCAAGTACTCTTCGATATCTCTGATGCGGGGGAGTCTATCAACGAGCGAAAACAAGGACAATTTCCTCGTATACCTCAGGCGAAGAGGGGCTTCGGCGTTGAGCCTGCTGGCAGGGGTCCTGATCGGGCTCATCATTGCGAGTGCGCTGATGGGGGTTAGCGTGAGTTCGAGATCATCGTCTCCACGTTGCCTGGATGGGGTTGTGACCAAATTATAATTACATTCGTTTCAATGGCAATCATACTACCAGAGCGGAAGGTCGAGTTGGCATCCCTCCGGTGGATCGCTCAGCACGAACTGGAATCCTCGGACGAAACAGACATCACTACCGACACTCGAGCAACGCGAGCGCATCATCAAAGTGCTCGGCACCTTGACAGGTCGACACACACGATTCTGCTTGCGCAAGGCGCAAAAGGCCTATCGACGCCAAGTGTACGAGCGCTACGAGCCCATCGTCGGGTACCAGAGGAAGAACTCGCGGCGCGGGGTGCTCTCGCGACTCGTACCCAACCTTCTCAAGAAGAGGGGTCTCTTCTCGCATTCGGACCATGAAGAGACCGAGATTAACAAAATCTTTCACTCGGACTCGCGGAATGGGGGTAAAGGCATGTCGCAGGGGCACAAGTACTACTTTGCGATCAACTTGGTACGCTCCATCGGACTCCGTCCTTCGCGTGGATCGCGCTAATTCACCCATCCCACGCACGTATGCACGCAGTACAACTCTTTCGACATTATCCCCGATCTCTTTTCCAACATGTTCCGAGTCTCGGCGATCTTGGGGTACAACAACGTCTTCATCTCGGTCTACGAGAACGGCTCGTCGGATCAAACGAAGGCTCTTCTGCGGGTCTTTGACGCCCTCTGTCGCTCCGTCGGACTGCGTGTCATGATCCGATCATCGCAGCGTCGACGTGGAGCGTTCGCGCACCGTATCGAGTACCTCGCCGAGGTGCGCAATGCTGCGCTTGTACCACTCCAAGAACTTCGCGATGCGACGGGCGAAGTCTTTGACTCGATCATCTTCATGAACGACGTCTTGCCCTGCGTGGATGACCTGCTCGAGCTCATTTGGCAAAGTCGACGACAAAACGCCGGTATCACCTGTGGTAGTGATTACATCTTCCACGACGAAGTGGTAAGTCGTCTCGAGCCCCCTTCTTGTTAGATTCAGAAGTTTATTTGCTCGCTCTTGGTTCGCTCCTCCAGGGTGCCCCGGTCTTTTACGACAAGTGAGTTTGATACGTCGGCTCCACCAACAAGACCAGCTTGCTGAGGTGCGCTTTATTTTTCCGCGTTCAGTTGGGTCGCTCGAGACATCAACGGCACCGCTTTGGAGAACGCCCCCTTCGAGAACGTCTTCCACGATACCGAATCGACGCACCGCTTCCAGCGTCACTTGCCAATCCAGGTACAATCCTGCTGGAACGGGATTGCGATCTTGGACCCGGCACCGATGTATGCGCACCCGCACGTTCGGTTCCGCATGGCGAACTTGCCCAAGGGCGAATGCTCGGCGTCCGAATGCTCGCTCATTTGCAACGATTACTGGGAGGCGGGCTACGGACGCATTATCATGATCCCGCGGGTCAAGTTGGCTTATGAAGGGGTGAGTTGGCTCGTGTTGTCGTATTGGTGCTCTTGAGCTCACACCAAAAAGTTGACCGTCCCAACAGAGCGTCTTCCACCTCATCCACCCCGAGCGAAGGAACCTCACAACGATCCGAGGCTACACCCGCCTCGGTGGGAACGCCGACGACCCGCATTCAGATCCGCAAGATCGCTCATGGCACGGTCCCCACGACCGACTGTTCCGCCAAGAAGAATCGGAAGCGATCGTGTTCAAGCAGCCGCCACCTTACGTGTGGTGTTGGGGTTGGGACGGGCCCGGTGATTTGGCAGGTCCGGATGTGGAGCCGATTTGGGAGAAGATGCCGAACTTGACGTTCGATCCGGTGACTGTGAGACATGATCGTTCGTTTGTAGAGCTTGGATAGGGTGGTGTGAGATCATACACTGTGCGCGGGTGCAATCCATGTGCCGGACCGACATAATTTTTGTGGGGCCGTTTTTAGAGTAGCTCGATGCCGAGCCATGGGATGTGACCTCGCCGTCGGATTCGGTCCAAGAAAGATGATAGTCATTCCATAATTACAGCTCTGATGATACATCAACTCCTGCAAGCTCTGCGCCGAGCGTCCGGCTACATTGCTGCATTCTACTTCTTGCCTGCTTTCTTCCCCTCGCCTTCTTTACCCTCGCCGTCCCCTCCATCCTCTCCCTCCCCTTTCCTGACGGCCTCGTGCAGATCCTTGAGACTGTTCTTATCCTCGAAGCCTGCTCCGCCCATCATCTGCAGTGCGTTGAAGGCCTGCTTGGGGTCGACTTCGATGCCGGCCGAGCGCAAGGCTGCCATGAGGGATTCGGCGGCCGCTCGGAGCTCGGGATCCCTGTGGGTGGGTGAGAGGGTCCAGCATCAGAAGGAACATTTCCAACGTGCATCAGCAGCTGGCCACTGAGCCGAATCGAGCCAATTGCCAGAACAAAGGGGATTCAAGCGAGCGGTCCGTGCCGAGCTGCACCTTCGTCCGTGCTGTCACGACGTAGAAGAACTCACTGGGCAAGTTTGTACATCAGGCTCATGGTCGGAGCATCACCATTCCTCAAGTCGACGCCGGTCTTCTCCTTGACGATCTCCGCGAGTTGTTCGATCGATTGCAGCACTTCAGGATGGCTCTGTAGCCTATCGAACATGGGGACTTCGGATTGGAAACCTCTTGCTTCCCAGGGAGATTGCGGGGGTGCTTCGGAGGCGTACGAGGTCGAGGTGGTGGAGAAGGTGCAGCGCAGGGACGAGGTTGGGAATCGCGAGGTGAAGGACACCGCGGCGCTCGTGGACGGTCGGGTGGGTGTAGAGGCCAATGATCGGAGTAGAGGAGTCACTCGGGTGAAGCGGGAGGCGGCCATGGTGACCGTTTGCGAATGGTGGGGGTGGTGGGAGGGTAGGTACGGTGAGATGGAAGCTGCGGAAGGTCAAAGGCGAGTCGAAGGCGACGCCGGCTTCACGCTTGCGACGCCGCTCGTGCCCGCTCGTGCCCGCTCGTGCCCGCTCGTGCCCGCTCGTGCCCGGCCGCAGCCTGCCGCAGCCGGTCTACGTCAGTGAGTCAGATTCTCGGCATCGCACGGCTCGCCTTTTTCGTGAGCTCGGGTCGCTCTCAATTGATCCTCAAACAAAGGGGGGTTTGGATTTTATCCTCGATGAATTTGTCGCATTTTCAATTGGAGGCGGGCACACGGATAAAAGTCCAAGTCGCAAATTGAAGCTCACCCCCGCCCGGCAGCGGATCTCCGATGTTTCAGCCGGACTGGCCGAAGTTCGTCCGCTACGCCCGCCTCGTATCCGAGTCTCACTGCAATACCGCCTGCTCCGCTTCTCACCTCGACCTGGAGTCAAGCGGATCCTCGGTTTTCTTTCTCCTTAGCTCATCACCATGTCCACATTCGCCAAACAGTCCTTCGATGCCGTCGGCTATGCCCTGTCAAGACCGTGGGTTACCTAAGTGGCCCCAGACCCTGATGATGTAGCGCCGCTGCGCCTGAGGCCTGAGCCCCACTTGACGTCGCAAGCCGACGGAACCCATACTCATACCGAGGCCCTGCTTCCTCATTCGCAGTGCGTACCCGCCCAAGGTCTATCAGCACATACTCTCTATCGCCTCCATCCCCTTGTCCTCGACAACTTCCACCAGCACCAGCGGCAAGGACTCATCGTCCGTTTTGGTCGACCTCGGCTGTGGCCCCGGCTTGTCGACTTTTGCCTTTGTACCTCATTTTGATCGGGTACTGGGTCTAGACCCATCCAAGAACATGGTCCATCATGCAACCGAGATACTCAAGGGGAAGGACGCGTCTACTCAAGACAAGCTTAGGTTCGCGCAGGGCAAAGGTGAAGATTTGTCCCAGGCGGTTCTAGGGTTGGAAGATCGGTCCGTCGATCTGGTCGTAGCAGGTTCGTATTCCGAGGTTCATATGCATTGAAACGATTTTGGACTTACTGACCGTCTGAGAATCCTACACCGCTCCAAAAGGTCAAGCCGCTCACTGGTTCGACGCCCAAGCCGTCTACTCGCAACTCACACGGGTGCTCAAACCAGGGGGCTCTTTTGTATTCTTCGTGCGTTGAGAAGCAGGCTCATCAGCTCAAAGAGTTGTACTCTCCACTCACAACCCGGATTCTCACCGCAGGGCTACGGCGAGATGTTCTTCCCTCAACCTTCCTCACCCGAGTTGAACCAACTCGTCCCCGAGTATTCCGGCAACTTGCTCAAGGATTACTGGCAACAACCCGGTCGAGGGATCGCCGAATCCCTACTCTCCCAGTACGCGTTCCCTTCACGCGATTCGGATAAAAGATGGGACACCTCCTCGTTCCGAAGAGACTATTTCCTTCGAGCATCTTCGGACTCTTCTCCGGCTGTCCCTACCAACCCGGAGGACCCTCCAAACGTCCAGGTTGAGAAGCACGACTTGATCTTGGAGCACGTATGGTCATTGAAAGAGCTCGAGGCGTATCTCAGGACGTGGTCGTCGGCGCACACCTACGACGAGAAGCACGGTCCAGGCTCGGACGTGGTCAGGTCTTTCGTGGAAAAGCTGACGACGACAGGGTATGGCAAGGGTCGAGCAGATGGCAAGGAACGTATTGGTTGGGAGATGGGCATGATTTCGGGCCGTTTAGGTGCCGAATAAACTTGTTGCGATGACACAAGCAAGGCCAGTCTACTTTCTCCGCGTACTTTTGCTCTTCTCCCACGCATCTTCCCTCGCTTGCTCGGTCCGATTCAAAAAATCTTGCTTCTCCAAGTATCCGCCCTTCCTGTTGTGGTTCAAGTCGTCCTGCAGACCTTCCTCCTTGGTGACGAACTGTCCCCAATCCAGTTTGGACTTTTCGAGCGTGTTGAGTTTGGCCGGTTTCGAGGAGAGTGAAGCCGCGAGGGCTCCGAGACCGCCTGATTTGGGTCGACGAGGTGCCGAAGACGTTGCCGGTTTTGTCGTTGCAGCGGGTTCTGTCGTTGCCGAGGTTGTGGTTGCCGAGCACGACTCTGCTGTACTCTCCGAGTCGGCGCCGAACAGAGAGTCCAGCTTTGATGTCGTACTAGTCGATGTACCGTCGGGCTTGGAAGGTGGTGCTGTCGATGGTGTTTGACTTTGCTTGGCGAGCCACTCTCGAGCTTCGGGCGAATCTATCGGCACTTCTTTCTCTTGCCTGCGTCAATTTTTTAAGTTTTTAAGCGCAAGAACATTGAGCTGGACAGTCAGCATTCAGTTTCGATAGGATCAGCTAGATCGCACAACATACATGACCGTCTCTCCCACGAACTTGTACTCGACTTGGATCTTGATCGTCTTGGGCTGACTCGACTTTGTTGCCGAGGTCGAGGATTTCGTCGAGTCGTTGTGGGGGGTTGAAGCGGTAGCTGTCGCTGTGGAGGTCGTAGCTGTGGTATTTGAAGTGGATGGAGTAGCGTAGGGGTCTGGTTCCGAATTGAAGGAGGCCCATAGATCATCGACATCTTGTTCCGTCAGGCTGTGGGTCGTGTGGGGGAGTGACCCAACGGAGCTCGAGTCAGCCTCACGGAAGGCGCTGGCAGCTCGCCGCTTGGACTGACGAAGGTTCTGCAGCTTGTTCGACGTGGGACGTCTTGTTCCTCTTGCTGGCTCGGTCGTCGTCCGAATCGGAATCGGAGCCGGACGAGCCAGCGCCATCAGCATCGTCGTCGAGCGTAAAGTCGTCGTCGTCGTCGTCCGAGGGGAGCAGCGAGGGGTCGTCGGCGGCGATCTTGACGTGTTTGGTGATGGCCATGGCTGAAGTTTTGGGGTTTCGGCTGAGGTTGGTGTGGTCTATCGGTCTATCGGTGGGTGCAGGGCCGGGGATGTGCGGTGTGACGCAGCTGCTCTCCGTCTCGTGCGACGGTTGGCGCGGGTGGCCACCCTTTTTATTTATTTGATAGACTTCATTAACAGCATAGTTATATTAATACCTAGAAATCTTCGGAAGTCGCGCGTCCCAATAGTGTCCCAATTACCCCCATTGAAGCTGTTCATAATGGCCCTTTTACCTCGCACCACCGCCGCGCGCCAGGTCTAGCTCTTCGCTCTCCTATCTCTGCGTCCACCCAAACAACCCTCACGGCACTCTACATCACCTTGCGCGGCTAACGCGTCAAGAGTGGAGTTGGTTCCCCGGGTCGGCTTGTAGTTTCCTCTCACCCCCACAGCGTGAGTCGGCTGGTCAGCTCGCTTCGTCGTCGCGCGGGCAGTTCGTCGACCACATGGCGGGTTTGGGTCGCACCACGCGCAATCCCGTCCATCTTGGCATGCTGGAACTCGCACCTGGACATCGTCCTGGCCTCTCTCCTCCGCGCAGCGCACCTGCCCTGAATTGCCGAAGCTGACATTCCAGTGGTGTCGTCGCCGTCACGCCGTAGACTTCGCAGTCGCCAGCTGTCAATCCGTGCGGACCCGGACTCACACCGTTCGCTCGACTGATCCACCCACCACCCACCACCCACCACCCAACATCTTCTTTCTCCGCTCCCGCAACCATGTCCTCTTCTACGACCAAGCCCAAACCCAAACCACGCTCCTCTGTGGCCGGCAGCGCCTCCTCGTCGGTCCCGGACGCGGTCGACCCCAAGCTGATGGAACTCGCTCGCCAAATCGGGATCAACCGCTTCAACGCGCTCGTGCAGTCCCGCGCGCGCAGCACCAGTACCTCCACTCCCACCGCACCACCCTTGAACCCAGCTCCCGTTCCAAGTGCGACTAGTCTCGCAACGCCCGAGTCCAGTCGGAGCAAAGCAGCCAAGGTTCCTGCGGAGCGCAAACCGACCTCGAAGCGAAAGTCCGTCAACTCGATGGCCCTTCCGGTAGTCGAAACACCACCGAGCAAAAAGGGCAAATCGACGTCCAACCATGGCAAGCACCAAAATGACGAAGACGTCAATGGCAATGCTAATGATGCCCCTACCAACGATGACGAGGAGGAGCGCAAGGCTCGAAAGAAGCAGCGAAAGTTGGACAAAAAGGAGGCTAAACGCAAGGCCGCTCTCGAGGCCGAAGCCGACATGGAAGTCGATGAATTGGCATCACCCGTCAAGGACAGTAAAAAGAAGAAGCGAAAGAAGGAGCAGGAGAGGACGGACAAGGAGGTGAAGAAACGGTCGAAGAAGAGCAAGAAGCTGGACAAGGGCAAGGGCAAGGAGGTGAGCGCGACATCCTTCGAATGTTTTTCCTGACACGGAATTGATGATCTCAATACACTTTGCTTGGTCACCGCAGATCGTGCAGGATAACCTGAACGAGTCTTTTTCGTCCGCGGCAAACCACCACCCGAGCCCGCCTCCAAAACCCATCGCCGAGGCCAAATCCAAGTCCAAGTCGAGCAGCAAACGGCCTCGACCTTCCGAGCTTGATTCCAAAGTCGCGGTCTCGCCCGTCAAAACTCCCCGCAAGAAGCGCAAGCTTGCGAACGGCTCGTCTGCGGCCGTCCCGTCCACTCAAGCCAACACCGCCGTTTCGGCCCCTGCCCGTCCAGCAGTGAATGGTCTCCCTTCGACTTCCACCGACTCGCGAGACCTTGAACAATTGTTGGTGCAGACGGTGAACGTGCTACGCGCGTCTCCTTCGTATGCACATGAATCTGGCGTGTTTGGGGAAGGCATTGTTCAGCTGTTCCAGGCTCTGGTCGCCAAGGTGGCGAGTGCCGACATGCGACCAGAGGCTCCGCCGGCGTCGAACCACGACGACGATGATTCGACGACACCCGAGGAGGACGAGCAACATCGTCGGTTGAGCCAGAACAGCGGTCGCGCGCCTTTGAACGGTACCGAGGCTCCTGTGGCCTCGTCCTCGACCTCGTCGTCAACGCGCCCCGCTCTCACCTCGACGTTTGCGGCACGCCCTACCGCCGCCCCTACCGCCACCCCTACCGCCGAGGCGCCCGAGACTGAAGCCGAAGCCGCCATAAAGGCCCGTGCCGCCAAAGCCGCCAAAAAGTTGCTCAAGAAGGAGCGACGCGAGAAGAAACAACAAAAGGAGATAGGCGCAGAGGCGCCGTCGAGCCCACCCGAGGAGCAAGAGGTCGTCTCCCCCGCGCCTGATGAGGAGGACGGACCCGCGACGCCCCTTTCGTCGCCCGACAAGAGCGAGAGGATGAACAAGGAGCGGCCAATTCGGAAGCGATTGGGCAAGCTGGAGAAGGGCGCCTTGAGGTCAATGAGTCAGTCGGCCGGGTCCTCGAGACAATCCTCCTTGGCGCCGACTTTGACGTTGCCACCAGCTCGAGAGGAGATCGTGATCAAGGTGTCGGACTCGCAAGCGGAGGAAGCGGAACGCGCGGCTATTCGAGCGGCCGAAGCCACAATCGAGTCGTCGGCCTCTTCTCCCGACGAGGAGGGTCCGCTCAACCACAGCACCGACCCCACCATTCGCTTCCGTGGCGAAGACGACGAGGCTTCAGAGAACGAGATTGATCAACTCGCCTCGACACCCGTGCTGGCGAGACCTTCTCACCCCCTTCGTCAGGCTCCACGTTCGACCATCTCGGCCTTCTCTTCCGAGGATGACCCGGAGGAGATTGAACTCTCGCTGAGGACCCATGCTTCCCCACGGAAGGATCGACCGTTGTCTCTGGACCCCGAGGTGGAGTCTGGAGACGAGTCCGAACCCCGGACCGAGGATGACGATGTGGAGGAGAATCACAAGGAGGAAGACGGCCACGCGAGAGAGAACATCAATGACGGCTTAAAGGAACAGCATGAGAACAGGGGGGAAGGAGACGACGAGCCGCCAACACGGCCCAAGATCGAGCACGATGGCGATGCAGCCATGGCCGATGCGCAAGCGCAAGACGAGTCCCACGTCGAGGAGGACGCCGTTCGCCGAGCAAGCCCGATCACGAACGGTGTTGTGCCTTCACCGGGTCAACGACAACCCGTCGATCCCGTCAACGTCCCGCTCCCTCCTTCTCCCTCCCCACCACCCCCAATTCGCACTATTGGCCACGATGATTCCGACGCCAGCTCCTCGTCCGATGACGACGATTCCGACTCGTCGTCCTCGTCGACGGCTTCGAACCGAGCGTATCGTAAACCTTCTCGCCCATCGATCGGTGCCGTAGCGACGAGTGCCTTTGGCTCGGCGGCATCGATGCGCAGAAACCGCGCTAAGCGTCAGTCGAGCCCGCTCAAGACCTCGTCACTCGCGCGGACGCTGTCGAGCACCGGTCCGGAGGTCGACAAGGACGCCGAGATGGAGGAGGACGTTGACGAGCTGTTGTCGCAACCAGTTCCCAAGAGTGCGGTCCAGAAGCTGTTGCAGAATGCGGAGGAGGAGGAGCAGCGACTTGAAGACCCCAGGGGCCGGTCGACGTCGGTTTCCTCCTCTGAAGCCGACACGAACACCGCCGGGGCGGTCGCAGAACCCTCAAAGGAAGGCGCCGTGGAGGAGCAGAGGAACGGAGGTGGCGAAGCTGACGCTGGTAGCACGCAATCCCTCAAGGAAGTCAACAACAGTCTCGAAGCGACGACCGCGGAACCCATGGAAGCGGTGAACCTCTCGGACATCGCAGCGCAGGCGAGCAGCGCCCCCGGCACGCCTTTGATGATGGACACCGAGGCTTCTCAGTTGGTCCGACTGGACCACCACGGAGTGGACTCGGACGAGAGTCAATACGTGCCCTTGATAAAGAGCCAGCCGTTTTTCCTCGAGGCGACACAGCAGACGCAGCGGCTCCCAGGGTTTGTGGACCACGAGGGCGAGGAGAGCCAAACGGTACGTTTCGACGTGGCCGGGTGGCCCCAAATATGATAGGAAGTACATTGGCTGAAGAAGGATCCAAATTTTGTGTGCGCAGTCATCGCAAACTATCCTGAACGGCTCGTCGCAAGTCAAGAAGGCCGTCGATGCTGCGACACTGGACGTACCCTCGCAAGCAACGCCCAACGGACGGCTGACCCGAGCTGCCAGTCTCCGTGCGAGGACTGCATCGCCCGGCCCCTCGGCGACAGCTCCATCCGCAAGTGCTCCGTCGTTCAAGAATTCTGACAGCGCTCGACCACCTTCCGCGTCCCAGCCTTTGCCGACGACCAGCTTCCGAGGGCATGGTCGTGCTTCGTCGATGCGCGCCTTGTCCCAGCTGGACGAAGCGACCCCTCGACGTTCGATGCGGCATGCCGGTCCTTCGACGAGTCAAGGTTCTACATTTTCTGCGAGAGGCGCTGCGGTTCCTGCTTTGAGCTGGATCAGGAAGGACGATGATGGCGAGAACGAGAGCGAAGACGACAGCAGTGAGGACGAGGATCGCAAGGCGAACGGCACCTCGACCAGGCCTCGAAAGTCCAAGGTGTTGTGGAATTAATTTTCGAAGTATCTTGTATTTCTGCTTGTACGTGCGCAGTGATGGTGATAAGCGAAATGCGACTTGGCATTGGCATTGCAAAGCATGTGTAATCAACCGAGGAAGCTATGACGTGCGCCCACGGCGGGCGCAAGTGGCGCCTAGCCGGTCCCAACACCAGGAGCATTTCTTGCGAGGAGAACTCTACAAGAATAAGGGTTCGACTCCATTCAATATCACCACAAGTACTCTAAAATTGATCGGGTGCTGGTTTGCTGATGTTTTTCGAATAGGCATATAATTCACTTCTCGGGCCCGGGTCGTACGCGGGCTGAAAAGTCCCGACGCCGGAACAGGGCGCGATGGTGAAAAGCGATGTGATCTACAAATATTTCGTTGGGAGCGAAGGGGAGCACGGGCGAGGCCTATATACCATGAGCCTTGGCGGGCTATGCCATGGGAAGCAATCACTGCCTGCTGGCTCTTCCTTAGCATGTACGTCGAATGAACGCATTCGATGGGGGGTCATTTCGCACGGTTCGGCTCGAACTCACCCTCTAGCACCCACCCACCTCAAACAGGGCCCCTGCACAAGGATGACAACATGCAGTCAGAAAAGGTAACCTACGGGTTATAAAATTTTCTCAAAATTTCCTATAAATTCGGGCATCGGGCATCCCACTTGCAGTGGTTGCAACCCGCCACTCTGTGATGCCGGACCGATCCAACTTATTGCCATCCTCACGGACGCCCCTGGCCGTCTGACTGTCGGGGGAACATTGCCCGCATGTCAAGGCCCGCTGGACATGCCACAGGAAAGCGGGCGGCGCGTTCAGCTTGAAAGGCACAAGATCACTCTCGAGCCTCGCAGGTGCCAGGCAAGGCATACGGAATACGACTCGCTTCCGGTGTCAGCCCCATAAAGAGGGAACTGAAGATGCTGCCAGGTGCGCGCAATCTACCTATTTCTAATGCCTGTGGCCCGTCGTTCATGGACCGTTTCGATGGCCCTTATCGCATTGTTGCGTGACCCGCCCCAGCTACATCAAACTTCGATGGAGGCCTCTTCGGGAATACTTCATGCGCCTCGATTACTACAACCGACGCGTGGCCCGTGTACCCGTCACCTCGGTGTTGAGCGCCAGGACTTGCAATTGCAACCCCATGATACCACAACTAGCTTCTGGTGTCAGCTCGATGATATGATAGTGCTGAGATAGGAAACACCAGTACTCACCTAGCTTCTGGTGTCAGCTCTCTCAGCTCTTCGTCGAGCTGACATTTGGCGTGACAGTCGTTCCGCTTTCTTCCGCGAAGAGTCGGATTTCGGAAGCTTCAGCGCGGCCAAGTCGGATCAAGGTTTCAGGCCAATGGGGCTGCGAAGTCGCCGAGTTGCGGTTGACGGCCGCCCCCAAACACGTTCAGCAACTCGCAACACGTCGAAGACATCGTACGCCAAGCCAGAACACAAGCAACAGAGCTTCGAGCATTACCCGATCTTGACACCCATCTCAGAAGCCTCCATCGAACTTGACGAGCCGCTCGTGAGTCGGCTAGCTGGATCATGACAACACCTCTGCTGCTGAGGCTGGCGACCATCTCGCGGCCATGTCGCCGGGTGCGGTGCCGGCCCCACCTTCATCCTCTACCTTCGCAATGCAGAGGTGTTGTCATGATCCGCAGCTAGCCGACCCGCGAGCGGCTCGTCAAGTTCAATGGAGGCTTCTGATATGGGTGTCAAGATTGGGTGATGCTTGCGTGCTGGTTTGGCGTACGGTGCCTTCGACGTGTTGCGAGTTGCTGAACGTGTCTGGGGGCGGCTTAAGCTCAACTAAGCCCTCCCTCTGGCAGGGGCTTACGAGTTTTCGGCGCGCTATCAATCCGACAACCGACCTTCCTGCCGGCCGATCCGTTCTCGGTCACTGGAGGCTACCGAGACTCACGAGGACCGACAGGATTCCAGCGAACTACGCAAGAAGGCCAAAGTTATTCTGGGCGAAAGTCTTGACAAGGACTCTACCGCCCGGCCTGTGCAGATCGAGGCCATTGCTGCACTTTTCGAGCTCGAGCAATTTGGGAACCGGGATCGATATGACGCTGTGACAACAGGTTCAGGCAAAAGTGTTCTTTTCGAAGCAATGCATCTCATTTATGTACGCGGGGCCGTCACCATTGTTGTCAGTCCACTGAATGCACTGAGCAATCATCAGGTGAGTTTTTCTGCCGACTGGCTTTGCTGGACCGACATCCGTGCTGATTTCCGCAGTCACATGCTTCTTTCAGGCTGTCAATCTCAATCGAAAGGGAAAGAACGCAATCGAAAGGGAAAGAACGCAATCGAAAGGGAAAGAACGTGATTGTCGTATCTGAGGAGACCTGGAGAGACGGCGAGCTGTACAGGCAGTTGGACGACCCCAATCACAAGATCCCCTTCATTCTGATCGTATATGCCGGTTGACCTCCAGTTTGAGTGAAGTGCACATGTCTTGATTTTCCTTCCTGTTTGCTGCGTGTCAAGTCTCCTGAAATGCATATCAACAATGCAGACTGAGCAAAGTTGATCTCTAAGGAGTCCTTTCGAGAGCGCGTCAAGTTGCCCGTCTATGACGAGCACAGGGGGTGGTGTGCATCGAGGATCGCGAAGACTGAGGCCACGATGAGAGGCCAGTCGAGCAAGCCCTAGATATATCTGAGCTTTGATCCCGGTTGTAAATGACGAGTCGGATTGGGGAGTTGGGAGGAGATGCTGGAGATTGACTCGCGGTAAAGATGCTTGATGTGCAGAGTAGACTCGAAGGTTGTAAGCGCCGGCAATATCTCCGTTCTGAATGTGGGCGTAACCAAAAGTTCCATGGAGCAGCTCGATTTGTCGATCCAATTGCTGATCGTTGACGTGATGTGACGTCAATGTTGTCAACGGTCACATGGAAGTACTTGTTCGAGCCAATCTCCTTCACTTTCGTCGAATTCGCCTTCGTCAAGCTCGCAGTTGCCTGGAGAGTCGCCCAGCGAGATGTCGTCAAGCCGCAATCGTACAGAAATATTGTCAATTGGTCGTTCGCTCGATCCACATGCGAGAGCCATGAGACCGTTGCGATGCTGCATGGTGTTGTTCCTTCGGTTGCAAGCGAATGCGATCTGACCCATGACACTGCGGTAAAGCTGCGGCCAGCGTGTTGAAGTTTTTGGTGTCAGTTCGCTGCGATACCAGCCGAGCTATGGTCAGAAACACTCACAAACTCGATACGCTTTCTTTCGTGACCAGGCTCTTGTTCTTGCTCCGGATCGGAACCATTCTCCGGGGTGGCTTCTTCCGTCTCGACATCAGTGGAAGCTGTTGGGTCCTTGTCGCGATTGATTGGCTCGGCCGGTGGTGGGTCTCCGCATTGTGATAGCAAGGTACGAACCCGTCCGCTGATTAAAGGGTTGTCTTCGGCGATTGCATCGAGCTGGGCGTCGATGTAATCGGATGCGAGGACTTCGGGAGTCAAGTCATGGCTGGCGACGAAGGCGGACTTGGTTCGCTTCATCTCTTCTATGATGATTGAGTGGGCCTGCACGTGGATAAGGCAAGTATCCAGCAGCTTTATTAAATCCGGAGAAATAATCCGAGAAGTACGATGTGTTGCCCACCTGCTCGGCGATCCAGTCATTGATTCGGCTTCTTGACTCTGCGCCATCCTCGCGTGCAAGTCGTAGAATAAGATCAAGTACACGCTTGAGGCTGGACCAGTTGCTGTTGAACAGCTCTGGGCGGTGTGTTTGAACGGCTTCAAATCGTGTGGATGGGCTGAAGTACCACGACAGGTATTGACATGGCGAGAGATCGCGGCTACAACATTCAGCGAATAGATCCGCCTCGCGGCGGTTGTCGAGTTGATGAGGTATGGCGTCTGCTTGTTCGCGTCATTTTTGGTTTCGGATATTGTCGCGCTTGACGTGGCCGACGATCATCGTGAAAAGAGGAGAATAGCGAAGCGGACTGGAAGGGATCAAGCCGAACGGAGCAGGCTCGCCGATGACGAGAGCGCCACTTGCAGGATGCGCTCGGACCATCTCAGGCCCGATCGACCAAAATCGCAGACTTCGGATCGCTGCAGCTCCACCCACAGATTGTGAAAGCTCTCGCCACTTGGGGTATGTCATTTTTACAGCATAAAGAAAAATAGAGTCCTTCATTTTTGCATGGATGCGCCTACTTGCCAAGTTACAGAGAACCACCCCAAAATGGGCCAGACTGGGCCAAGCGCGCCGAAAACTCGTAAGCCCCTGCCAGAGGGAGGGCTTAGTTGAGCTTAAGCCGCCCCCAGACACGTTCAGCAACTCGCAACACGTCGAAGGCACCGTACGCCAAACCAGCACGCAAGCATCACCCAATCTTGACACCCATATCAGAAGCCTCCATTGAACTTGACGAGCCGCTCGCGGGTCGGCTAGCTGCGGATCATGACAACACCTCTGCATTGCGAAGGTAGAGGATGAAGGTGGGGCCGGCACCGCACCCGGCGACATGGCCGCGAGATGGTCGCCAGCCTCAGCAGCAGAGGTGTTGTCATGATCCAGCTAGCCGACTCACGAGCGGCTCGTCAAGTTCGATGGAGGCTTCTGAGATGGGTGTCAAGATCGGGTAATGCTCGAAGCTCTGTTGCTTGTGTTCTGGCTTGGCGTACGATGTCTTCGACGTGTTGCGAGTTGCTGAACGTGTTTGGGGGCGGCCGTCAACCGCAACTCGGCGACTTCGCAGCCCCATTGGCCTGAAACCTTGATCCGACTTGGCCGCGCTGAAGCTTCCGAAATCCGACTCTTCGCGGAAGAAAGCGGAACGACTGTCACGCCAAATGTCAGCTCGACGAAGAGCTGAGAGAGCTGACACCAGAAGCTAGGTGAGTACTGGTGTTTCCTATCTCAGCACTATCATATCATCGAGCTGACACCAGAAGCTAGTTGTGGTATCATGGGGTTGCAATTGCAAGTCCTGGCGCTCAACACCGAGGTGACGGGTACACGGGCCACGCGTCGGTTGTAGTAATCGAGGCGCATGAAGTATTCCCGAAGAGGCCTCCATCGAAGTTTGATGTAGCTGGGGCGGGTCACGCAACAATGCGATAAGGGCCATCGAAACGGTCCATGAACGACGGGCCACAGGCATTAGAAATAGGTAGATTGCGCGCACCTGGCAGCATCTTCAGTTCCCTCTTTATGGGGCTGACACCGGAAGCGAGTCGTATTCCGTATGCCTTGCCTGGCACCTGCGAGGCTCGAGAGTGATCTTGTGCCTTTCAAGCTGAACGCGCCGCCCGCTTTCCTGTGGCATGTCCAGCGGGCCTTGACATGCGGGCAATGTTCCCCCGACAGTCAGACGGCCAGGGGCGTCCGTGAGGATGGCAATAAGTTGGATCGGTCCGGCATCACAGAGTGGCGGGTTGCAACCACTGCAAGTGGGATGCCCGATGCCCGAATTTATAGGAAATTTTGAGAAAATTTTATAACCCGTAGGTTACCTTTTCTGACTGCATGTTGTCATCCTTGTGCAGGGGCCCTGTTTGAGGTGGGTGGGTGCTAGAGGGTGAGTTCGAGCCGAACCGTGCGAAATGACCCCCCATCGAATGCGTTCATTCGACGTACATGCTAATCTTCTCTGTATCGTTCCAATTTTAATGTTAGCCAGGCCACCGAAGTGGCCGGCGATTGAGCGTCGTGTTGCTCTCTCTGGATATCCTCGAGGCGCGACCGAGGAGAAAGCGCGCTTGTGGTGGGTTGCAGAGAATCGTCCAGTTTTTGGAGGTCGCCCTGGGGGACTCTGCTGGCCGGTACGATGCAATGGTGTACACTACACATTCTCGCATTTTTTTATTCTTCTTTTGGACAAGTTGCAATGTACGGTATATTCGCTTTGATCTCTTATAGTAGGGCTCGGGGGGCGCGGAGCGCCCACCTCCCTGCGTAAATGAACGTCGCTGCGAGCTCCGCCCGCACTTCCCGGACCGTGGGGGGGGGGGGGGGGGGGAAGATCGGCGCGCGCGCGCGCGCGGCTGAGAGATGTAGATAAGTCGTGCATTCTTTTATGTAGATGTAGATAGTGACTACAGCAGTCCCGGTCGACGAGTGTGTTCAGCCCACCAGGACACCGAGCCGCCAAAAACGTCTCCGGGCGAGCTGTTTTACTTTTCCCATTTCTCTCTCACGGTGCTGAGGCATCGCACCCCTTGATGTCCGGATCCAGCTCCGTGCCGAGCTCGCGTCGTCACATTCGTGACCTGCTTTCGTAGTGGTGGTACGACGTTCGCAGCTGACTTGCATGCCCATTACTTCCGACCCTCATGCGACGGGTGCCATCCCTCCTTCCGTGGCTACTATGATCTCCTCGTTGGCTTTCACGGCCAAGCGTGCCCTTGAGCACGGGAAAGGTGTATCCTTTGGCTGCTTGATGGACAAGCTCGACACCAAAGTCCTGGTAAAAATACTGTGCAAGATGCACATGCGCGTACAACTGCCACACACATCACAAAATGTGCTATCCTTTCGAAAGCTCAAAGAATAAAGGTTCTCACCCCACCTCCTTCTTCCACCTCTTCACCACCGCCGGTCGACTAGGAACGAAAGCCTTGAATCCATCGGGGAGGCGCAGCCAATCCATTTCCACGGGCTCGACATGGGCCACACCAGGGGCAGGTACGAGGAGCTCTGCAAGGTTGGATTGGGGGGCCCTTTCAGTGAGAAGAGCTGTAGGAGGGGTAGGTATGGGTTTGATGTCTTTCTCGAATATTTTCGGTGTAGGGTCGTGCAGTGTAGGATGGGCTGAGGTGTGTCGAGTGGCTCGGATCGTGGATGCCTCGCTTGTTGGGCCGGAGGTGACGATACTCGTGGCGGTGGGTGTGGCAGTCAAAGACGGTGGCGGGTTCGTGAACGGTGACGAAGCCGCCCTCCCGTTCGGTCGAGAGGACTCGCTAGGAACACTCCAAAGCCAGTCAGCGCTCGGTCTCCCACCACAAGCATTAACGCCAAACTCACGGCTGCGTCGGCGCAAACGAGCCCCTCCGACCCTGCCCCTGCCCAGCATTCGGTTGGCCCTCAACTTGCGTAACCATTTCCAAAGGTAAGATCCCCGACAGTTGCGTCGAATCGCCTTCGTCTTCTAGCGGCGTCAAAGGCTCGAATGTCGCAGTGGGCATTTGACCCGGCCTTGGCATCTGCGACGATCGGAACGCCGATGCTGAAAGGTCGCCGAGGTGCCTTTCCGTGGGAGGTCGTGGCGGAAGCACTCGTTCGGCTATGATGGTATCCATTTTCCGTGGTGGTTGCTCATCTTGGGCGAGGCGCGCTCGTTTTGGGGAATACCCTTCCTCCCGGCACAAGAACTCGAGATGCTTGCCCTTGATCTTGATCGTCAAGGGCTTGACGTCCTCTTCGAGTTGAGACGAGCAGGAACTGGCCCTTGAAGGGGGGTTCGAACGAAGCGCACTTGACGACGATAATGCCGATGCAGCCTTTTCGTCTTCGGATGGATGGAGGTCTTCGACGTCCATCTTGTCATCGTTGGCCATCGTCGCTGCTGAGCTCGGGTACCGTCTGACAATTGACGTCGAAGAGGAGGAGGCGGAAGAAGAAGAGGTCCTTCGCCTTTTTCGTTCGGGAGGTGAGGACGGCGTCCAATCCTCGTAAAAATGTTCTTCGACCTCTTTGAGCGAGGAGATGACTTCGGAGAGAGAGGATGAGGTGGCGAGGGCTTTCGACGGTTCCTTCTTGGGGAATTTGGGAGGCGAGTCGACGGGAGGCACGCGAACGGGCTCGACGACGGTCATAGGGGCTGGGAATGGGTCGGCTTTAGCTCCAGGTTCGACGGCGGGAGCGGGATTTGACGCCGTCTGGACGGTTGACGTCGGGGCGGGTACTTTGGAGGTAGAACCGACCGGGTGGGGCTCGACGGTTGGCGCAGACACGGCAGGCGCAGCAGTCGCTGGACTTTCGGCCTTGGTTCGATCTCGGGGACTCCAATGACTGGGCTGTGCGGCGAAAAGTAAGGAGAGGCTTCAGATAAGTCAACACGTAAAGGTGCTACCAACAGCCCGTACTCACCCCAGTGAACTGTGGCAAAGTCCAGTTGACCGCTCGGAGGTAACCGTTCATAGGCGGTTGCTGCTTGATCCCCCCAGGTTCGCGTTCTCCCCCAACCCTAACTTGAGCCGCATCGACACCCGAACAGGATCCCAACGAGACCCGAGTTTTGGGATGCGGATACAGTTCGGGCAAGGTCTCCAACGACGCTTGGCCCGAATGGGCCTGCTTCAAGAGTTGAGCCTGATTCGAAATCTGGGCGGATTCCCGGTTGCTGTGTTCGATGCGTTCGATTGACCGATACAGTTCCGGATGTCCACTCTTTTCGGATCTGTAGTCCCTGACGGACTTGTCGGCATGACGGGACGTGAGACCCCTGTAGAGACCGAAATAGCGGAATTCGAGGACGCGGAGTACGAGGCGTGGGGACATGGCCTCGAAGCGTTTGGCGGAGAGGTTGTAGCCAACCGGACTGGCGTAGACGTATTCGTACGAGGCGATGGTGAAGATGTGTTCCTTGAGTGCGGTGAAAGCTTCGGCGTTGTCGCTGTTCAAGGGGGAAAAAAATCGAAGCAAAGGTGGGTCAGGAGGTGTCCCTTGAATGTTGGGTACCACAGGTGAGCGTGGGACTGACTGGTTAAAGGTGCGCACAACGTCGAGTGGGATGGCGACGTGGATCCAGAGATCACTGTCGGTCATGGTAGCCCACAAGTGGTCGTTGTCGATGCCCGTAGCGAGTCCGGAAGTCTGGTCGGGGAGAGAAAGTGGTGGCGAGCGACGCGTGTCGACGCGACGGTCAGCACTTTGGTCCCATCTGCGTGGCGTGCAGGTGAAGCTGGAGTACGCTCACCTCTATGAGCTGCAGCTTGCGTTGCTTGTCCATGGTCGCGCCGAGGCGAAAGTTGTATTCTCGGCTGTAGGCGATCGTGTCGTGCGCGATCCACGCCTTGATCGGCGACTCGCCCGGACCGACCATCTTAAAATTTGGGGTCCCTCCACGAAGACGCGTCGACTCGGAGGTAAGGTTCGAATGAGAGAGTGGCTGCCAGAGAGACGACGGCCCACCGTACGATCGCCGGACCACTTCAACCGGCTGGACCGAGATGTCTAGCGGCGAAGAAGTCTAGAGGTAGATGTCTAGCAGTGTCTAGCGTAGATGTTGAGCGTGGTCTCACGCGCGTCGTCGCGCTCACTCCTGCTCACGCGCTTTCTTCCTCGCTCTTCCTCGCTCTTCCTCGCTCTTCCTCGTGCTCATCTACCGACCCATTGACCCACACCACCTCCGGCGCCGAGACCAGACGTTCAATCATGTCAATCCGTCGTCCACCCACCTTCATCACCCTCAAGCCCTCTGACGTAGCCGAAATGCAGGCCTTCGTCCAAGCCCGCCAGGAAGCTCGAGAAGCCCAAGCGGACGATCAACCCACCTCGGATCCTAATGCCCCTTCTTCCTCGACAGCGGCCGATCATAATGACGCCAAGCGGAAGAAAAAGATGGGCGGCGCGGACGGGATGGCGAATGATACGCAGAGTGAGACGATCAGGGCGAGGAACGAGAGGATTGGCCTTTGAGTCCGAGACAGCTCGTCCTGAGCACGATGGATGGGCACCGTATCACGAACTGTTCTTGGGAGGGTTATGTTCGCGTGAGTGTCCCTTGCTGGTGGCAGCGTGCTACGAGTCGAGCTCCACGGCGTTCCTTTCCAGCAGCTGATGACGGCCCCAAAGGCACGTGACCAGATTGGAGCACTCGCCCGAGTCCAGTGGGGTCCACCCCCGTGCGACCGCACCTCCTCAACGCTTTCCACTCCCCATCGATCTATGCACAAAACCAAGGAATAGCACTCCATCCCATGGACCAGACTCTACATCATTAATCGATCGATCGCGGTACTACTCGTCCTCCTCGTCCTCTTCGCTACCCAACGCCTCCAACCTCTGCACCACTTCCTTGACCCTCTTCTCCAACCCCTCCAAATTACCCTTCATTCTCCCTTCGTTCTCCTCCAGACTCGTCCCAAACCCTTCCACCACCTCCTGCAACCCCTTTTCAGCCTCGGTCAACCTCCCGACTTCTTCCCTCAACTGAGCAAGCGTCGAGCCGAATTCGTGCGCCGAGGTGTGCAGGGTCGAGAGGGAACGAAGACGGTTGAGCACGCGAGGCGCGAGAGGTAGTAAGGGGTCTAGACGAGGTAAAAGCGCAAAGAGCGCGTCGATCTTTTGTAGAGCGTCGGGAGGGAGTTGGGTCGAAGACGTTGTCGCCTGGGGTGGGTGGGACACTGAACCACCGAGCACCGAGGCGGTGTTCATCGTTGTGGGACCCTTGTCGGCGGATGATGCGGGGCCATTCGAAACGGTCATCCCACCCGACAAAGCAATGTTCAAAGGACGTGTATCGCCTAATTTACGACGCGATTCGTGGAGACGCTCGAGTTCAGAGACGAGTACTTTGACCCGACGAGAGATCGAGTCGAGGTGGCGCGGTTGGGTCAAGAGCGTTAGGAGATGGTCGAGCCGCCCGACGGTCGTCAGTAGAGGGGGTGGGATTGGATGGGCCTGTGCGTGCAGTCACGTGGGAGAGTTTGAAACGTCGAATACGAGTATAGCCATGCGAGCATTCTTTGCCCGGACCACTCACCTCGTCGACATCAGCCTCACTCGCCCCGACGAGCTTCTCAATCTCGGCCACCCGTCTCTCCAAATCACCCCGATTCGTCGAACCCTGATCGTCGACCCTGCCCACCGTAGTGAGACCACTTTGAGAAGTCGATGCGAGCGGCGGTTTTCCATTCGTGGCCGCCCCCAACTTTGCGAGCAGACTGGAAGAAGTCTGCACCTTTTCCGACAGTGCGCTCCCCGGTTCGACCTTTTGCCCTTCGCCGTGCAACACATTCGTTCCGATCTCCTCTTCGTTCACTTGCAATGCCCCCAGATCCCCTCTGAGCATCTGCAGTTGTTGCAACAGTACGGCGGGGGAGACCTCGCGTTGAACCTTTTTCCTCTTGCCCTTGAGATCCGTCGGTGGACTCTCCCCTGGTTCTTGACCTTGATCGCCTGTGGCCTCGAAAGGTGGTTTCTGTTCGTCCTGTGCTGCCTGCTCCTTCCTGACGTCCTCCTCCAATTCGGTGATTTCGAACCGAAGCCTCCTCAAGCGCTCGAGCGTGGTTTCAGGTTCGTGATTCCCTTCTTTGAGCGAGGGGGAAGCGCCGAGCGCGTACGTTGATGTAGTCGGCAAACGACGCGACGACGACGACGACGATGATTTCTTCTGACTCGACGCATCTGTGCGCTCGTCCAGGTTTAGGGTGTGAGTATTCCGGGTCCCGCTTTGCACGAAAGGTGCACGGTCCCCCCCTCCCCCTCTTCTCTGTCCTCTTCCTGATCGACCGACGAGACTGACCTCTTTCGAATCGAGCACCTTGGAACCTCCTCCTCGCCTCGCGCGCATCCAGCCTTTTCCCAACGAGATTCTCGTCGTCTGGACTGTGCGTGCGACTGTTGGAGGAGGAAGGACCGGCGCTCGCGTGGGCGGGGTTGAGGGCGCCTCGACGTGTCGAGGCGGGAGAACCGGCTCGAGGGGGGAGGAGGTCAGAGTCCGAGTCGCTGTCGAGCTGCGGGATGGCAAGGAAACGGTTAGAGATGCGTTCGTTTCGATTTCGCTCGACAAGCGGTACTTACAGCGTGTGTCGCCTCGAGAGGGACGTCCGCGGTTTCATAAACGTCCGGTGCGGTGTCCTGCAATGATGACGTGAGATGCGAGGTCAGATTAAGACTTTTGCAAAGACACGAAGCTGGTACTTGCAATGTCGGGCAAGGACGAGTATTTGGATGACATGACGGCTCGTGCGAGGTTGGATGAACGCGTGTGAAACCGTCGAAGTCGAGAGCATCCAGCTCGACGCGACGGAGCGCGCTGGGGTTGCATCACGATTTATTTTTTTATTTTTTTGATAGACTTCATTAACAGCATAATTATATTAATACCTAGAAATCTTCGGAAAAGTCGGAGGGAATGCTGTTACGCACACTGGCAGAAGCCAGTAGTGTAGGACTCATTGACCCCACGAGCCTTTACCCCAGTTTGTAACCACGCTTAACCACGCGTAACCACGCGTAACCACGCTTAACCACGCTTAACCACGCTTTCGAGCCAAAGCTAATGCCGCACCTCCGCGCTCTCTCGCGCTCTCTCCGCGCTGTCTCGGTCCGCGGCTGCACCTCCAGCACCGAGCCAGCACCAGCCAAGCTGGACGACCGATCGCTGATCCCACCCTTTCGGTTCGGGCACTTGGCCTCTTCAGCCCTACCACAGCATGTAACCTCCTCCGAGCCTACAGCCGCGAGCTCCTCCTCTCCCTGCCCCTCCCCCTCCTCCTCGACCAACTCGTCCTCCTTTCCCCTCTACAGAGGTTCACTACCCCGGTCGCACAACCTCCCTTTCCTCGATACGCTCCACCTCCGCACCATCATCTCCCTCACGCCGAAACCCATCTCGACCTACGAAGAGAATGGCGAGCTGGTAGGACCGAGTCGGGCCGCGACGAAGCCGACCGAGCCAGGACCGGCCAAAGCAAGCCCGTCTTTGACGACCTGGGCTCGGCAAAGCGGGGTCAAGTTGGTGCATGTCAAAGTGGGGAAAGCCAAGGATGGTGCGATCCCCGTTACGGCTGCGACGGTCAAACTCGTACTCGAGGTCAGTCCCGGTCGTCGTTCTAAACCCCCCCGAGCTTTGTCCCCCTCGGCTGATCCTGATGGCCGCACGAACGCAGCTCTTGATCAATCGGACTGGATACCCTATCTACCTTCATGATCTGGACGGATCGGACGTGGTGGCCATGATGGGTGCGGCGCTGAGAAAGTTACAAGGATGGTCCGAGGGCGCTTGGTCCGAAGAAATGTCCAGGTTCGTGCAGGGCAAAGTCAAACCTTGCCTTCCAGTCGCTCATCACCCGCTCGGGACCGCAGATACCTGCGACAACCTCCGCCCGAACCCGAACATCTCGTCTTCCTACGTCGGCTCTTACCCCCGACCACCAACACCTCCAACAACACCGCCTCGTCGACCGTGCCTCCTTCCTCATCCTGCAACGCAACCCCTACCAAACCCCTCCCCTCCTCCTCCACCCTCCCAGACGGTATCTTTGTCCCCAAAGCTTCGTCCCGTGTGCCTTGGTTATGGCCCCATGGCTTTCCGGGAAAGAAGGGCGTGCATGCGAGTATGAAGGTCATAGTCGAACATGATCCCACTGCAGCAACCGCGCACGCACATGGGGCGGAGGAAGGAGGGGAAGGGAAGAGAGTTTTCGAGAAGGCACGGGCGGGGAAGGAGTTGGAGGGTGGGGGTGGGGGTGGGGCTGGGAATGGGAATGGGAATGGGAATGGGATTGGAACTGGTGTGGGGGCCGCGGAAGGGGCTGGGAAGAGTAGGTGTGTTGTTGCTGGTGGAGTGGGGGAAGAAAGGGCCGTTCATGGATCGAGGAGTCGCAGTGGGGAGACCGGCGAGGGCACTGGCACGGGCGGCAGACAGAGGGAGGCCTCGGGGAACGGTTCGATAGTGGGTGGATTGGAGAATGCCGAAGGAGAACAGAGTGCGTTCCCAGTCGAGCAAGAAGAGGAACGTGGAGAAGAAGGGGACGACTTCGATGAGGATGAAGAAGACGAGGAAGAAGATGACGACGATGAGGATTTACAGGTCTCGAAAACCATCGAGGCGTTAGATTTGGGGCTTTAATTGTCGTACAGAGGTTCATAATACGTGTTGTAGACATTATCAGCAAAGATGGGTATTCGGGTGAATCCGAGCGAGAGCACTTTTGGCAAAACGCTCAGTCCGCGGCTCGACCTCCTCGCGCCGAGCAGGTGATGTTTCTTATCCTCATTTTGTAACGTGGTGAATGCGAACGAGCATAGAGGAGTATCACTACCTAGAAATGCGCAGAAAATAGCGAGAATAACTGGTCATCGAAGCTCGCCCTCTGCAGAGTATCTGAATCTTCAAAGCCCCACTCCCCCTGAGATTCCCAGGCCCACGCGCGTTCGCCACGGGTTTAGCTCTCGACGTGGCGTCGCTGCACTCTGTCGCACCTCGAAGTGCCCCCGATGCACCAGGCATGACCTCGTCTAAAGTCTCACCCCACCTGACGCCGATCCAACGGGCCGACATCGTGGGTGTGCCCGAGCTGCCCCCGGCCGATGGTGACGAGGCCTGGTCCCTCTTGGACGGCAGCGTTACGACCCCACACCCTCACGCCGAACTTGGCGAGCCTCGTTCCACAAGCGATGGAACGGCAAACGGCGTGTACGGCCACAAGAAGAACAGCAGTCATCGAAGGAGGTTGCTCAAGGGTTTCTACGCCTACTCGATCGCGAGCGAGGTGTATGTCACCGTCGCAGGTTCGTCGCCCGAGTCCACTGCTGGCAGCTTATGTCTCGGGTTCTCCCCCACTTGTTTCGCACGTTGGGACCCTCGACCGAGATCGACGGACTAACCTCGTTACCGGAATCGCTGGCCCCGATTAGGCAGTCTCTTCTTACCCGTCATATTAGAAACCTACGCTCGAGAAAATGGTCGTCTCGGCCCTTCGTACCTCCTGCCCTGTCCCCCTTCGTCCGAAGTGCCCTCCGACGGCGGTGGAACGACCGATTCGACTCGTTGCGCCGTTCGCCTCTTGGGGCACTACCTCGACACCGCTTCGTTCTCGCTCTATACTTACTCGGCTAGTGTGGCAGTTCAAGCGCTGACGGTCATCTCCATGGGCAATTGGGCTGATGAACGTGCGTATCGGTAGATGAAACTTTTTCGTAAGGCAACGAGTGATGAGACGCCGAGCTGACTTTTTAGGGACTGGGCACAGCGAGGGCAAGGCATCGGCTGCTCGTCGCGTTCGCGACGATCGGCACGATCTGCACCATGGGTTTTTTGGTCGTACCTGTGCAATCATCCGTGTGGCTACTGTGCATCCTCCTTGCTATCGGGGCCAACGTCGCGTTCGGCGCTGGATCGGTCTGCCTCAATTCCTATCGTGAGTGCTCTCGCAATTCCATGACGTTCAGAGTAAGAGCAAGATCATAGAAAGTGCGGGGCAATATTCATAGTTCCTGATCTCGGAAGATCATCATCCCACGTCCTCGAGCTTCACGACACCCTCGACTCGGCGCGACGGCATCTCGCCTCACTGCGACCACCTTCGACACCCGGTGGACCTCGTTCAGCGAATCGATCCTCTTCCAAAGTCCCCGGCGAAGTTCTCTTGTCGGCATCGCAGGCCTTTGTTCGCGCAAGGGACGAGTACATTCAAGCCAAGGCGCTCGCTACGGCAGCGATTTCGTCCAAGGGGATTGCAGTCGGGTATACGAGTGGGATCCTTGCGCTCGTGTTGGCGTTGGTCCCGATTGGGATAGGGGGTGGATCGTCGTGGGGGATGAGGATGGCGATCGCCGGTGCGGGCGCCGTGTGGGGTGGTGGTACCATCCGTGAGTCCAATCGCAAGAGTCGAGTCGACTCAATTTTACTGATCGTACTCGAACTCCTTGTGGATGCCTCATGTAGCGGCGGCGATCTGGCTCCGTCCTCCGAAAGACTACACGCTCTCCGAACATCCCCCACCCAATATCCCCATCCGCACGCGCGTCGCAGAAGGTTGGCGAGCGCTCGATCGCATGCTCCGCGAATGGCGTCGACTCCCCGCGACCTTCACCTTCCTAGCCGCGTGCTTCTTCCTCAGCGATGCCGGGTCGACGATCACTTCGACGGCGATGTTGTTCGCCAAAACGACGTTGGGCCTCCCCACTGCTGCCTTGATCGCGATCGCTGTTATTTCGCCCGCTGCGGGGATCGTGGGGGCGATTACGGTGCCCAAGGTTCAAAGACGTTGGGGTTGGTCGAATTTGAGGACGTTGATGGCGTTGGCGATGGGGATGTGCGTGATTCCTTTGTGGGGGATCGTCGCGCTCCGAGCTTCCTGGCAGATTTACCCGCTCGCTTTCGTCTTTGGAGGTGGGTCGGTGAAGATGCAGGGTTCTACTTTGGAGTGTACCCTTCCATTGACTGACGCAACCGCCTTTTCTTTTCCCGACTCGCCGAAAAAAAAAAGCCCTCTACGGCTCCCTCCAAGCCTTCATCCGCACCTGTTTCTCCGAAATCATTCCCCCGTCCCGCTCCGCGCAATTCTTCGGCCTCCTCAGCATCACGGACAAATCGTCCTCCTTCCTCGGACCAATGTTGGTCGCCATCATTACGAACGCGACGGGTCAGATCAGGTACGGGTTCGTGTTGATTTTGGTCATGTTGGTCGGGAGTTTGCCCGTTTTGAGAGCGGTGGATATGGAGAGCGGGAGAGGGGACGCGGAGGGTTTTGAGAGGGAGGAATTGGAGGGGGTTGGAGAAGGGGTGGGCGAGTGGGACTAAGCGGGAGAGGTAGATCTTGTTCGGAGTGAGGCATAGATTAGAATGATTATTACAACATGGACTTTGCTTCTATTTCCGAGTCCGTTCAAACCCCATCGGGCGATGATCGCTGCAACAGATCCCTCCACTCCTTTTGCCAAGGTCTCCCTTCAATCTTCCTAGCCACCACACCTCTCGAGACGTTCAAATCGGCCGATCCTACCGGTGCAGGTGCAAGATACCATAGTTCTTGAAGACCCATTTCGACGAGATAGGAATAAGTTTGGTCGTAGTGTAGTCCTACAGCTTGAGGACCGTGCGAGTCGTCCGAGAGGGTGAAGCGGCCGCCGAGGGATTGGATCAGCTGTAGAGGTAGAGGTGTGTCTCTTGGGGTCAGGTAGTCCGTAGCTGGATATCGTGGCCGTTCGCCCTCACTCACCTCAAAGACATCCCGGCCCGGATAAGGCGTCTTCCACCCCTTCCGAAAAGCCGAAGCGTTGATTTCAAACAAGGCCCCGTACCCAATCGCCTGTTTGACGTTCCTCTCAATCTTGGCCCAGACTTGGGGATACTTCCTAAACTGTTGATCGGGGTCATACAACCGACACAGGTCGAAATGGCCGATCACTTCGGGTTTGAACCGCACGAGGAGATCGTATTGCGCGTCAAAGTAGGAGGAGAACAGGAGGGTGAGTCGACTTTCGGTGGTGGGAGCGGGGAGGGAGGAGAGGAGGGTTTGGTAGGTTCGTTGATCGAAATCGATGGGGGTCTCGGAAACGTGGTGGATCGAACCGACGAGGTATTGGATCGGACTTGACGGGTCCGCAAGAAGGGAGTCGAGTTCGTCTAGGGTGAGAGGGTGTATGGCTTCGGTTTCGAGGCCTATGAGGAGGGTGATTTGGGAGGAATAGTGGGACCGGAGTCGTTGGGCTTCGGCGAGGTAGGAGGCGAACGTGGTGGTGAGGTCCTCGGGGGTCAGGTCGGCCTTTTCGCAAAAAGTGGGGGTCGTCCGGGTGGGGGCGGAGGTATGGGCGAGAGAGAGAGTCAGCGTCCAGCTCGGCGTAGGTCGAGCACACCCATGACTTGCCATCGCTCACCTCCTCGGGATACAAATCCTGCACTCTTGACCTGGGCACATGTTCGGTCAAGCCAAAGGTGGTGAACCCTTTCGCGATCGCGGTCTGGACGACTTGTTCGAGCGTGCCTTGGGCGTGCAGGCAGAACTGGCCCGAGTGGGAGTGGTGCGAAATCGTCATTGGCTGGTGAGGTGGGGGCTGTGTGGAGGGTCAGGGTGGGTGTCGATTAACGCGAAGAGAGGGCAAAGACTCGAGCCCCGCGAGGACGGGACGAGCACGGGGACTGCGAGCGGAGGAACTGCGGAGGAGTTGCCCCGCCGGCCGGCCGGGGGCGGCATCTCGCCTGAAATAAGCGGAAATGATGATCAAGTTTCCCAGCCCGGGTCGTAGCCGAAAAGTGCAGTGCTTGGTATTTTTTACACCCTCATTTAATCTCATGTAAATTTCTGCAATGCGGTGTGCCCCTTGGGCGGCTCCCGGTGCAGATCGATAAATTGATAATGCTCCGCTGGGCCAGCCTGAGCAGGCCTGAGCTAGCCTGAGCGGCGGTAGTGCGGCGGTCGACGTGGCCGGCAAGCGGCACCGACTGGCTCTGCGCAGCTTCCACGTTTCACCCCCTCGCGTGCGCTACATCGAACCCGGGTGGCTCTTCTCTGCCCCACCCCCGACGACCATGGCACGAACGCGACCCACGGCCAAGACAAAGCCATCTTCCACCTGGTCCCGTAGCCTCTCTGTGCTGCTGCTCGTGTGGGCCACGATCGCCAGCGTCGACGTCGTCATCGCGGTCAAGAAGCAGGACTTCAAGACGTGCGAGCAATCCGGCTTCTGCAATCGCAACCGACAACTCGCCGACCGAGCCATCGACGCTTCCTCTGCTTGGAAATCGCCCTACTCGATCCCTAGCCCGCCCCGGTTCGAGGCAGGGCGTTACGTCGCGTCGGTCAAGAACGCGCTGTTCCCGTCGATCGGCTTCCGGCTCGAGATCCGCTTCCAGCACGATGGCCTGGCCCGCGTGATCGTCGACGAGGTCGATGGCTTGAGGCAGAGGTACAACGAGACCGCTTCCTGGGCCTTGGTGCAAGAACCCGTTCTTGATCTCGACGACGCTCATTATTCGGTCGAGATCGATGCCAAGCAATCGACCATCTCGTACGGTCCGCCCCAGCACGGCCAACAGGTCCAGGTCCAACACGACCCGTTGCTCATCACCTTCCTCCGCGATGGACAACCCCACATCGTCCTCAACGAGCGGGGCTTGTTCAACATGGAACACTTTCGCGTCAAACCCATCGCCGGCCAGGACCAGGGCGAAGTCGTCATTCAGGACCCGGACCATCCGACCGAACAGACCGTCATCGTACCCGAAAAGGCCTACCCGGGCTTCTTACCCGCCAGCGACGACGGCATGTGGGAGGAGAATTTCAATGGCAAACAAGACTCCAAGCCCAAGGGTGAGTGCGCGTTCTCACGCGCTAGATTTGCACTCGGCTAAATTTAGCTGACCCGCGCACGGAAACAGGCCCCGAATCGCTCAGTCTCGACATCAACTTCCCTGGTTACGAACACGTCTATGGTATTCCCCAGCATGCCTCGACGCTGAGTCTCAAGCAGACCAGGTACGTCAGCGCATCTGCAGCAAGTTCAAAAAGAGCAGCCCTAAACTAACCGAGCACCCCAACACAGGGGTGGCACGAACGCCTACACCGACCCTTACCGCCTCTACAACCTCGACGTCTTTGAATACGACGTCGACTCGGAGATGGCCATCTACGGCTCGATCCCCTTCATGAAGGCTCACCGCGCCGGATCGACCGTCGCCGTCTTTGCCGCCATCGGATCCGAGATGTGGATCGACATCACCAAGAGCTCGACCCCCAAGCTTATCACCTCGGCCTTCAAGAAGAGGTCCAGGGACGGCGCGTCGACGGATGCGGGTCCTTCTCCGGTCACAACGTCGACGCATTGGATCGCCGAATCGGGCATCCTGGACCTCTTCGTCTTCTTGGGTCCTTCGTCACTCGACATCTTTGACCAATACACGACCTTGACGGGCAAGATCCCCATGCCGCAATACTTCGCTACGGCCTACCACCAATGTCGATGGAATTATGTCAACGAAGAGGACGTGCAGGAGGTGCAGACCAAGTTTGACGAGTTTGACATCCCCATGGACGTGATGTGGCTCGACATCGAATACGCCGAGGAGCACAAGTACTTTATTTGGAACAAGGACTACTTCCCCACACCTGAAAAGATGCAGCAGAAACTAGTCGATCGAGGGCGTCAGGTGAGCATGACCATTAACAAAGCGCACTCGCGGTGACTTGGATCATTGACATCTTGAGTATCTGAGTATCTCCAGCTCGTCGCGATCGTCGACCCGCACATCAAGCGCACCTCGTCGCTCCACGTTTACAAAGAAGCGCAAGATCTCGACGTGCTGTGCAAGGACCGCGACGGCAACGAGTACCGCGGATGGTGCTGGACCGGCGACTCGGCTTGGGTCGATTTCTTCCACCCCAAGAGTTGGGACTGGTGGGTTTCGTTGTACAGGTTCGACAAGTTCGTCGGCTCCACCAAGAATTTGTTCATTTGGAACGATATGAACGAGGTGGGTCTCGCGGTCGTAGGCGAGTGAGCGTCTGGAGTTGGCAACTAACTTGTCCTCGATGCCCGCCTACCTTAGCCATCGATCTTTGACGGACCCGAGATTACGATGCACAAGGATGCGATCCACTATGGAGGATGGGAACACCGCGATGTGCACAACATCAACGGCATGCTCTACGTAGGTTCCCCGGAGTCGCCGCAGCTGATCGGGGCGATCGAGCGATCACTGACTGCCGAGACTCCTTGCACCCGCAGCAAAACATCACCGCCCGGGGTTTGGTCGAGCGTGAACCCGTGCCCAGGCGCCCCTTCGTGCTCACTCGCGCCTTCTTCGCGGGTTCTCAGCGCTTCGGCGCCATGTGGACCGGTGACAACCTCGGCCGTTGGTCACATCTCCAATCAACGCTGCCGATGCTGCTGACGAACGGTATCGCGGGCATGACCTTTGCCGGCTCGGACACGGGAGGTTTCTTTGGTGACCCCTCCGAAGAGATGATGACGCGTTGGTACCAAGTCGGCGCCCTTTCGCCCTTCTTCCGCGCCCACGGTCATCTCGACACCAAGCGTCGCGAACCTTACCTTTTTGCCGAGCCTTACCGCTTGATAATGCGCGATTCGATTCGCCTGAGGTACAAGATCTTGCCGGCGATGTACACGGCCTTTTACGAAGCGAGTCGCACGGGTATCCCCATTTTGCGTCCACAATACGTCGTCTTCCCCAACGATCCCAAGGGTTTCGACATGGAGGATCAGTTCTACCTCGGTTCGACCGGATTGTTGGCCAAGCCCGTCGTCCACGAAGGGGTGACGCAAGCCGAAGTCTATATCTCCGACGATCAGCCTTACTACCACTACTTCAACCACGATCTTCATTTCGGTGTCGCGTCGGGTGGAACGACGATCAAGGTCGCCGCGCCGCTCGATTCAACCCCTCTCTTCCACCGTGGTGGTTCCATCTTCCCTCGCCGCGATCTTGTTCGTCGTTCGTCGATCTTGATGTGGAAGGACCCCATCACCCTCGTCGTTGCCGTCGACTTGACCGGCACCAAGGCCGAGGGTTCGCTCTACCTAGACGATGGCGAGTCCTTCGACCACGAAAAAGGTGACTTTGTCCACCGAGGTTTCCAGCTCGCCCCTGCGTCCCCGGACAGCAAGTCCCTCGTCCTCTCTTCGCGCTCGCTCGTCGACGCGTCCGCCGTCGGCTTGAAAACGTACGATGCGACCTCGAACGCCTGGGCCAAGAAGATCGAGGATGTCGTCGTTCGAGAGATCCGCATTCTCGGTCTCGCGAGCAAACCTACCTGTGTTCGACTCTCGGGTACGCAACAAGGCCTCGAATTCGACTGGATGGACGGCCTGGCCGCCTCGAGTGCTCGTCGACGCGGTGGAAGACGTTCGACCGAACTCGTCATCAAGGATGCCGGAGCGCTCGTCGTGCAAGACTGGGACATCACCCTCGACTTTGAAGGCGACGCTTGCCTGACCGTCCCTGCCATCGACCATGAAGCTCGCTTGCAATCTCCCGAATGCGCACCCGGTCAGTTCTACTGCCAGAACCAAGGCTTCACACCCAGCTGTATCCTTCGTTCGCGCGTCAACGACGGGATCTGTGATCCTGAATGCTGTGACGGTTCGGACGAAACGGACGGCAAAGCCAAGTGCGGTAACTTTTGTGCTGAGCTCGGAAGGGAGAACGCGAGACTTCTGGCGGAAAAGAAGAGGAAACATCGTGTTGGCGCTGCGATTCGTCGGGATTACATCAAGTTCGGCGTCAAGGAGAAAGCGAGGCTACGGGACGAGATCGAAAAGGGCCAAAAGGAACTCGAAAGATTGACGGTCAAGCAACAGTCGTCGCAGGCCACTTTGGAGAGGTTGGAGAATGAGGCGGCGGGAGATATTCAGCGAAAGAAGGAGAGCTTGTTGTATGAGAAGATTGTCGAGATGCAGCATGCGATCGAGGCGTTGCAGAAACATCGTCAGAACCTCGAGGGGCATATCGTCGAACTGAGTGGGGTGTTGGCGGATCTTTCGGTGAGTTCATCGTGCGGACTTCGTGGGAAGTATAGAACAATAGCTGACTCGTATACCGCTCGTGCTTACTTGTGTGCAGCGCGACTTCAATCCCAACTACCAAGACATGGCCGTCCTCGGCGCCACTCGAGCGTTCAAGGAATGGCAAACGACGAACAACCTCCTCGACGAAGATGGCAAACCCTACCAAGCCGAAGGCGAGCTCCTCCAGGTCCCCGTCGCCAACGACATCGTCGACTTGACCGATGACCAACTTAATGCGCTGTGCAACGAGGACCCGCTCAACCTCATCGATAGCTTGTCGACTCGCGTTGGCGAGCGTGTTATTCCGAGCTCTTCCTCGACGAGTAAGTTCTGGAATATGGGCAAGCGTGTGGGTGCAAGCTCCTACATGCTCACGTTATCTCGTGTTTGGCGCAGTCTTCAACATCGGCGAGTACATCCCCGACAAGTTCAAGCCGCGCTACGATGCCTTCAAGAAGAGCTTGATGGATGTACTCGTCAGCACGGGCATCATCTACCCTTCCGCGTCGACGGAGGGTGCCGAAACGGCTGGTGAGTACATTCGAACGGAGCTGCTTCCCTTCCTACGTACCGTTATTGACAGTACATGCATATCTTGGTAGAATTGACGTCTGCACGCGCGGCTGTCAGCGCTTTGGTAGATGAGAAGGGTCGACTTGAAGAGCGCATTTCGTCGGCCCAGGATGACCTCAACCGCAATTACGGACGCGATTGGGAATGGAAAAAGCTGGCCGAGACATGTCTTGAGAAAGAGCACGGCGGGTGAGTTAGGCTTGAAGCATTTGATCACAGTGTCACTAGATCACCCATCGTACTTGTCCTATAAAATCACAGGTTCGAGTACAACGTCTGCTTCTTGGACAAGGCTGAACAGATTCAACACGGTGTGCGGACATCACTTGGCACCTTCTCCGGCTGGTCCCCGACCGCGACCGTCGGAACGGACGAGTACTACCTCGAACAGAGCTACAGCGAAGGAGCGCGATGCTGGAATGGACCCGTGCGATCGTCGAGGGTCTTGTTGACCTGTGGGACGAAGAACGAGCTCGTGTCGGTGACCGAACCGGACAAGTGCTTGTATCTGTTCAAGATCAACACACCCGCCGTTTGCTTCGAGGAGGCGACCAACTCGTCGAACGAGAAGGATGAACTTTAGAAGAAGGGGACTGTGTGAAGTGGCTCGTTAGATGAACGTGCAACGTCGAAATAAATCTACCCTAGCATAAGGACGACGCTCGCAAACCCTGGGCAGATTCTGTGGTGCTCTCTTGGTCGTAGTAGTGAACGCCCGTCGCGACAATCGACTCGTTGTCCGCGAGGCTCCACCTTCGAATTTGGGCTTATCGAGGGTGAGAAGTAAGTTGGCGAGCTTGACGATGACTTGCTCATTCCTCGCTTTGATTCTTTAAGCAAGTTTCTCAATCTCTTGGCGGATCGCCTCTTCTGGGTCGGCGTGGAACCTTTCTTTCGGAGACCGGCAAGGGAATCTCTCTCTCGCTTCTGGTACCAAGCATCCCTAGCGCGGTCTTCGGCGACTCTCAAAGAACCGGCATCGTGTTCGTCCTTGTGGGCCTCCACCTACAACTACAAGTCGAATTCTTCGCGAACGTGCCAGTCTTGATTGACCTCTGGTATCGCGTGTGGACGGCGCGTACCCCGAGCGTCTGGCCGAACAGGGGCACAAATTGCGGGAGAAGATGCGGGCAATCGTGTCGTACTAGTTTTCGTGGTTCCGGGATGCAGATGGCCACCCCTTTATGGAACCGAAATACTATACCGCTCATACAAGACGAGGCAAATGAGGGCCTAGTGACCGCACATGCGCAGCACTTATAAGCCGCTCACCTCGCCGTCGCTCTCGCCACATTCACACGAAATTTGGAAACTGGATACCGGCAGAGCAAACAGTTAATCTATTACTAATATTACTATGTGACACGAACGGTTAGATCGTGCACGAACGACACGCAGACCTGAACACACACATTACGGTGGAACCCCCCATGACTGGACGACGAGCGCAAGAAGTGAAACCAAGATGGTCGGAGTCGACACCCTCTTTTCTTAGACGCGGGCAGAAGCCTTGGCAGGGGCGATGAACTCGTCTTGTGACTCGTTGGAGAGCTCCTCGAGCGACTTGCCCTTGGTCTCGGGGATGAGGAAAGTCGAGAAGAGACCCGTGAGCATGAAGAGCGCAAAGATCTCGAGCACGTGGTTGACCCAGTTGTTGGAACCGGGGGCTCCTCCACGGTCCTTGAGCTTGAAAGCCATGATCTGAGCGACGATGGCACCAAACTTGCCCGAGGCGGCACTGATACCGTGCGCGGTCGAACGGTACCGGGTAGGGAAGACCTCACCGGGGATAACGAAGGTGGTGGTGTTGGGGCCAAAGTTCTGGAAAAAGTTGGTGAGGCAGTAGAGAGCGACGAAAGCACCGGGGGCGTTGTCCTTGAGCTTGTGGTAACCGAAACCCATGGACGAGAGAGTGACGACGAGGAAGCAGAAGCCCATGATCTGGATGGGCTTGCGGCCCCACGAGTCGATGAAGAGGAAGGAGACCCAGTAGCCCGGGATGAGGCCGGCCACGGACAGGATGATGTTGCCAATCGAGAGGTTGTGGAGGGTTTGGTAACGGACGAATTGGGGGGTTCCCTTGCTGACGTTGCCGTAGCCGATGGCACCGAGAATGATGGACGAGTTGAGACCAAGACCGTAAAAGGCGACGTCGAGGGCAAACCACGAGTAGGCGCAGCCGAGGAGGACCTTGCCGTTCTCCCACTTGGAGAAGTGGGCGATAAAGTCACGGCGGCTGGCAACGGGGGCCTCAACCTTGACGGCCTGGGCTTGGTCGTAGTCGTGAACGTAGCCACCGGTCGAAAGGAAAGCATCGACATCGGTCGAGGCCTGCTTGACGTTGCGCTCGATGTCCATGGTGAAGCGAGGGGTCTCGGGGATCGTGAGACGGAAGTAGAGGGCGACACCACCGGGGACAGCACCGAGACCGATGAGCAATCGCCAGACAAAGTCGAGATGGCGGGGGTAGAGAGGGTCGTCGGCCAAGATTTGCTTCTTGAAGGCCGCAAGGCAAACGAGCGAGACGAGGGCGGCCGAGAGCTGTCCCCATCCTTGCGAGGCGAAGACGGCGGTCATCATGCGACCACGGATGCGTGTCGCAGCGAACTCGGACGTGATGGTGGCCGAAAGAGGGTAGTCACCACCGATTCCGATACCCATGAGTACTCGCCAGAAGATGAGGACGCCGAGGAGGGAGATACCGGGGCCTCGACCGGCGACGGCTTGGCCGACGGTGGCGATGATGATGACCATGAGCTCGATACCGTACATCTTCTTGCGACCGTACACATCGGCGAGGTACTGTGGAGTAGTGGTCATGTCAATGACCGAAAATCTTTCCGATTTAAAGGCTATAGGACTTACACCAAAGCCGAGTTGACCGAGCAAGGTGCCGACGGGCGTGGCGACCTTGAGACCGAGATCCTGGTTGGCCGTAAGCGCTCCACGGGGCTTGGCGAGGGTGATGGGTCGATAGACGTACTGTTGATAGTGACAAAGTCGTATGACGTGCTCAGACACCGCAACTCGGTTTTACGACTGAAAGGAAATGCAAAAGGCGACTCACTCCGATCATCGTCGAGGCCAAGTTGATGGCGAAAATCTGGCGGATAGGAGAAGCACGAAGGCGCTTAGGTCAGTTTCAAAACATTAAAAGCCCGAATGTGCCGCCTCGATCGGCGTCAGAGTTCGAAGCCTGAGGAAGGCCGGCTACACCAGACACCGGGCCTCGGTGTCTCCGACGATTGGACATTTACCAGTAGGCTGATCTCTAGCAAGAGCAGAAAATGAAACACTCACATCGTAAGCATCGGTATAGAACCCGACACCGGCGACTAAGCATGCCTTGACGTGGAACCAGCCGAAAGGCTTGTTGTCGAGCGCCTCGAGCGCAGCACGGCGACGGGCGTTGAGGTCGACGGCCGAATTGTTGTGGTCGGAACCGTCATCGATAATCTTCTCGTGGCTGAGCTCGACAGACATGGCGACAGGTGGTTTCCAGAGGTAGCGAAGGGGCAGGAGAAAGACGAAGGGAGCAAATTCGGGCTGAGCCTGGGAGCGGGGGGTAGGCTAAGTCTGGCAGAGTCGGTCGGGAGAGAGGAAAGGAGAGCCGAAATCAAACTTGGGCCGGGGTGAGTCGACTAGTTGAAGCGGTCGTCAAGAGTCGAGCAGAACGTGGTCGGATGGGGAAAGAGAGGGAGGGAAAGAGAGGAGGAGGAAAAATACGTCGCACCCAATTTGAGTTGCAAGACATGGCCTCCGATCCCTCCTTCGGCCCGCCCGGCGGGCGTCTTCGCAACAAAATTCTCGGAACGAGGCACGGAACCTCCCTGCAGGCAGCATAGATGGGCCTCGCTCTCGGGGCCCTCGCGGCGGCTTCTCACTCGTCGGCATGTGCATGCGGAAATGGAGACAGCTGCGCCAATCACACCCGGGAACCCTCCAGAGCCCGACCGTGCGCACCTTGCCCGAGGCTTTGAATTGGCATCGAGGCTTGTTAGAACCGACGAAACGTGCGCTGATCGGCAGCAGCGGCAGGCGCCGGCGCGCGCGCAGGCGACGGCAGGATGAAACGTGCGCCAAGACATTCCAACGCCGCGCTCTGATTGGCTCAGACGCCTCGCGAATTGTCGATCGAGCCCACACACCCCGAAATTCCACTCTCTCATCTCGAATCACTCTCGCCCAATGCATCCAAAGTCCCGTGCCATCGGTGGTTCGCCGGGCTTCACCAACCCGACTGGGTTCGAAGAGCACACTTGATCTGATTTGTCACACCGTTTCAAGCCCAAAAGCGCTAAGCAGAGCCGCCGGGCGGCCGAGCGGATGGGTTCCCTCTAAGCTCGAAACCCTCCACTCTGTGGAGGGGCTTGTGACTTATCGGCGCGTTTGGCTGAGTTGCCTATCGAAATTTGGCCCAGAAAAGTACCACCTTGCTGTAGCTTGGCAAATAAAATCACCTATACAATATGTAGAAAAAGGCGCATTCTTATGCTATTTTTACGAGCATCTGCCCAAGGGAAGACTCTTGCATGTCCTATTCATTGAGCTACAGCGGTGAGAAGTGGTTAGTTTCGACTTGGAGCTGGCTCGCGCACGGACCCAGAGGGACGGTTCTTCGCGCCGACGTGAATCAGCCAGCCGCGCCTCACCGGCCTCACCTTCGGTCCACAACGCCAGTTCACGACGTCGCTACCGCCCTCATGATCCACCATGCCCGTACAAACGCCAACGCTTGTCAAAGGCACACCTCGTCGGTCTCCATCGATTGAGTTCAGAGAGTCGCCCTTACGATCAGCTTCGAGGGCAAAGCCAACGACATCAAGGGACCATCACTCAACCAACACAACCCCCGAACTGCCTACCCGTCGCTCTCCGGCTGCTCACTGGAGATCACAATTAACTCAAGAAGATCGAGTTGACCCGATTGAGTTACGCAAGAAGCTCAGACTCCTCTTGGTCGACAAATTTGGCGAGGGCTTCGTCCCCCGGCCGGTGCAAATCGAAGCTCGAGCGGGACTTTTTCAGCTCGAGCGGTTCAAGACTCGAAATCAGTATGACGCTGTATTCGTCATTGCTCCAACGGGTTCAGAGAAGAGCTTGATATTTCAAGCCATGTATTTGGTTTACGGACGCCGGGCTGTGACCATAGTTGTCAGTCCTCTGACTGCGCTGAGCCAACCTCACGTAGGTTTTATTCGGTTGGCCGTTGAGGCGACGCGGGTGCTGAGTCCCACGGTCTTGATACCTTTACAGGCCGACAATCTCAATCAAGAGCGAAAGACAGCGACTGCCATATGCAAGGAAACATGGGGTGACGGAGAGCTGTACCAGCAGTTGAGCAATCCCTCCCATACTGTCTCATTCATCTTCATCGTACGTGTTCATTCAATCCGCCGCAGGTTTTGCATGCTCACAACCCCCGTACTGATATCTTGCTACTAAAAATCTCCGACAGTCTCCAGAGATGCACAATGGAGACAAGCGCTGGGCTGAGCTGATATCGAAGGACTCGTTCCGAGAACGAGTCAAGCTGCTTGCCTATGACGAGGCAATCAAGATCGCCGAGTGGGGATTCAGCGAAAGGGAGCGCGCCGGAGCTATTAGCCACCCAATGGAAGGCTCGACTGCATTTCGCCCGGTGTATGGGCAAGTTGCGGAGCGGCGTCTCATTACTTGGCTGTCAAACACTCTTCCTCACCGCCGGCGCTCCACCCTACAAAATCAACAAGATCCTAAAGGTATCCAGTCTCTCCGAATCGCGGACGTTCTTCGCCAAAGCCGACCTTTTCCGACCAAACCTACGCAATATTGTTGTCGAGATGAAACCAAGAACAAACGGTACGATGGGAAGTATGAGGGATCTTCTTAACCAGCAGTCAGATCCCAGCATCTTTCCCCAGTCCATCATGTACTTCAACAGCCAGGAAGCCACCAAACGCTTGAGCTGGGTCCAATTACTGTTGAGGAGCTTTGGCCTATGATTGTGAACACCATCGTGTTGTGTTGATGGGCTGAAATACCATGAGAGGTATTGACATAGTGAGAGCTTGTGAAGCCGAAACCGAGCGAATAGATCCGCCTGACGGCGGCGATCCTGGCGAGTCGTCGAGTCATAGCGTCTGCGGTTGCGTCATTCTGAGATAAGCGCGGTGTTGCACCGAGAACAAGCGAAGAGCATAGTACCGAGAAGACGAGTGATGCGGAATGGGACGGGAGAGACACCGATGCGCACACGCCGAAGTGCGCAAGCCGGCGGCTGCCTGGCGCTCGGACCACTCGGGACCAAATTGACCAAATTTACACACTTCAGAACATCATAGCTTCGGCTACAGATGGGGTATCCTCTTACCGTTCGGCAGAGGCCATTTTTTCTAGTAGAAGATCAATAACATCTCTGCGTTTTGGATAATTGTAAGTACTTGCCACGCTACAGAAAACCACCCCAAAATGGCCCTGAAATTTCGGAGGGCAACTGGGCCAGACGCGCCGATAAGTCCTAAGCCCCTCCCAGAGGGAGGGCTTAGTTGAGCTTAGGTTCCCTCGTAGGCGCGCGCGGGGGCGCGCGCGGGGGCTGGCCCGATAGCAGAAGCGCTGCGCACCGCATCGTCTCCTATCGGCATCTGGCAGAGAGCGCGTTGAGTTCTGAGCTCGCTTTTCCTTTATATGCAACTGTAGCCCCTAGCCTTCGAAGCTCGAGTGAGAAGACCGGCCAAGTCGTCAAGAATTCGGCTGGTCTGTAGGGCTATGGCATGTAGTTTGCGATAGCTCAGCGCAAGTAACAGGTCGCTCATTCTCGATGGCACGAGCTTGCGCCCAAGCCCAGCTGGCGACGTGAGCAGCCACCGGCGGTCCGGCACGAGGGCAGCCAACCAGGACTACCTACCTCTGCAATACTCCAAGGTCTGTCGTGATACCACATCGATTAAGCGAGCAGTATCTACTAGCTCGTGGAAAAGAAAGTGAAGCAAGTACATACTATGGCGAATGTCTGAGGTCGAGCCTGACTCGGAGACCGCGAGAGATCGCCGCCGAGGCTTTCCGAATTGGTCAACGCAACACCATCGATCTATGGCCAGGCTTAGACGCCAATGTTTCGGCCCAAGAACTCCATCAAATCATTTAAACCACATAGGTGCCCAGGCGGTTTCCATGCCCAATTGAATTCTAAGTACCGGTGTAGGCAGAGGATAGCCACCAGCGCGCTTCGCCGGACCGTGGACGTCGGTGGTGCGATGTGGTGCCTCGGCCAAGTGCAAATTTGCGATCAGAGACTCGACTCGAGATTTAGTCTCCCGGGACTCACAATGCACGCGAGACACGATGCTAGTTGAACGCCTGACTCAGATTCAGTCGTCATAGATCTCGATGGGACAATGGGCCAATGCCATGCCTTTACCCGCTCGCAAGCTCCCCCACGTTGTCCATAGGGGTTGCTGGCGCTAGCTTAGTAGCCGAAGCCGCCAGCGTTTATTGGGTCAATGACTAATGGCGACTGCGAACACTATCCCTTTTCAACGGAGTAAAGCAGCTTCCAGCTTCATACAAGTGACCTCGCCTTGGTACCTGGCCCATCGTACTTGCACGTGGTGGCGACGAAGATCCACGTCACTAATAGTCGGCCGAATGCAAGCTCTCCGGGCAACTTCTGTTTATCGGATCCATGAGTCGTCGCTGGCTGGCATGGGTTGTGGCGTGCCTTGTGCCCCATTTTCTTGGATTGACGCAGATTGTTTGCCAATTAAATAACTATTGTAAGCCTACTGCAGGGCCCCGTCCATCCGGCGAGGAGAATTCAACCGAGTCTTACGGCAAGGCATCAACTTGAACTTGAAATGAGCACACCCTGAATTGATTTGAAGGCCTCGACGCGCTCGGGCCTCTCGTCGCTCATGGCGCGTGAGGCTTTCGCAACGACCACCACCAAGTCGGCGACCCGTCGAAGCCAGCTCTCGAACCATGGGCAAATCGAGTGCACTCAAGCGAGACGTGTTCTTTCGCAGTGCCAAGGAAGACGGTAAGCCACGACAAAGGAGGGTGTGTTCATTTTCGCGGTACCGCTCCTGTTGCTGATCTACGTGCCCCCCTCATCGCAGGTTATCGAGCTCGATCAGCATACAAGGTCCGCTCAAATTGCTTCAATCGCATGTATAACTTTACAGTCGCCGAAACAGTATTGTCACTCTCTTCAACCAACAGCTCCTGCATCTGGACGAGCAATTTAACCTGTTTGAAGGCGTCGAGCGATGTGTCGATCTGTGTGCCGCGCCGGGCAGCTGGTCGCAGGTGTTGACCCAGAGGCTCAAGTAAGTGTGATCTACATGGACGCTACAAGACTGATTTGACTAATCGAAACGACTTCCGTTTCCGCAGCGAGAACAAGGAAGGCGATCCCTCTGCGAAAGGAGCTACGATCGTCGCCGTCGACCTGCAACCCATGGTTCGTTTGGTCCCTCTGCACAGGCGCCAAGTCTTCTGACGCGAGAACTGACGAACCAATCCAACTCATCAGGCGCCTCTTCCCGGAGTAGTCCAAATCGAAGGAGACATCACCAAGAGCTCGACCGCGAACCAAATCATCGATCATTTCAAAGGTGGATTGGCCGATCTTGTCGTGTGCGACGGAGCTCCGGATGGTGAGCCCAAGGCTGGAAGAATTGGTATCTGGCATAGTTCTGATCAGACTGCTTTCCGGTCTTGTAGTGACGGGTCTTCACGATCTCGACGAGTTCGTTCAAGCGCAACTCCTTCTCGCGGTAAGTCGCCGAGAAGCAGATTCGTCGTCTCCCGCTCTTATAGTGTACTCATCCTATGACCATCTTCCCAGGCCCTCAACATCACCCTCCACGTTCTCCAACCGGGGGGAACGTTCGTCGCCAAGATCTTCCGAGGCAGGGACGTGACCTTGCTCTACGACCAACTGCGGTGCTTCTTCGAAAACGTCACGTGCGCCAAACCTCGTAGTTCACGAAACAGCAGTATGGGTGAGTGAGGGAACTTTTTCGCTTCGGTCAGTCGATGGTTTCTAATGCGTATGACTGTCTCGGTATCCAACTCCGTCAGAGGCCTTCGTCGTCTGCGAACGCTTCCGAAGCGGCTTCAACCCGGACCTCTCAAAGCCTTTGCTCGATTTTTCCTACACACCTTCCGATTTCAAACCGGACGGAGCAAAGAACGAACTGCTCGGCGATATGAGATACATCGCTCCCTTCGTCGCGTGTGGTGATTTGAGGTGAGACATTAGTGAACTCGGCCCCCGCCGTTCACTTTCGAAATTATGATTCTAAACCGTTTCTTTTCACTCCCTTCAGTGGCTTTGATTCCGAAACGCACTACGGCAACTCGTTCTCGTCGACTCTATCCAAAGGCCCTATCCAGCCACCGACTGCCCCACCATATCGCGAGTTCTTGCAGAAGCGACGGGCAGGAGAATTTGACCAGCACTGAGTCGAGGAGATCAAGAGGAGTATGTGTAGAGTAGGCTTTTATATGTTGTAATACCACGGCCATCGGATCATATACTATCGAGCTTCTTTGCAACAAAGCCCGGGCGAGCTTTATTCCTACATTGCTTCTCATCACGAGCGCTATTTATCTGCATTGAACGATCTACACTTTATTGTCGGCCTCCCCTTCAACCACCTTCGCCACCCTCTTCCCCCTTGGACCTTCCTCCACCTCTTGAACACTCTCCAAGAACGCACCCGCTCCTATCCCCGAAAGGGGTCTCACCACCGCCATCGCCAACCCAACGACGTTCTCTACCCTCGCTTTGAACGATTCGTTCTCGCAGATGATTTGAAGATCTTCGACTCGAACGTCGGCGATGAGGTCGTCGAGGTGGACGCGGATGACGGGCATGAGAGGTTGGGTGGGAAGTGTTGGGGTCGTAGTCGTTTCGACCTCGGCGAAATGCTCTTCTCCTTCGGGATTTGTCGTCGTCGTTGTGGGTGGTCCTAATTCCGTATCCCCTTCCATAGGGACTGACGGTTCCGTAGCCTTCTCCTCCGGTTCGGCAGCGCTCTCCAGCGGTGGTGAACTGTCACCCGCAGTCTTCGGTTTAGGAATGACCAGCTCGACTTTCCCAAAGTATGAATCGAGGAAAGCGATCAATCGATCGAGACGTGTGGGGAGGTCCTCCTCCTGCGATGTCTCTTCTCCCGTCGGCTCGGCGTCGTCGAGCGTCTTCGTCGTTCTCGACGGTGGTGTGGTCGGTTCGGCATGGGGATGTCGATGAGAGCAGTGCGACGAAGCTCCCATGGATGTTTCTGACCAGTCGACGACGGTCAATCGAACTTCAGACTTCACGCGCATCTCAACACATAGGTCATGGCGAAGAACTCACTCTTGACCGAAGCCGGACTCTTATCGACCCCCAAAACCAGCGCAATGACCGAATCGGCCACCATATCATTACTCACGCTCCCGACCCATTCAACGACCCAATCCATCTTGCCCACAGCCTTGACATCCACGGTATCCATGATACGCATCGTCATCAGTCCTTCCTTATCGACGCCTTGTTGAATCTTGCCGTACATGCCTTGGAGGTGCCACTGGACGAGTTCCCAGGAGACGGAAAGCGTCAAGCGTTGGCGTTGTAGGATGATCGAGGTCGAGAGGCCGGTGAAATCACGAAGGTCCGAAGGGGCGAGGAAGGTGTAGGTGAAATCCTTGGAAACGAGTAGACCGGAAAGTGGGGTCGCTGCTTTGGGTGTCGTCTCCGCCAACGTACCCAAAGCCTGCGGACCTCGCACGGACAAGTGAAAGGGGTCAGTACTAGGCTCTGACATGGTTTTCTCGAATGCGACCCACCTTGGCCATTCGTTCACCTCTGAATCTGATCTTGACCGTTTCGACGTTTCTCGGGGTGTAGATCTGAATGTCGTCTTTCCTTTCGGCGAATTTGGTCTTCAACGCCGAGCGTAGACGCGACATGTTGTTGGCCTCTCCATGCACGAGAATGAGATGAGCAGGCATCACCTGTTCGTAGTAGAAGATATGTTAGACGGAGTCGTCCTCCAGAAAAGACTGAGGAACATACTTCATCAATGAACTTGGCATTCTGGGTATAGTCGACGTGGGCGGAGAAGGAGATGTAATCGACCGATCTGGGGAGGCGAAGCGACCGTCAGCGGGGAAACAGCCAAGTAGGTGGAGGGGCTCGCGACTTACAACCGCCGTGAAATTTTGGCACCTCCATTCAAGGCCTGAATCTCGGTCGGTTCATTCATGATGGTCTGGTTCAACAAGAAAACATCAATTCCCCCCGAGTCAAACCATACATCTCACCGAACCCCACTCACCCTCGCCATAACCCCCTCGACCGAGTACCCCGTAATGATCAGCCCATTCCTCGGATCCGGTGCCCACTTCTCCAACAACTCCCTCGAGGTCCCATTCGTCAAAAAACCCGGACTGGCCATAACGACACAAGGCCCTTTGTCATTCAATTTCGCTAAACCCCTCTCGAGAGGTCGGATGAACGAGGTCTTGGCTTTAAAGTCGAAAGGGTTGATCCCGCGCGCGAATTTCTCCCTCACGTTCGGGGACATGGTGTGGATGTATTGGCGGTAGACGTCCATGCATTTGAGCGCGAGGGAGGAGATGTAGTAGATGGGGACGTGGTGCAGTTCCGGATGAGCGGCCCAGTATTCGTCGAGGATCAGGAGGATCTCTTGGGCTCGGCCGAGGGCAAAGACGGGGAGCAGTACTCGACCACCTCGTTTGATGATGTTGGACACGAGTGCTGTTGGAGTGCAGTGTCAGCTGGAGTTTCAGTCCCGATAAGCTATGAAAACTTTGAGGAATTGGCTCACTTGTGAACTGAGCTTCCTTTTCTAACCGAGGTTCATGACTTTGTACACTGCGAAACGTCCGTTACAAATGACCGAGTCAGTCCCTCGACCGTTCCCGTCCGAGGAAATGAATGCAACTTGCCCATATGTCGATTCGCAGATCATGACGTCGGGTTTCTTCTCCCATATCGGGAGCTTGGCAGGGACCAGATGTCGATCCTCCTCTGTCGAATAGTCGCCCGTGTACAGGACCCTCAACCCCGCAATCTCGATCAAGAACATGCAAGCGCCGAGGACGTGACCGGCTGCGAACGAGGTGAAGCGCACGGCGGCGTTGGAACTGGACGAGGTCGACGACTCGGGGGTGTTGCTCGCCGGGAGCAGGATCTCTTGTTCGAAATCGAAGCCGATGATGGTCGACCAGGATGCGAGCATCTCTTCCTCTGTGAACAACTTGTCGTCCGATCCGGCGGTGCTGTGGGAGATGATGGAGATGATGGGGATGGGGGGTGAGAGATCTCGTTGCGGGGTGGGCTCACGTGACCGACGAGACTGACGAGACCCTGACAAAGTCGGACATGAGGAAGCGGTAGACGGCTTTGGTCGGATGGGACATGTACACGACCCCGTTGCCTTCCCTAAAGTTGGTCTGCGAGGCGCGATCGCGGTCAGCACAACTGACTTGAGTACCGTGGCCGACTGGGAAGGAAAGCAGACCGGCCCATAACGAGCACGAGCACGAACGGGGTTCACCTTTTCCATGACATAGGTCAGACTGGCGGCATGGTCAAGGTGGAAGTGGGTGATGAGGATCGCATCGACGGTGGACCAGTCGAGTTCGTCGAGGAAGGGTAAAGCGGCCATGCCGGAGAAGGCTGGGTGCACACCCGTGTCGCAGACGATGGTACGACCTTTGTACTTGATGACGCAGCAGGAGCGACCGACCTGGGGTGGGACGATATGGGGGGTTAGTCTGATGTGGTGTTGGTGTTGTGGTGCTCTCTCGGTCTGGGTGCGGCCGGACTGACCTCCTGACCGGCTCCGAGCATCTGGACGTGCATCTCGTCGTCGATGCCCTGGATGATGCCCGGTGCCGAGATGACGGGCACGCCTGCGAAATCACCGACCGCTCTTCTTTTACTCATGGCTGAAGGTGGAAGGTTGTGGGGGGGGGGGGGGGGGGGGGGAGGGGGGCGAACCGGCACAATGTCGCACCGAGCCAGAGCGGGAGAGCGGGAACGTGACTTGGGCGGTGGTGGGGAAACAGGGGGAACCACGCTCAGAGACTGCTCAGAGAGACTCGGAGCGCGCAGAGCGGGCAGAGCAGGGCAGGGCAGGGCAGAGCGGGCTAGTAGCGGGCTGAGGGAGCTGACGGTCGCTGACGGCCGCTGAACTGCCGCTGATCGGCTTTCGCGAGCTTTCGCGCGACTGAGCTCCAACGACTTACGCTGGGCTAGCTTGGCTCCTGGCTCGATCCCCCACCACACCGCAGTCGATCGAACTCGCCATGTCAGCGATCCTCGACTCGCTGCCGACCCTGGCCAAGGAGCCGGGCGTGACCATCAACGGCAAGCGTACGCGCGTCCCAGCACGCGTCGCGCTCGGACAAGTGTCAGTCCCACATCCTTCTTCTTCAGCTGGCCCCTTCGGAGCTGCAGGCTGATCCCATATCTACCCTCGACACGATCCCACAGCACACCGAACAATCTGGGCACACTCAAAAAGCTCAACTGGGTCCGTTCACCCCACTAAATCCATCCCCCTCCCCCTCGACCCCCTTCAACCTCCCGCAGCTGATCCCAGTCACCATTCCCTCCTCAGGTGCTCTTCCCCGTCCACTACTCGGACAAGTTCTACTCGACCTTGCTCGAGCACAACCTCGAACCCTATTGCAAACTCAGTCCGTGCCCAAACTCACTCTGCTGCCTCTCCGTCCCGCTGACCGCCGGCGCTTTCCCCCACCACAGTCTACTACCAAGACCTCCCCGTCGGCAACCTCGTGTCCCGATTAGAACCCCTCGCCCCAGAGACCGACTCTTCATCCGAAGCCAAACCATCCACTCCCTCGACGACGACGACGCCGGTGCCGGTGCCGACAAGACCCCACGTGAAACTCTACATCATGACCCTCGGCATCCTGTCCCCGTACCGCCGTCAAGGTCTCGCGACCAAGCTCTTGCACTCGGTCCTCCAAGCCGCCGAACGGTCCCACGAACCGATCCCGCCCAAACCGACGTTCCCCTCCCAAACCGACCCTCACTCGAACCACCCACCTTCCTCCAAGAAATCCAAAACCTCCGCTAGCTCAGCACCACCAGCCAAATCGGACAAGGACCAGGAAGAGGAAGAAGAAGCGGCCAAGAAGCTCAAGAAGAAACAAGAGAACCAACTTCGCGAATGGCAACTCCAAGCCAAGAGTGAGATCGTCGATAGCGTTTACGTTCATGTGTGGAAGGGGAATCCGGAAGCCAGGGCGTTTTGGGAGAAACAGGGGTTCGAAATGAGCGTGAGTAGAGAGACACCTCGGTCCGTGTGGGACGTATAATGTGCGTCGAGTCTGACTGTCGACTCGGGTTTCGCGGTGATCGTCCACAGGGAGAGATTAAGGACTATTATCGCAAGATCGAACCGAGGGACGCGTGGGTACTGTCGAAAAAGATCACACCCAAGCCAGAGTGAAGCAAAGGAAGGACCAGTACGGAATTATGCAGCAGTTTCTTTGCGTCTCACTTCTTGCACTGGAATCAGGAAGGTAATTTCATGCGAGTGGTTGCATTGCGAAAACGGCAGTAGGAAAAGAGAGGCTAGACTTGTCCAGGATTACCGACTTGCCGTCCCCACCGCAAAATTTCTTCGGTTCAACAACAAGCCTGCATGCCCCTCCCCAGAGATAATCAGCATGTATCCTTTCATCCGACCGCACAGTAACCGAATCCCAACTGACCTTTGACCGCCCTGATCTCACTCTTGAAACCCGCCGTCGCCTCACTCAAAGCCTTGAATTCCTTACCCCCATTCGTACCTCCCGCCCCACCCGAACTCGACGACGAAATCCCCGAAACGGACCCATATGTCCTATACCCTTGCGTAGCAATCGCATAAACTTGATTTTCGACCCATTCGTTCAACGAGCCTAACGAAGTGACGAGCGTATGGTCGGGCGAAAGACGGGATTGAGCGGCCGCAGCGGCGGAGGCGGCCGCGGCTGAGCGCGGGGGAGTGAATTGGTGCGTCGTGTTGGGGTTCGGGGTCGTGAATGCTGATGAGGCGGAGGCGTTCGTGAAGGCGTAGGGGTTGGGTGGAAGGTTCGCGGTGTGGAGCGTTGAAGAGAGGGTTTGGACAGAGGTCAAGAGAGGGTTGAGGATTGATGGTGCTTCGATCGGAATGGGGGTGGGGAGTTCTTCCGTCGCGGACAGCAGAGGCTGTGTCTCGTCCCCTTGTTCTGTCAAAGGCAGCTTCTCCTCCTTCGTCGACTGGGTCGAAGATGTTTCCTCCTGGGGTGAAGCCTCCTGCGTCGAGTCGACCGTATCGACGACAACGGGGACATCCTTCAACCCACCAATCATCGTCCTCGACCCACTCTTGCCGAACGATCGTACAGCATCCACGAATTGAGTATACCCCTTCAGATGGCCCTGGTGTAGTGTTGTCCTAGCTTTGAGTGCGAGCACCAACCGAGGGTAAAAGATGTTCTGCATTCCCCCAAACGACCGCCATCAGTGCCAGCAATCGAACGTCCAAACCCTTTGCGGAGATAGGCGTACCTTGTACACCCAAGCAATCGTTGCCGCACTCGTGCCACCGACAACAAAGATGAGGATCGCCAAGATCCTGATAAAGGTCGGGACCGTGGAATTGGGGGCATAGGCGGGGGGAAGGTTCACGGGTCGGATCGAGGACAACGACGACGATGTTGGGTTGTTGTAATCCCTCGGCTCGATGGGTGGCAACGAAGGCGTCTATAGCAGCGAGGAGACAGACTGAGGATACCAGTATCAAGCTCACTTGGATGCCCAGAGAGTAGCACGTACAGGGGTAGTCGCGACAGGCGCTGTTTGAGTCAAAGGTGGGGCCGAGTCGTGGCTCTGGCTCGTGCTTGCCAAAGGAGGTGCATCGATGGATTGCGTCGGTTCCGGTGCCGAGGGTGAGGCTGCTGGCGGTGATTCTTCGTCGTGGGCCATGAAGGGTAGAGCCGAATGATTTTGAGATTGAGGACCTCGAGAGGGAAGCCGAATCGGAGACGCAGAGTGTGAAAGCCGAGCCCGGTTACCCGTGCTCGTTTCCGGCCGGTGATCAAGCTGAGCTCGCACCTGTTGAGGCCGCCCCCCCTGAATCGCCAAGAATTTCCTGACCCGTAGACGGTGAATGAGGGTGGTTAGAATTTTGGCACTCGGGCGGTACGCCGAGAGCGCTCGCGGCCTTCCACTGGCAAAGTATTTTTCATGATCAGCTGCAGGCACCTTCAAGTGGTGTTTATTCAAGCCACGGTGTTGGAAGCATCACGCGTCGTGTCACTATTCTCGACAAGAATCTTTGGCGATCGGCGAGGCATCTGCTGGTGCCCCCCCGAGCCGGTACAAGTCCAGAGGGGTCGAAAATCAGCGACTCCTCGACCTACGGGACCGTGCTCTGCACCTGCCAACGTGCTCGGACGTGGAAGAAGCAGGCAGGTGGCGAAAAGTCTGATCACAAGATCGCGACATCTCGGCGATGCCGTGGGACTTTGGTCATACGTACTCCTGGGGAGAAGGAAGGTCGGTTGTCTCTACCTCCCCGACTGCGGCTCTCCGATCGCTATTTCATCTTCCGTGGGAGCTTGTCCCAAAAGATTGATTGCGTCGAATAATCTGGAGTTCAATGATTTGAATCATGCAGTAAAAAATACACTCGCCGGCCTCCCGAATACAAGATATGATCGCACCACCACCTGAGCCTCATGGCACGACCTGCACTCCGGCGCTCTTGCAGCTGCCGACGATGCTCCTGGCGATGCTCTCCAGCTCGGCGCCCTTCAATCCTTGATCGGCCTGCTTGAGCTTCGCAATCTCGTACACGGCTTTGAGCGAAATCGTACCCGCGATCGTTCCACCGGCGGCCTTGTTGGGGGTGCCCGAGCCGATCTCGATCCCTGCGGCTTGACGGATGAGGTACGAGGTCGGTGGGGACTGGATCGTGAAGGTGAAGGTTCGGTCGGGTTGGATGGTGATTTTCACCGGTGTTGGTGTCCCCGGCGTGAGGCTCGAGGTCCGGGCTGCGAGGCGAGCACGAGCACGTGAGCGACGAAATGAGGTGACAGTTGAATTCACACACACGTACCATTGAACTCTTTGACAAAGTCGATGGACTTGACACCCCTTGCACCGAGGGCAGGTCCGACGGGAGGTGCTGCAGTGGCTTTACCGGCGGGGACGACCAGTCTGTCCGGATAGTCGGATTCAACAGCGCGGGCTTGATCAGCTCTCTTGCCGGGAGGAGAAGTGTGGCAGCGGTCCTGAAGACTGACCTGACCAGCTGAGCTGCTGCTGTTGTGGTGGCTTTGGACATGGCGGGTGCCGGTGATGATGTATGCGACAGACGAGCGAGCCGAGATCAGCCCAAGTCTAAGTCACTTGCGCTCAGTTCGCAGAGTCACCATCAGCCTCGGGCCTTTTTGAGCTCGGTCCTCCTGCGTGAGGCTGGAAGGGCTCCGGTCCATCTCGCCAAGCTCGGCTCGCGTGGTTCTGGTCCTCCTCGCCTCGTCGAGTGAACAGCTCTCGACATCGAAGCTCATGGCCATCTCGAGATCGCGCAAGACATGGACCCCTACTCCTTCTCCCTCACCGACTCGTTCCTCTGCTTCGGAAAGTGAGCGAGCACCGCCAGCTCAGACTCGGAGCACCACCACTGCCTCGTCATCGTCATCCACCTCAGAGCTCATCCAGACGAAGCGCATTCGACCATCCCAAGTCAAGCCCCCACCTGGATTAGAGCCCTTGATTAAGCTTTCTCCCGAAGATCTGGCCGATATCGTGGAATGGAAGGACGTCGACGACGAGCAACTCGAGGACAACGTCGACGAATCGGACGCCGACGCCGAGCGATCACACGGCCGAGGTATCAAGGTCCGCCATTTTCGGTCCGAGCTTGACGACGCTGACCTTGAAGAAGGATCAGACCCACCAGCACTGTGGGAGCACTTGGTCGACGCCTTGTTGTGGACGATTCCCTTTACTTTCCTCTTTGTCGGCATGCAAGTTTTCGTTTATCATTTCTGCTCGCTCGGGTTCGAAAAAGGGCGATGCGTTCGCTCCGAAGCTGACAAGACCGTTACTGTATCCATTTGCAGGGACTATGCTGTTCACGCACAATACGGACAAGACCTACCGAGATCACTCATTGTCTCTCACCTCTCCTCACTTCTGCCGAGTGAGACCGAAAACCCTGCTCCAGCGCGCGTTACCTTCACTGACAGCCCCACCGTCCCTCGCAGCGATGTACATTCTCAATCTGATATCCCCCACCACCATCACTGCGAACCACTCTACACCCTCCACCACCTCAGCACCAACCAGCCTCCCGACCCTCCCTCCTCGAATCCAACAACCCCTCCTGCTCCTCCTCTGTGCCGCAACAGGCATCCATCTCGTCCACCTCACCTCGACGCAATCCTATCTCCAAGTGATGGCCTCCGCCCCCGCTTTCGGTACTTTGTGGGTCTGGTCCGTCGTCAAAATGGATCTAGGCTGGGCCGTGGTCGGTTTGTTACTTGTGGGTGTGGGCGTAGGCGCTCGGGGAGAATTGGCTAGAGTCAAGTGGTGGTGGAATTGAATCAGGACTGGTATCATCGTTAGGTTGTAGGTGTTCCAACCTCTTTCCCGTTTGTCGTCTCATTGAGACTGGGGCAGAGAAACTTAGAATGGGCTCGAGGAAAAATACTTCGGAATGCAGGTGGGGAAGACAGACTAAGTAAGAGTGTATTTTGCAAAAGAGAACATAAGCAACGCGACGGCAGACAATGATGGGTGTCTACATGTGTTCCCTCAAGTCGAAAAGATGCCAAAGAGTTTGAACTGGGCGTGATCAACTCCGGGTTGCCCTGAGTGTAAGAGACGAGGTTACGCCCGCGGTGGTCAGTATTTATGGGGGTCGAGGCAGAAGGGAATCCGGAAAAGTCTTACCTTGCAGTTCGCAAACGACGAAATGGGAGCCTTTGGTAACGGCTTGATCAATTTGAGTGACCCTGACGGCAGCAACGAAGATCGACACCTTCAGCGTGTGTCACGATACGACCGCAATAAATGGAAAGGAGCCACTCACGTCGGTTGCCCGTAGTCTCGATCCCAACTTCCCTTCAACTCGACCGCACCAGCGGTGTTATCATCCACCCAGCACAACACGTTTCCCCAGCCTTGCGCCGCCGGTCCCTTGTAGTAGTACACCGCGATATCGCCTGCTCCACACTTGATCGGAATCTTGAGCAACGACCCAGGCGCATCGGTATACCAATAATGCGTTTCATCCTCCTCTTCAAGTTTGGGAACGACGGGAGACCATCCCGAACCGGCGAAAACAGAAGGAGGGAGAGGGTTGATCAAGTCGTTCGCTGAAGCGCAGTTGGGCTTGATCTCGCGGAACCGAGCCAGGGTGTGCGGTCGATCCCCGATTCGGAAAGGTGGGATCTTGGAATGCGAAGACCGCGATCCTTTGCCCGTATCAGGCGAGTTCGATGAGTCGGCCTCTTCAAACACGTTGTCAGATTTCCTCAACCCTTTACCTGAAAGCAGGGAGGGGAAATCCTCGCCGACGTTCAAAGGGGAAACGATCGTCGTCGACCCTCCCAAAGCGGCGATATCGGCTTGTAGAGCGACTTGGTCCCAAAGCTGGCACACCTGAGCCTCCAAGAAGGAAATGACCGTATCGGCCAAAAGTTCGTGCCCCTTGGCGTTGGCAAGAATCGGATCGAGAAAGTAGGTCGAGCGCACTTTTTGCGGGTTGAGGAGGTACTCTTCGTAGATGAGGCCTTTGATGGTTAGGTGCACGACGTCGTAAAACTGTGCTACAGTGGTGTGGTAGATTTCAGGACCGGCGAAACCGTATTCGCCTTGGATCTGGGGAGCGAAATGCCCGAGCATGATCACGGCAGGGTGGTCGGGTCGGAGTAGGAGCGACCGGATCAGCAGATCGGTCGTCGAGAGGGAGGTCAGGTCACTGTAGGAATTGTGACCAGAAAATTAGCACGGCCCTCCACACCCTCCACTATAGGTCCATGATGGTACTCACTGCGGATCCTCGGTATCGAATTCGACAATGATGAGATCCACACGATCGGGCAAGTGCATGTCCGAGCAGAATCCATAGTAGGACGTCCCTGTTCGCCGTACTGGGAAGTAAAAAGAATAAGGTCAGGTTTTCGCCTCGGCACGTCCCAATTCATGTGCCAACTCACATGCACCGTTGGTCAACTCGTTCGCGGGATGGGGAAAGACGTCGTTGAGCCAGCTGAAAATCCGGTGCGGGTAGCAGTTCGGACCGATCGGATTGCCTAGTGGGTGCGCTGGTGATGCGTCGAGACCATGGCACGAACTGATCGAGCCACCCAAAACACCGATTGTGATGGGAAGACCGGCCATGGCCCTCTTGATGACCCTCTGCACCCTCGCCGAGCTACCTACATGAGACCTCGTCTTGGAGATCGCTTCCCTCCCGTACTTGTTGCCCAACTCGTCGCTCGATCCATAACTCGGGCAGAACGTGAAGGGAGGTGCTTCGGAAAAGTTTGCCGGTGCACTCCCCCCTTCTGCGTTGTACACTGCTGCCGAGGCACGCTGCTTCCGAGCTTGTCGCACGAGCGCATCCGTTCTCCTCGATCCTCGCATCCCGAATCGGCTCCTCGTCGAAGAATTGCTCGACGCGTAGTGTAGGATCATGAACATGGCGACTAGGCCAATAATAATGTAGACGAGCCGTCGTAAAGGCGTGAGGGTCCGATCGGCCTTGCCGCCGACGTTCCGCGAGTTGGATGATGAGGGGCCCCCGAAGAGGCGAGCGAGACCGGTCGGCGAGGAACGACCATTGCCATGCGCTGTTGGGGCGGTGGTCACCGGTTCGGATCGACTTGAAACTCTTCTCCGGTGTAGCATCGCGGTTGATCGAGCTCCAACCTAGGCGATTGACGCCGATACAATGGCGATGAGAGGAGGAGCGCCGCGGAGTCCGCTGGTCGAAGCTCCTGCAAAGCGAGAGCACAGCGCCGGGGGGTGGGAAACACAAGATGTAGGCGACGATGACCCCAAGTGGCACCGATGACTTCTTTGTGATCAGATCCCGACGTATGTTGAGCCCGTTCGGCTCCGTTGCGAGGTGAGCAAGAGCTGAAGCGGGAGTTGGCGTGTGAGCGCCCGAAGGCCCAGACACCAGACACGCCAAAGCGAAAGCTCGCTGACGCTCCTCCACGTCGTTCGGCGACCTTGAGTCGAACTGCGCATACAAGTACACCAATAGTGTACACTTTATCTGGAGTTGAAGAAGGTCGGTATTATATCCGAGAACGTGTGCCAGAGCTGCCTAGACTCTACACGGCTATACTCGAGTGCATTAGTAGTTTTCGAGCAAGGAGAGCTTGTATCCGGGGTCCGTGCGCGACGAGTTATTCTGACTGGCCAAAGTCAAGCGATCGAACCAATCTCGAGATCTGCTCCTCACTTCTGAACCGTACAAGGCTCGATCGTTCGACGAACATCACAGTTAGACGACGCAGTAACTCATCCTTGCTCTCGTCCGTGGCCGTCCCTGCCAGTGAGACGGCCGTCTTTGCTGCTGCGTGTTGAGCACCACCATCGACGAGAAGAGGGAGCTTCGAGTCGGAGTCCGATTCGATCCACATCAACTCGGGGACGAGGCGGCTCATCTAGTAGAGCATCGACGCACTCACTGGGTTGGAGATGCCACGGGTATGTTCTCTCCAGTCTATCTTTCCTATGGGGTTCGTTGCTCTCACTTGACTCGGTCACGCTCACCTCTACGCGCCTCCTCTTGGCCAGCGTCACGAACAGGTCTCGCTCAACCCAGTCCAGCGGTTGGCGATCCGGGTCGCCGTCGCCGTCGTAACCTGCTTTGCATTCAAATGGCTGATATGGGACTCCAAGGTGTGCATAAGATCGTGCTACCCCATCCTTAGCGATGATCAGCTTCGCCCTTCTTCCGCGGAGACCCGTCTTGCTCACTCTCGCGATCTCGTTTCGTCCCCGAACTAGCCTACAACCCCTTATGGCGAAGTCGCTCATCCAGCCATCCTCGAACGGATAACACTTGGATCCCCCTTATCCGGACAACCGCTCGATACCAAAAAATACCCTTTCCTGCAGAGTCGCATCAACCGCGACGAAAGCCCTGACATCTTCGACACCGACATCGCAACGGGCATCAACGATTTTTGGAACCGATTCCAGAGACCCTTCGCGACGAACGCCGATACGATGCATCTCGATGAACAAGTGCTGCGAGGTGCGGTCGACGAGCTGTTGGGCTTCAACGGATGGGCCGCAGCGGCTTGTGCCTCGCTGACCCGTCCGTTCGGTAACAAGGAAGACGACGATTGGAGCGACCTTGCCGGCCAGGGCAAGCTGTACTACTTTGCTCTAATCGTCCATGGTGCAGATCACTTCGTCGTCGATCAGCTCGCGGTGATTGTGCAGCTGTCTAAACAGCTCGGCGCGGGCTCCATCTTTGTCTCGCTCGTCGACTACGCCTCGTCGGACTCGACCCCGTTCCTGTGCGACATCGCCGAAGCCATCTTTCTCCTCTTGGGTATCTCGTACCGGATCCGACAAGTCCCCGCGATGACGCAAGATCCGGCAACAGCTTACTACCCTCTCGAAGAGGCTTACACGCGTAACCTCGCGCTCGAACCCCTGATCGAACTTTGGGAACGTCGCAAGGTCAAGTTCAGTCGCGTGATTTGGCTCAAGGGTTTCACCTGCCCCAACGACCTCTTGGAGACGATCCGCGTCTCCGAGATCAACGAAGCTGCGATGGTCTGCTCGATGGACTGGAAGGAACACAACGGTTTCTTCATCTACAACGATCGTTGGCGTACGCGCGACATGGACGGCAACTTGTTTCGAGGCTCGAAATCGACCTCCCCGATCGACGAGGCCCCACCTCGCGATGCGTACGGTGGAGCAAGGTACACGTTGCATCTCCCGTTCCAAGTCTTTTGTTGCGAATCGGGTTCGCACGTCGTCGATCCTCATCAATCCTACTACCATGGCGTGACGTACCAATCTTCCGTTCAAGGCGTGTTCAACACTACTTCGGCCTCGGATGGTAAAGCCCCTCCCAAATGGTCCGAAGGGCCCTGTATGGATTCATCGCAATTGCATTTCTGTCGCGACATGTGGATGGTAGCATTCCGGGACGGGATCAAGGAGGAAGCCAAACGAATTGCGCACGACCAAAAGATTGGGAAAGCGAGAAAGGTGCATCCTTTCATGCAGGAGTTGATCGCGGCAGCAACGACGTCTTATTCCCCTACGACGAATGATAAAGTCGGGTACGCTAATTCGGGGGATTATCTGGTGGATGAGACGAGGGCGTCTCCGGATGGCAAGTCGAAGGCTTCAACGGAAGGAGGGGAAGGGGATGAGGAAGACGATGAAGAGTTCGATGAGGAGGGAGACGCTGCGGATGCGGAGATGGGTCTCGAACCGGAACCTTATGACGCGGACGAAGGTGGCAAGGGGAGACCGATCGATTTGGCGGTCAAGATTGAGGATGAAGAAGGGGCCGCTTTGGCCGCGGCGGCCGACGTCTCCGTCGCTGATGGGGAGACGTCGTCGGATGCCGCACCACCGCCGCCGCCACCACCACCACCACCGGCGGGAGAGGGAGAAGCAGGACCAGTAGCAGCAGCACCGGTCGAGGTGCGAGCCAAGCACAAGCGCTCCGTTTCGATCCCTTCCGAAGCGCACAAGAAGCGGAAGCTCTCGAAACGCCGCCCCAAGTCACTCCCTAACGCTGAATTCGAGTACGCCGTCGCGCGCATCCTCGTCAACCCACGCTGTGTAACGACCTACGCCGGTGTTTCCCACATCCAACTGGCTTTGGATCTGTTCGGTACAGGTGAGGACAAGGAACCGCAGATGAAGAAGAATGCGCAGTATGTCTTGGACGAGTGGAGGACCCCACCGGAGAGCTTCACGTGTCAGGAGATGAGGACCACGGGGGGGAGGACGGCACCGAAGCAGCAGAGGAGGACGGGGTTCCAACAGGCGAGGTTGTTGTTGAATGGGTGGAGACCGACGTAGCCGGAGTTTGAAGGTTTCCCTAAATTTGAAATTTTAGATTTTGTGTTCACGCAGCTCTGGCAGACAGTGGAGAGAAGGATGTGTTTGGGCAGTGTTACAACATTCAGATCTACATCTTCTTTTCGGTGGGAGCCACCTACTCGTCCGCGGCCATGGGTGTCGACACGGCTGCTTTGCCCTTGTCCTTGTCGGTCTTGTTCTTCTTTTTCTTCTTCTTGGGACCTTCCCCTTCGCCACCACCGTCTGCACCCCCCTTGCTCGACGCTTTTGCTGCCTCCCTCGGCCTCGTGGTCCCACCCGTCTTGGAAAGCGTAGGAAGAGTCGCAGGTTCTTTCGCCGCAGCCACGCTCTGCACCTCCTTCTCCTTGTCCTGTTCGCCCGTTGCGGCCGCTGCCTTCCCTTTCGTGCCTCCGATCGGTTCATCAGCATACTGCTCCAAATCGTCCCTACCCCTCGCACGCGCGATGACCTCGGTCATGAAGAGCAACTCCTCCACTCGGGCCAGTTTCTTGGGGTCGTGACGGAGGGAGAATTTGACGTCGTCGAGTTTGAGACGGTCCCGATCGAGGGCCGAACGTTGCGCGGATTGACACTGGGAGAGAGAAAAGGGGGTCGATCAGTGGGTCTGGAACTGGGGGATGGAGTAGACGCACGAGCATGCGACAGTGGTCCCCCCCCCCAAGTGCGCGAGTGATGCAATTTCGACTTACGATGGAAGTGATGTGGTTGATGAGCAGTTCCTCCATCAAGAGCGCGGTCTCTGGCAGACAAGGTGCTTGATCACCAAAGCCAAAGAGCATTGGTCCGACTGGGTGTGTGAGAAGACTATTCGTCAACGATGATCTTGGTGTGGGGATGATGGTCTGGGGTCACGTACGGTCCTTGACAAAGAGACCTGGCGCGAGTATGCCGTCAAACAGGCCGAGGTCAGCTCTTCCCGGGGGTGGTGGTGTAGGCAGCGCTGTGCTCACCTCTTGCCCTGAACGGCCGGTACTTTTGTGCGCGGGATGTGCTCGGGTGAGTCGTAGCCGTGGTGGTGGTGGACGAGCTGGCTGCTGTAGCCGGATGTGTGCTCGTCGAGGCGCGGTTCGAAGTGGGGTCCGACATGATCGCTGCTGGTGACGGGGTAAGGGGCACGATCACCCGAGCTGAGGGTAGAGCGATGTGCTCTACTCCTTTCGGTGCGTACGATCCCACTCGAGGCGATGTGGTGGTGGAAGGCGGGGTAAGGAGTGGCCCAAGCCAGAGCAGTGCCAGCTAGTGCCAGAGCGAGCGCCCAACTCGTCGACCACTCACTACTCACTCGGTGCTGGCTCCTCTTCGCACTACGAGTCACGCCAGAGTGTTTGCGCTTCCAACTCCTCCCCCACTCGGGTCATGGCCACCGCTCGTTCGGTGTACATCTCCGCGGCTGCGAACCGAGCGGACGTCGCCGACTGTCGCGCCCCCGACGGATTACTCGCTTTCGGCTCGGCCCATCTCGTCGCTCTGTGCGAATCCAATGTGAGCAGGCGTCCGTTCGGGCGGTGGAGATCAGCGTACGGCTCTCACCGAGGACGACCCTGTTCATGCAGTCCCCAACCGCGCATGGGATCCACAAGACGCTGGCTGGACACGAGGGCAATCTCACCGCGCTCAGGTTCAGCAAGACCCCGAGCAGCAACCCGACCCCGAGTCGACACTTGGTCACGGGCGATAGCTTAGGTCAGGTCAGGCTGTGGAAGCAGCACTCGAAAACACAACAGGTAGGTGATACACCCCTGCCTCAGCAAGCCGCCTCGTCTCGGTCCTCACCTCACCCCTTTGCTCCCCATCGTCGCTCGCAAGTGGTCCACTCGCGCCGTCCTCTCGGGACATGTCAAATCCATCTCGGCCGTCGCGACAGTGGCCCTAGGCGACGGTAGCAACGGCGATCACTTTCTCGTATTCACAGCATCATCCGACGCCTCCATTCGAGTATGGCGCATCCGCACCGATGCTGAGCCGGGTACGTCTCATCGGGGAAAAAAGATTTCACGCTTCACTCGGCTGGCTGCTAAAACAGCTTCCGCGAACAGAACTCGTCCAGAAGATCGATACAAAGGGCAAGATCCCACTCTCACTCGAGACCAGCTTCCTTCCTGCTTCGTCGAGTCAGTCTCAAGGTGTCTTTCCACCGTCATCTCGGCTCTTACTCACGAACCCCGTCTGCTTCTTCCCAGGTGTCGCGCTCGCCGTCGGAAGTACCGACAAGCGACTAGCCATCTACGCGAGTCCAACCGCATCTTCCATCAAAGTGGGTCACCCGAACCAGTTCTTGCTCATAACAGCACGAGCTCATATATCTCCCTTCCAGTTCACCAAGTCCCTCTCGCTCGAAGGCCACTCGGACTGGATCCGCTGCCTCTCTTTCATCACCCCCATCCCTGCAGACGCTCCTTCTTCGAGCACCTCGACCTCCCTCAACTACGACATCGCATCCTCCGAAGTCTTGCTCGCCTCGGGTTCTCAAGACAACTACATCCGACTTTGGCGCTTCTCACCCGCCCCCGTGCGAACCGACTCCATGACGGGCCTCACCTCGGGCTTGGAAGCGCTCGACGCCTTGGATCAATCGACCTCGAGTGCCGAAGGTGAGCTAAGGCTCAAATCGCATCAATTCATCGTCGGCGATCCTTCTTCCCCCTCTTGCGAGAGTTTCGCATGTGCGAGTGAGGCCGTCTTGTTGGGACATGATGCATGGGTTACGGGATTGCGTTGGTCACCTTTGGTGGATCCCAAGGACGGGTTGAGGTTGTTGAGCGCTTCGGCCGATCGTTCAATGATTCTTTGGACACCCACGCCCGTCGTGGCGACTTCCGTACCGGATGAAGATACCTCCCAGTCTTCAACGCTGAAAGGAGCGAGTTCCTCCTCCATATGGACTTCCTCCCGACGCTTTGGCGAATTCTCTTCCGCGACGAACCTCGGTTTCTTCGGTGCTCTATGGGGCTTCAACGCTCGAACGGTCTTGGCGAACGGTTGGGGTGGGAGTTGGCATGCCTGGAGGAGGAAGGAGGCGGAGGAGGGTGAAGCGGAGAGTTGGGATCCGATCGTTGCGACGACGGGGCATTTCGGTGAGGTCAGGTGTGCAGAGTGGGAACCGGAGGGGGAGTACTTGATGTCTGCTGGGTGAGTTGGAGTGAGGTTGATGGTGCGAATACAGATGATTGGGGGCTGCGACTGAGCCATTTGTTGAGCAGGCACGATATGGCGACGAGGTTGCATGGACCTTGGAGGCGGAAAGGTCCGCATGGAGCACAGATCGAAACGTGGCATGGTAAGCTTTTAACCAGTGGCGACCAACAGTGATGGGATAGCTGATTCCACTGGCCTATTCTCGCAGAACTTGCGCGCCCTCAAATCCACGGCTACCCACTCTCTTCGATCGCCTTCCTCGACCGACTCAGTTTCGTCTCTGGAGCAGACGAGAAGATCGTTCGAGTCTTCTCGGCACCAGGCAACCTCGTCAAATCGCTCAACCAATTGAGTCAGATCGAATTCGTTCAAGATGGGGAAGATCGTCCCATGGCAGCAAATGTTCCTCCACTCGGCTTATCGAATCGAGCGATTGGTAAATCGGACGCGGAGGAAGAACAAATTCCCAAGGAGGCTGAAGGGGGCTTGTACACGACGGCTTTCTCGAACGCGTCTTTGACCGTTCCTGATCATCCTCCATACGAAGAACATCTTCTCGGATCGACGCTCTGGCCCGAGATTGAGAAACTCTACGGACATGGATACGAACTCTTGTCAATCGCTGCGCGCCGATCCGAGGGACGGTCGTCGTCGTCCCAACTCATCGCGACGAGTTGTAAAGCCACGGTTGAACAACACGCCGTAGTAAGGTTGTTTGAACCCAAGTTGGGGAAGATGGTGGGACCCAAAGATGGGTTGAAGGGCCATAGTTTGAGTATCACGAAGGTCGTTTTTGGAGGGGAAGGAGGCAAGTGGTTGTTGAGCGTTTCGAGGGATCGGAGCTGGAGGGTGTTCAAGAGGACCGAGGATGAAGGTTCGTGGTCTCATTTTTCGATGGAGAACATCTCATGAGTTGATGAGACCGCGTATTCCATCATGCACAGATTTGTACCGTCCCCACAAAGCGGGGGTTAAAGCCCATGCCCGTATCATTTGGGACGCATGCTTCTCCCCCGATGCAGAAACGTTCTTCACAGCTTCGAGGGACAAGTCCGTCAAAGTGTGGTCGACCAGCACATGGCATGAGATCGAGACGATCAAATTCGAGGAGGCGGCGACGGCGGTGGCTTGTACGAGGAATGGAGGGAAGGATGTGTTGGCGGTGGGGTTAGAGAATGGCGAGATTCGGGTGTTTGTGAAGCCGATTGAGCGGGTGGAGGGCTGGAAGGAGGTGGTGGTGTTGGGACCCGAGTGAGTCCAATGCCGGGGAGTGAATTGGGAACATGCAGAAGAACTGATTTCATCCTGTGGCATGCTCGTCACAGGATCGCTCACGTCCAAACGGTTACGAGTCTGTCGTTCTGCCCGAAGAAGATGGAGGACGCTTTGACGGTTAGACTGGCTAGTGGGAGCGAGGATCGTTCGGTTCGGATCATTGATGTATCAATCTGGACGTAGGAATCACAATTGTGAGATGAGCTGCCATGGACCATGGGTTAAGGCTCATGCGAAGCTTGGATCGAGCTGCTCGAAATTGAGGGAAGAAAGGGCCGGCGCCAGGGCAGTCGACGATAATAGGAGACGTCTGATGAGGCTTGAATTTCCTTTCGAGTAGTGATCTCCCTCCCGCGCTCGCTTCCACTTTCTTCTTCCTCCGTTCCATGCTGTTTCCATCACCACTCTCCTCACCTGTTCTCCACCTCCTTGAACAAGAATCGACAATGACTGCGCCTCGTGTGCAGCAAGCCTGAGCTCGGTCGCCAAAGGAAACACTAGCGCAGGCCAACGGCGGGATGGTAAGCTACGGCGCCATTCAACCTACAGACTCAAACATGGCAAGGCAACTGACTTCGGTTGCACGTCGGATTCTCTTCCCCGGCATGATTGCACCTTTAGGAGCGATCTCCCTTCGTTTCCCCCCTTTTTTTCCAACTTGATTTTTTCATAAGCTGCGCGCCGCACAGCGCCTTTGGTTTCAAGGGGGGACATTTTTTTCATTCTCTCGTGAGCTGCGAGCGCCAAAGACCTCCAGATACCGAAATCTCTACCATACATTTGCAGAGAAGAAGAAACATGGAGCGCCTGTTTGTGCGCGTTCAATCTCGACCCTCGTGAGTTCTCGGACTCAGAGGAAAGACCCTGGCTAGTTCAAAGTACCACCAGGGCACTCCAGGGCTCGGCGATTGCTCTGAAAACACTGCAGAACAGTCTAATGGAGGACGCAAAGGCTATAAGTGCTCGTTTGAGCGGCTGGAAGAAATGCCTCAACGGGCAGAAGAGCGTAGCTCCTATCCGGACGTGTGCCGGCGGGCAAAAAGAACAATCACCAACCCGCTTTGCCCTTGTGGCACTTGAGAGAGAACACCTCTTGGATTCCTCCATCTATCTTACCTTTCATCGTACCTTCAACCGTTGCCCAAGACCTGCGCCGCATCACGAAGAACAATGAATCCGCCAGAACCCCTCGGCGAGGGCGAGCTGAACTCTGCTCGTTCCGAGCTACGCTTCCTCGAGCGTCTGCGCGCCATGGAACTGTATGAACAAGCTGGAACCGACGTCGACACAGTGCCCTTCCAGAGCGCATTCTCGAAGGTCGTCGAATCGCGTCGCATACTGCTCAAGATCATGGCTCTCGCTCGCTCGGTGTACGCTCATCCTAGCCTTGTGGACGACACTATCGAGCAGGTGAAGTACGAACCCGCAGCGATAAATTCGGCTGCCATGGCAGACCGCTACAAAGGTTTGTCCATAGAGTGATTTATGGTGTTAACCATCAAACACGATCAACTGACCAGCTTCACATTCTTCCCCCGCAGCTGCGGACATCAAGGATGCTTTGGAGGCCCAACAGGAAGGAAAGGTGAGCATAGGCAGCGTGTATGATTCTGAGGATGACTTTCACCAACCTTTCCTCCAAGTATTCTTGGTGATCAGTCAATTTACCTCCTAGCTCGTATCATCTCGAGACCTCATCGCAATGAGGGCGATGTCGCGTTCGCTTTCGAGGACCAGTCTGGCGCAGCGGCGATGATGCGTGTCTCGAGTTGGCCTTTGGGGCCAACCGCAACGGGACCCGAGCTCGACCTCCTCTTCCCGCTCGGCCAGCTCGTTGCAATCAAGCAGCTTCGCAGATTTTTCAGACCCAATGAGACTTACTTCATCTGCCCTAGTCCCACCGACGTCGTGATGCTCGAGCTTTCCCATCCACTAGTGCGTGGCAGTGCAACTTCGTGGAGCGGCCCCGCTCCCGGTCCGGTTCCGAGCCTGAACGACGACTACAAGGCTCTCGGCAATGCCGCGTTCGCTCGCAAGCAATGGCGTGGTGCTATCAAGCTCTATTCGACTGGAATCGATCTCATCACGCATGCGAACCCAGCTGAGCCCATCGAGCGCCTCGTCTTGCTGCACAACAATCGCTGCGCGGCCCACCTCAAGGTCGACAACCTGCGTCAGGCGCACCAGGATGCGCTCAAGGTCATCGAGCTGGTCGACAACGTGACGCCCGAGGCTCAGCTCGAGATCGGCCCAAACACCATCCAGGACTGGCTCGAGAAGGCGTGGCGTCGACGGGCCGTCGCCGAAGAGCGAGCCGACAACCTCAAGCTCGCGCTCGCATCGTACAAGCAAGTACTGGCTTTCGGTCGGTCGCTCAAGGTCGAGGCTCAACAAGGCATTGCGCGCGTCGAGCTGATGCTCGAGCAGAGTCGCACGGGCAAGCATTACCCTTGGCTCGAGCTCTACGAGCGATCGCTCAAGCCCGAGGAGGATCCTCGCATGCCTGTCGGCAACTACATCGGCCCGATCCGCGTGGTCGACAAGGTCGAGGGTCGAGGCATTCGCGGCGTGATCGCCACGAGCGATATTCAAGTCGGAGAGCTCATCCTGGCCGAGAAAGCTTTCGCATCGGGGCATGCTGTTTCAAGCTTCTCCAAGGACAGAATCAGTCTATTTCGACATCAAAAGAATCTCTTTCATAACGTGTTCATATCAAGGCTAATTGACGACCCCACCTTGATCGAGACGCTGGCTCTTCTTCATCACGGTCGCGACGCAGAGACGGCGGCCCATTCTGCGACCCCCGGCTCGCAAAGCTTTCATGCGGACTTTCGCAAGCCATACACCCCTGTTGGCGACGATTTCTGCCTCGATATCAATTCAGCCGACCTTCTGATCGCTCAGATTTCGCAAGTGGCAAACTCCTGGAACTCCCGCCGGTGCTTCCCGGTCTGCTTAACCGATTCGCTGACGAGTGATTCTGCATCGCTGGACAGATCATGTGGCTTTCAAGTCGTGCGTGGACCGGAGGTCATCTTCCCGCCGAGGCCAATCATGCCTGAAAAAGAAGCAGAACGCCTTGGCACTTTGATGGTAGGAGGGTGCCCGTATCTCTCCCTCGTCAATCACGCGTGCTTTCCGAACGTCACAGTCGCTGCACGATTCGGAGACCTCACTTTCGTACGCGCTCGCGAGTTCATTCCGGCCGGGGCGGAGATCACGATGACCGGATCGGCTACGGACTACAAACATGCTACGCGTGAACGTTTGAGGGAGAAAGCTGAAGAGAGTGGTGTGGGAGAATGTGGATGTCGGTGCTGCGTCGACGACAAGCTGGACGGTGCCTCCCGACTCAATCTTCGCAAAGGGCTATTCGACATCGCTAGCATGGCCCACCTCTGCGAGGACCTCTGGGGGCCTCTCGAACTTGACACCAGAGTCAAGAGACTTCACAAGTTCGTGAATGCCGTCGAAGCAACCTACAGGCCTGGCCATAGTCTTGTGCGACCCGAGCTCGCCGAACCCTTGTGGGAGCTCGCAGGGGCCACGTTCGTGCAACACACTACGGTGGTTGCTGGTCGGCTAACCCATCGTCTACCGCACTCGCCTTCGACGCCTTCGACCATTTTCCCGCTTTCCGTCCTCATCCTTCTCAAAAGGGCGATGGTCGCGATGGGATGCCAGATGACTCTAACTTACCCCGCCGCCGAGGAGATGGACCCACTTCGCGAGGACGCGCAGTGGTCGAGCAACAGCAAGATCCAAGTCCAGTCCTTGGGCATTTCTTCGGACGTCACCACGCTTCTGTGCCTCTGCTTACACATGTTCACGACTATGCGGGGAGACTCGCATGCTGATGAGTCCCGAGCATGGCTGCAAGCTGCCGTCGAAGTCGAAAACTTGACGTTCGGCACTCGCGGGGTCGAATTTTTTAAGAAGAGGTGGGAGAACGCGCCCATGCTACGTCGGCCTGAGGTCATGCAACATCTCCAAGTCCTGGCGCGCCAAGATCCGATCACCACCGGCAATACGCACCGTGGTGGAGGATCCTCAAGGGGTAGGCGAGGTCGATGATAGGTGATAGGTGTTTTCAAAGGGGGCGGGATGAGAAGGCAAACGCGTGGACAGTATCGGCAACAAATAGCAAAGGGGTTCTCGAACTCAAAAAACCTAGAACACAACAAAAAAAAAACATTTTTCCGTTTTTCAACTTTGGTTAGTCTGCAATGGAAGCGTTTTATTCCAGATTCACATCATACAGAGCGCCATCATCGCTTGATCTGGGATTTCCCGAATCCACCCCCCTTCTGCACATGCGTGAAAGCACCATCGTTGGCGAACCAGTTCGCATTTGCCTCTTCCGTCTTTGTCCGCAGTTTGCTCGGGTCGACCAACTCGAGACCTGAGCGGAAGCGAAGCGACACAAAGTCAGATCCGATCGCACAACGAACAGCAGCGTACTGCCCCTGAACGTACCTTGGACCGGAGTAAACGCCAAACTCGTCGCCAAACCCGACGTCGCACTTGAACTCGTCTTGATGCTTGCCAATCGCCCTTTGGCCGATTTGGACAACTTGGCCTTGCTCCTCGCTTCCCCATCCGTGACACGCACGCGCCCACTCCCACTCGAACCGATCATGCCCATTCCGACCGTCTCGTCGGCGTAACCTGTCTCCTCCTCGGCCTCGCCAAACTTCATCCTGTTCTGTTGCTTCCTCAACTCTGTTTGCGCGTACGCCTCTTTGGCCTTCCGAGCTCGTTTCCCACCCCTTCGAGCCTTCTTCTGCTCGTCCGGTCGAGGCAACGCTTTGACGATCTTGCTCGGTGCCGGTCGTGCCAAACGTTCCATCTCCTTTTCGAGCTTTTCCAACATCTCCTCCCCGAATTGACCGGTTAGGTGCGAGCCGGCCAAGTCGACGCGGCAGGCGAGAGCGACCTTGGCTCCGACCTTGCGCTGAGCCTTCATGCGATCTTCGGCTCGTGTGCGTTGCACGAGTGGGCACTGGTAGATGAAACCCGTATGTAGTCGATCGACGGAATGAGCGGCAGTCGAAAATCCTGTTGTTGCTCGTTTGACCGCGCCGAGGACCTGTGGGCAATGAGTGGGGTTGGAGAAGATGAGCTGAATGTCACATCAAACGAAGCTAGAGCACAAAAGAAAACATACGTAGATGTTGGAGTGAGGTATCCTCGACAGACCCTGCAGTCCACCCGCAATTCCAAGCACCTTCGTTGCGGTCTGTGTCCCCACAATCGCGGAGATGTTGGGAGCGAGGAGCGAGATCCTTGACTCGACGTACTCGAGAATGGTTCGCTTCGCATCGTCGAGTTGGAACATCATCGCACATGCATCTTCAACGACCTTCCACTCGGCATCGTCCAAGGTTTGTCCTCGCGAGGTCGCGGCGGTGACGGTGACGGCCATGACCGTACCCGATGTGAGTAGGCCGGTGAGATCGCCTCGAAGTTCGGGACCGTTGCCGAGGGCGAGGATGACACGACAAAAGGGCAGCGGGGCCGAGACAAGCGTGTCGAGTTCAGGGAAGCGCGGGAGGTAGTGGTCTTTGATGAACTATGGGTGAATGAATCGTCAGGGTGCATCGGCCTGTGCCACGTTCAGGGCCTCGTCCTGAGTCAACGGCGCACGGACCTTGTGGACGATGAGCATCTCGTTGTCGATCTCGACGTTGAGGTTGTTGGCCTGCACGATGAGGCGGTACTCTTGACTGTCGCCATCGCTAGCCAGGTTCGGGTCCGGATGTTCTCGGTAGTATGCGATTTTCTGCGTGGAACCATCGCAGTCGATCGAACGAGATCCGACCCCCACCGAGCGCATTCGCCGCCCAAGTCAGCCTCAGCCACCCAGCGCAAAGAACAATCAGCTGAGAAACTACCCACACTGAGTAAATCCTTCATGATTTTGCCACTTGCGAGCTTGGCGACCTTTGCTAGCTCTCCGACCTCGCCCAACTGCATCGCATTGACGTCGTCTGGGTTGAGCTCGAGGGTCGGTCGGACCCCGCCCTCGGGGACCATCATGTCTCCCACCGCAGTCGAGTCCATCAAGACATCCTCTTGGCCATCGTCGTCGTTTGCTGCGCCGTTCGACGCTTCGTTCGGGGTTCCGTTCAGTTTCGACGTCGACGGTCCAGCGTGGCCGTTCGAGCCGAGGACGGCGTCCAATTGGTCATCTTCTCCTCCCGAGTCAGAATCGAGGTCGTTCATCAGCTCATCAGCAAGAGACGTCATTGTTGCGCAATGTACAGGTCGCCGTGCGAGCGTGAATGGATGACGCGAGTGAGAGCGAGAGCGCGCGTGAGAGCAGTGGTGTAGAGCGAGAGACACCTGAGAAACACCTCGCGAGTTGCACGACGCGCCCCGGCTCGTTCTGTCCTCGTGTTTTCGGCAATTTGGGGCAGCTCTATCTTCGACATTTTGGCCCTCGCTGAATGAATGTGGTACGATGCATATGTACACCAAGTGTTAAAACACCTATGGAGCAAGCCAAATCGCTTCCATCTCATTCATGCACTGCTGATCCCATACGCCTCCCTTGCGGTCCCCTCGAAAATCCGATCCAATGCCGGCCCATCCAACCCCAATTCGAGCAAGACGTCGAGGCACAACTTCACCCCCAGAGCCCATACCGACGCTTCCTGAACAACGTCCCTGCCTTCTTGAGCATCTTTCTCCCGAGTCGGGATCGTACACGCTCGAAACATGGGCCAGTCTGGATCCAGGACTATCGAGTCAGTTTCCCAAAGGGTGATCCTCCGTCCTCGATGACACATGACTCACCGGACCCAATCATGACCCTTTCGATGCCGAAAGCTTCCAAGATGGGTTCTACGACTTTCTTGATCCTCGCCTTGAGCTCGTCCATCGCGTCCTGCCCTCCCTTTACACTTTGCCTCGAAGATGCATCACGTTGCTTCTGTTCGAATTCGCGCGCGGCGAGATCGACAGTCTCCGCCGGACAGAGGTCCAACAGACCTGAGACCTTGACATAGACATCGGGGAATAGAGCCAACTGGTAGATCGACTCCAACCAGTCACCATGCGAGGTCTTGGACGCCACATTATCAGGTCCAGACGAATTCGACGACCGGGGCCAGCTCGCCAAATCGGGTTTGCCACAATGGTCCAGGATGATCTTGGTCGTCCCACCTTGGGACCTCAGCGTCGAGATCATCTCGACCGAATCTTGCAACATCCATTCGCCTCGTCTTGAATCGACCGTATGGTCAAAGGCGTACCCTTTCGAACCGAGGTGGTGAAGACCCGATATGAAGTCCGGGGACAGGTAAGTGCCGTTAGGGGAATCTTGGAGAAGGTAGCGGAACGAGGCGATGGGGATCGAACTTGATGATGCTGCCGAAGTGATTTTGGGAAGGTATGACTCGAGGACCGATGCGCCAAGATGTACGGGTGCCTATAGTCAAGGTTTTCGGATCAGGTAGGCTCAGATCACAGCAGAAGAAATTTCGATTTCCAATACTCACCCATGGGCACAGAGCGAGCACCTTGACATCACTCTTGGCTGACGATTCACAGACACTGTCATATGTGCCACCCCGGGTCAGCGACGCACGCTCGGACCCCACACAAGAGACCTCGCTTGCAACTCAACTGTTTGACCTCGGCGAGACTGCTTTCCCACCCACCACCCGATCCATCCTTCTCAGCATCGTCATGTTTGTACTCGGCCTGGACATATACGCATCCGACGGCCTCGACGTGTCGCCCAACCATCTTGACCCCTTTCAGCACCGCCGGGGCATACTCGCCTTCCAACGAATGCGCACCATCATTCAACGCGTTCGAACATGTAGGTGGCCAGGTGATGTTCCCTTGGTCGAGTTGCTCCGTGGTCCAGAGATGGACGTGGGTGTCGAGGATTCGTTGAGGGTACGCTCGACGTGCCACGACGGGAGCGGGTGCGAAGGCTGACGAGGGTAGCTTGGGGGGTCGGCGCGGAGTGCCTCGACTTGTACTGCTAGACGGGGTCGATCCGGAAGACATGGTCGTCAATTGATGTTCAGAAGATACGGGAAGGTCTCAAAAGGCCCCTTGTGAGTGAAGGATGCGGAGGTCGCTCTGGCTGCTACGCTAACGTGAGGAGTCTCGAGGCATGTGGGGCGAGCAAGGCGTGGAACCCGGCCCGACGCGCCGCCAGCCACCTATGCGGGTCAAAATAAGCCTAATAAATATACTACCCCGCGCGCGGCGAGTTTAGGGAGCTTTTTCGAGATTTGGCCCAGGAAAACGTTGGTACAGGGTAGGTGCACCATTCCCCTGCCAACCCCCAGCCCCCGGAGGCAAAACTGGTCACTAATTCGGGCACTTGCTACTTATCCCCGCTAACGGTCCATCTGCCTCAGCACCACGAGTTCCCCCCACTTCCCTCCACCCAAGGCCTTGCAAGCTTGCACCCATCGCTTCAAGCATGGACATCTTACCACACACACCACCACCTCTACAACCTAGCTCAGCATCAAAACGCACTGACAAGACCAAGCGCAAGAAGAGCACGACCGTGAGGAGGAGGAGGAAGAAGGTGACCTGCAGCAACAAGGACACGATCGAGAATGGGGCCACGACGTCGGTGGGAACGGAGGAGGAGGCGAAGACGAAGAAGAAGAAGAGGAGGAGATTATGGACCAAGCGAGTACGGAAAAGGGAGCCATCGTTGTCCCCCGATAGCGAGCTGTTCGACAAGACGTTCGGCTTCAATTTCGGTATTTTCCGCTCTCCAACGAAGAGGCGTCCGAAACGGCAGCCGAGCCCTCCCCCATCACCATCGGTCCAGAGGTCAACGCGTCGTCGGAAGGAGAAGGAGCATTCGAAGAAATCCATTGCCGGCCTCCACAAATCATCGTCCGAGCCTTGGACTGACATTGCCGATGGCGCAACGGCGTGGCCTCTAGACACCGAGACCGGCGGTTTCGAGCACGACTTCGAGCCTAACAGCGCGCCCGGCTTTGAGCCCGACTTTGAGCCCGACTACGACTTCGGTCGCGATTTCGGTGGTGGATACTCATCTGGACCGGAGCATTCGCCATTCCACCCAGACGGTGCTTCTCAAGACCAAGCGCCCTCTTCACTTAAGCGATCGCGGATCGAGAGGAACGCCAAGAAGCAGCGCAATCGTCGCCGGACTGCGAGGGCCGAAGCTAAGACTAGGGCGTCAAAACGACCTGAACTTTTCCAGGCGTACCTATTGATGAAGAAAAAGGCCAAAGAAGTGCTTCGACAGAGCGGGTTTGTCCCTTCCCCGGACGACGAGGAGTGGTGCGACGCATGTCATGAACGCCGAGTCACCAGAAAGGTCCGGGTTGTCGACCTGTTCTTTGCAGGTAGGTGCTTCTGTTGCACATCTTTTGTCAACCACCTCTACGCTATCGTCTTGGACTGATTTGATATCCCCCAACCATGAGCAGGCATGCGAGAACTACGATACTGCCCATGCTATTCCGAGATCCAAACCCTGGCAGCTCACGGTTTTCTCCCGACGTCGTCATCTTCAAACCGAAAAAGAGAAGGCATCACCGCATTCACCTTTCGCACGATCGAATATCTCGACACCTACTGGGGGGTAGATCCTTTTGGTATCTATGGCATGTCCGAAGCGCTCATTCTCTTTTGGTCCTCTGAATTATCCTCGGAGGATCCTTTTAACAAGGTGGGCTCTGGACAGGGACAGGCCGGAAACATTCATTGTTTCTTACAGAATATATTGGAAGCTTCCCAGGGTCCAACCGTGCGTCAGCATCTTCAAGCCGCAATGGATGAATATCGATTTATGCAACAGCTGCAGGCAACTTTGACCGCCGAAATTCTCGGCCTCTCCCCGCGCGAGCGTCTGGCCGACGTTTGTCCGGCATGTTTTGGGCCTCGGATCGATGAAGCCGGCAAGAGCGAGAATGACCTCGATGTCATCATTGCTGTCGACGGCAATTTTCAGCATCGACGATTCGCGCGGGCAAATACTGATCCTTTCAAGTCACGTCCAGCGTTATTCCTGCCACCAGACAAGATTCGAAACGAGCAAGCTTTGATCGACGGATCGACTGAAGCGGGCGAGAAGGTACCTTGGTGCTGCTGGTGTCGGGCCACCCGAACCCAATAATGCGTTGACCCGACTGTCTGTGATTGCTAAACGGGCTATTCTCCTATACAGGACGAATGCACAGCCAACTGGAAGGCCGCAGATGGTGGTGTGACCTCCGCTTCGTCAAATGTAGTGGCCGACACAGGCCTCGTTGCTGCAGTGTGCCATCATGATCATTGCCTGCGACTTTGCAACCTTCATCAATCAGGTGAAAAGTATGTGTGGACCGGCCATCTGTGACTCCAGGCAAGGACACTAATAAGCGAGTTTGGTCTACCGCAGGTTAGTATATCCCGTGTCGCTGTTGAATTGGATTCTCGAAGAAGTTGAGGTCGGAGAAACGGATTGTACTACGGGGCCTGCGCGTACCAGTGACGCTACAAACGTCGGATCCAGCTCGGGATCGGACTCCCACCAAAGTTCGAGTCAGGATCGAAGTCGCGTCGGAGTCGCGTATGATATCGCCTGCAACTTATCGTCGCACTTACGCCGAGTGAGTTTGTTCGTGACACTCAGCCTGAGCATTGGCTTAGTCCGTAGCTGAGCAGCTCATCTCTCCCCGGTGTCGCAGCGCAATCTTCTGGCAGACCACTTACCGCGTCTAGAATTTGCTCTCTCGTCGATGCATGCCTATGCGCACAAGTGGTCCTGCCAGGTTGACTTTGATCCGCGCTTTCTACCCAATTTTGGTTTGACTGATGGCGAGGGAACTGAGCGCTTGTGGTCGCAGCTTCGAGGCATGATACCCATGAATCGATCATCGAGTGCCTCCCATCGGCTGGAGAACATCAATCGTCGAGCGTCTGCTTATAACAAGCAGCATCTGGCCGATCTTGGTTCGCCTAAGCTTCCAGTCTTTCATGCACTACCTTACCATGTCGCTGATATTTGGCGTATCGATCATGCCCAGTGACCAAACTTAATTCTCGACTCAAAAACGCAATCAAGCTCAAGGCCGAAGCCGACAGAGTCATTACTGAGGTCGTTAATCGCTCCGAATGGACGGTCGCTACCCTCCTTGAACAATGGCACGCGCAACGTGCAGCGTCCAAGCAGATCCCTCTGAAAGAACAGCGCAAAGAGGTAGCCGAGATGCGCAACGTCATGTTCAAGCTTGAGCTGGTTAACAGAGATATCGCAGCATGCCGGTGGGTCTGAGCTATCGTCGTCGTTTGGGAGTGAGACACGAACCGGTGACCTAACTTCGGTATTCCTTTTTCGATTGCTACAGAGAAGTACTAGCCTGCGTGAACACCATAAATACGAACAAGCTTATAGAACAGTCGACTAAACTTCAACAGCTGGTCAAACAACGGCAGGTTCTTGATGATCGACTAAACTCCTTACGCACATCGGAAATGAACATCAGTGTCCTGGACCCTGGTACGTCACTCCCTTCTTGCATTCTGACCCTCCGGTGTGATCCCCTTTGTCCTCGCTTAAATATGTCAACACCTTTGATTGGCACAGACTATGAATTTGCCTGCACATTGATGGTCGCATCTCGCTCACTGTGGGACTTGGTCGTACAATATCGACAGGGAGCTGAGAGGCTGCGGCTCCCACGCCTAGGCGGTAAAGCCCTCGGTAGGAAATTCATGGTACGAGTCTTCTGCGCCGGCAGAAGGAACGCTGATGTGTAGCAATGCCTGCTCATAGGTACGAAAGCGGCTGGTCTCTTGGTCAAGAATCTTAATTCTTTGCGTCCAAGGCTCATGAAGGCAGTGGCGATGTATAACGACGAGGTGAAAAAGTATGCTGCCATCCTCGCCAATTCTCAGAATTCCCATTCGATCTTGAGAACCCGAAGGGTACCGCCATCAGCCCCAGAGGATCTCAACGAACTGCTCAAACTCGACATCTTGACGCCGCTCTGGAACAACGGATTATATAGTCATCCCACTGAGCCGTGGGCCTACGATGATGATGTTCGTGTCGGCATTCCAGCAGTATTGTCTCGCGCAAGATGCCAGCAAGAAATCAAGCGACTTGGATGGGAAGTACGTCGCATTGGACGGTGGCTGATAAGCCGTCGCAAGAGGTTTCAGCAAGTTCGCCAGCAATTACTACAACTAGATGAGCAGGATGACTCTGCGATGATGCTGCTCGAGCGAGAAGAAGAGCGTCTTAGAACTATTGCGCGACGATGGTTCTCGAAAGGCGGCCTAGATCACCTGTGGGAATGCACCCGGCAAAGCGGCGAACCGCAAACGGAGGAGTGGGTCGAGCTCCGAATGTGGTGCACCGACGACGTTGAGGTTTTTCAACGAACCACAGCGGGTGGCTTGCCGGATCACACATGGCCAGACTGCATCATTGATGGGATGGTCGGAGAGTCGGACGACATCACCACGGATCATGACGCCCTTCTTGACATCAGTGATCATTCGAGCGATGATCTGAGTCATCATTCCGTCGACACTACCGATTACGGCGCCTTCAGTGACGAGATCAACGAGAACTTTGATGAAGACGATGGCGATGTTTTTGGGGAATTTGATATTGATCATATATAGTTGCAGTCTTTTGCCCAGTTGCTACTTGCAATAGTAAAGAGATCAATGATGCGTTCATTTTGCTAGTAGTTCTACACGTTATACGACGCTTTGCTAGGAAGTACAACAAGAGCGATCAGACATCCAAGACCCGGCATCGCTAAATCGCTCGATCTTGCGGTGGCTCGCTTGAAAAGTTTAATGTCGCTCGAGTAAAGCTGGCAACCGGAAGCCCAACACGACCGGTAAGGTTTAGAGGAAGAGCGCGCTACGCTGAGGGAGTGAACACAAGCGTCCATTGCATCTTTGCTGCGCTGACTGGGCTGAGATCTCCTACAGGTAGAACTTACCGCTCTCCCTGCCAGTCAGTCACATGCGTAGTCCGTGTCGTGCCTTGGGTGACACTTCCCGAACAG